CATTCTTCGGCCAAAGCATTTATTAACCTTGTGCGATGGCTGAGGACGAGTCCACATCTCAAGATCGATTGGTAGGGCAACGACTCGAGGGACTGGTGCGATGAGCTATTTTTACTTCCGCGGCAGAACCGTCACATGCAGAGGCATGGAAGTGAATCTGATCATAGGAAAGTTTACGGTCTTAATCGGATTACATAAGCAACTCCCGCCACCGCTGCAAGTCAAGCTCGGGAGGCGGGCAGATGCAGCCTCCTCCATGAGGGTACGGTAGGGTAGAAAATTCGGAATAAAATTTCTTTGAACTATAGTACATGTGCAGCTACGGTACAGTGCAGCTAAGTAAGGAATAAATACCAGGAGCAAGCAAGTAGGTCAGCTAAAGCTCGGGGCAAGCCACAGATCTGGGTGCCGAGTGGACTGTGATGCCGCGGTTGGGACTGTGAATTTCCCGACCCGAACCTAGCTGAGGAGGGGGTCGATTTTGGCGCGCGCCCGCGCCAAATCGCGTCACGACGCGATTTCCGCTGGCGAAATCCACAGTCCATAGCCTTGGCATTTACAGTCCCTCGGGTAGATATCTGGTTACCTCACCCGCGCGTTTGTAGGGTTCCCGAGCGCCTGATGTGCTTCTTTGACCCTCAAATATTACTAACAATAGCATAGATTATATTTGCAAGTATATACAATATTTGAAGCACGGGAGGCGTGTATCTGGCCCTCCAGCAGGCCGGGATGGACGGGGAATGGAGAGGCCGGGGTCCCAAATGGCGTGGGAACTGGGACTGTAATGGACTGTGGCTCCCCCGCCACAGGACCGTAGATCTCACGGAAGAAGTGATGTTTACCTGAGGTGCGGTCCGCGTTGTGGTGTATTCTTGACCTCTACAGCCTATCGGCGTCCCGGGAGGAGGTAACGTGCCCGCATGTTCGTATAAAGGTCGGTCGTAGTTGATCTGGAGTACCCTAGCATCATCATGGCTAGTGCTATTCTCTTGATATCCCTGCTATTCTCTTCTGCGGTCTACGCATGGCCAGGCACAGTGAACAAGACTGGTAGCATTTGCACGGTCGTCCCTTCTGTCGACGGATCCGACGATGCGCCCGGTATTATTTCTGCCTTTGAGCAGTGCGGCCAGGATGGCAGCGTCGTGTTCATGAACGAGACATACAATGTCCAGAGTGTCATGCAGACGACCGGGCTGAACAACGTCTCCATTCACTTATATGGCACGCTGCTGGTGAGTCTACTATGATTACTGTCAGAGTTCGTGGCTGAAGGTTGGGCTAGTGGAGTACCGATACTGGGTACTGGGTCAATAACGGTCTGCCGCTGGGCCATCTGAATATGACCACCGCCTGGATACTTGGCGGAAATGATATAACTTTCATGGGCCATGGGTACGGGACGTTCGACGGGCAAGGGCAATTTGGTGGGTAACATCCATGGGCGCCATCCCGCCAATCGAGACATGAGCTTACGAGTCCGTGTGCCGGTAGGTACGACCTGGCAGCCAACACTTCTAATATGCCCGGCCGCCCCATATCCTTGACGGTCGCGAACACGACGAACTCGGCGTTCTCTGGGCTGAGATTCGTGCAGAGTCAATTCTGGACCACGGCCATTACGCACAGCGAGAACCTTCTTTGGGAAGATATTTACATCAATAGCACAAGCAACAGTACTGTACGCTTTTCATTGCGTTTCTTTTCTACTCCGTTCAATCTAACCGGCGTTGCGTTGTAGTGGGGTACGCAAAATACCGACGGGACCGACACATTCTGGTGCAATAATATCACATTTTCACGTTGGTCTGTCACGAACGGAGATGATGCCAGTATGTCTATCCAGTTTAATCTTCGGATATCAGAGTGCAAACACAGCTGACCGCTCATCATAGTTGCGCCGAAGACAAATTCCTCCAACCTTCTCATCCAGGATTCCGTCTTTTACGGGGGTAACGGCGTTGCGATCGGGTCGATTGGGCAATATCTCGATACATTTGAGTTCATCGAGAACGTCACGGCCGAGCGAATTATATGTTACAGCTGCGAATATGTGGGCTATGTCAAGACATGGACGGGTGTTCAGCAAGGGTATCCTCCGAATGGTCTGTAGTTTCCCAGTCTTCCAGTGGAGAGTAAATTCGCTAGTCCTGACTCAATGCATCAGGTGGGGGCGGTGGTATAGGGTATGTGAAGAATATCGGTGCGCCCCCATTCGTTCTGCTTAACGACCGCCCCTTATATTATGTGACTTCTAGTATTCCGCGATTTTGTCGCTATCAATACTTGGGTCGCCATCGCGCACATCACCCAATGCACGTCTTACGTCGGTGCCACCGGGGGTTGCGATACTTGCAAGTTCCAGATCTCAAACGTCACTTGGGGCCCTGGCGTCGGCAACACCGTCACGTCCTACCTCGCCGAGTTACAATGCAGCGCAGCGGCACCGTGCCCCGACATCAATTTAGTCGACAGCTTTGGGCTGATAGGGACGAATGGGACGGAGAGGCAGATTACCTGTAGCAATATTGTGGACCCTACATTTTCTTGCACGGGCTCAGCGGGCAGTGATCAGTACTAGACAAGCCCACCGGCATGTCGAAGCATGTTCCTGTTGTATTTCGTATGAATGCCTTTTCCAGTTGATAAATAGTGCATATTACTTGTATCTTTGAGCCTTAATACGCGACATCATTATCCTGGTTGTTTGTCGCCTCCAACTTTGCTGTGAGCCAGTTGGAGGGAGTGTGGCATCCGAAGCGAGCGCGCATATGCATGCCACAGGCACGTTGCAGTTCACTTTCCGACTTGCAGTTCGCTTTCCGACTTGCAGTTTGCCTTCCGACTCTTGTTATCACTTGCACTGTCAGCTGCTTCTGGACGCCCAGTAATGCCTGGGATTTAGTCCCTTACCGAAGGGACTACCTGTTGCCTCGACACCGTCGTCTCAATCTTGTTTTGGCTCGAGGTGTAACGGGATATTGGTAGCATCGATGGTGCCCCCCCCCCCCCGCCGCGTCCCCGTTAGGTTCGCTCCGCCGGTTTCCATACAAGATGTAAAGAGGACCGAATGCATGCGTTCTCTAGTAGTACTGGCAATCCTCGTGCAGCTCTAGTGCGGAACATGCAGGAACATGCACTCTAGATTCATGTTTTGACACGACTATCAACCTGTGCACCCCGATATACAATCCGCTATTCGTTGCGTCCAAAGGCCCGGTGTTCGTTGCGTTCCAAGGCTGCATTATGACAATGTGTCGCGGACAGGGGTTTGCTCTCAATATCATCTTGTAGCTCCCCCCCCCCCCAACCCCGAATGTTCATGACCTACTACATGCTACAAGAAGGACGACGATATCGACCTACTGTATGCACAGACAGAAGTCACGAACAATAGGGACTCTATAGGTATCTGGCCCGCTTCACTTTCCATGTCGCGACGGACGCCAAAGTTTCAGAGAGACAAGCTACGGCGCGAATTCACCTTCTGCACGGTTCTATGGATCATACACTCCCGGAATCGACTCATGAACACGTTCTCCATTAAGCCGGAGAACGGGACAAGCGTGCCGGTGAGCGTAATTTTCGGGTCCGAGTCTAAGCTGCCTCAGCTGAGTCTCATGTGGTGCCTCCTTCTCATTCCTTCCACCTGACAAGACTCACCGTCATGCTTGCACGGCGTGTTCTCCCTATGTCCGATATAATCGCTAGTACATATACCATACATCAGAAGAGACGCGGTCACGTGCAGAATATGTCGAAGTTGCCCAAGCTTAGCGCAGTATTTCATTCCCGCTCTAGCGCACTTCTTTCCGGAGTTGGAGGCGCATATACATGTTATGTCTCTGCTGGCCACATGGTGTATTCTCCTCTTGGCGAGTCGTTCCCGTCTCTGGACAGCATCAAACGATTCGCCATATAAGAGCTCAGTACCCTGGGTTCGTAGCACCCAATCTATGACCATGGTCAAGGTTATACGGGCACTTTCACTGGGTATCCTGCTCCTTGTCTCTATCGCCAATGCATTTCCTGGTACAGTGTACAAGTCTGGCAGCATCTGCACAGTTATCCCGTCCGCGGATGGCTCTGATGATGCCCCCGCTATCATCTCTGCTTTTGAACAGTGTGGGCAGGACGGTAGTGTGCTGTTCTTGAACAAAACATACCATATCGAGAGTGTCATGAAGACGACTGGTTTGAATAACGTCACAGTTGATCTCCAAGGGACATTGCTGGTAAGTAAGTCACTAGCGAGTTCAGTACTGATCCCGACTCACGTCAATCAGTGGGGGACTAATATCGACTACTGGAGGAGCAATAGTCTGCCACTAGGCTACCAGAATCAAAGTACCGCTTGGATATTTGGCGGGAACGGCGTCACTTTCTCGGGTCACGAGTATGGGACGTTCGATGGGCAAGGTCAGTTATGGTGAGTGGAATGCTCAGGAGCATTTCGTTGATCTACTGCATGAGCTTACCGTCCCTCGCGTCATCAGGTACGACTACTCTCGCGGCGCCTCTAATCTGCAGGGTCGTCCCATTTCATTGACAATCACCAACACTACGGATTCCGTCTTCTCTGGCATAAGATTCGTGCAGAGCCAATTCTGGTCGACAGCCATCACGTATAGCAGGAACGTGCTCTTGCAGGACATGTACGTGAACAGTACTAGCAATAGCACGGTATGTCCCTACGCCAGCATCTCTGTTCAGTCAACTACAAGGCCCCTGTAGTGGTCGACGCTCAACACCGACGGTTCCGATACATTCTACTCTGACAACATCACATTTTTGCGATGGTCGATCACGAACGGGGATGATGCTAGTAAGGATGTTAGTCCTGCAGGATATTTGGACAGGATGATGATCGAGACTGTCACAGTTGCTCCTAAGGCGAATTCTTCCAACATACTGATACAAGATCTCGAGATCCACGGGGGTAGCGGCATCGCCATCGGCTCGATTGGACAATACCTCAACACTTTCGAGTTCATCGAGAACGTCACCGCTGAACGAATCGTCACCCACGGTTCCAACTTCGTCGGGTACGTCAAGACGTGGACAGGTATTCAGCAAGGGTACCCTCCCAACGGTTCGTGTCTGCATGTTAGGGATTTTAACCAATTTCATGCCTTGAGTAGGCGGAGGCGGCGGTCTAGGATACGCCAGAAACATCGGTACGTTATACTCTTCTCCCGCACCTTTACCCATTCACGTCTCGGCCCGCAGTGTTCCGTGACTTTGTTGCCGACAACGTTCGGGGGGCCATCGCACAGATTACGCAGTGCACCTCCTTTAATGGTGCAACAGGTGGATGCGACACTTCCAAATTCCAGTTATCGAATATTACCTGGGGCCCTGGCAATGGTACCATCACCTCGTCGTACCTTGCCCAGTTTCAATGCAGCGGCGCGGCACCGTGTCCTAGCATCAAATTGGTTGACAGTCTTAGGTCAGTGACTACGAATGAAAACCAGAGGCAGATCACTTGCAGTAACGTCGTCGACCCTGGCTTTACCTGTACTGCCTCCGCCGAGTGAGGCGGCTGAAAGCAGCACTGCCGCACGTTTGGAAGCTCTAGAGCATACATACACTCCTTACCACCATGACCATTGGAGCAGTGTACCGTCCGAACGTGATCGTGGCGAGTCGTGCATTCTCTTCGTTATCTCCACGCAGGTTGATTATTTTAGAAGACAGCCCAAGATGGACTTCTGAGTCAATGCGACACACGAGATTCCATTGTGTATCCGATGCTCTCAGTTTCCTCCGCATAAGCTGGGATAACGTGCATTTTCCTGCGAGCACCGGTTTCTCCGTCCTCTGCCTAGGAGCCTGGAAAGAACGCGCAGATTACCCTTTCGACTCGGACCGCTCGCTGGATTGTACTCTGGACAGTTGAATCTCATGATTAAGTTGGTTCTGTGAGAGTGCGGAGCATGAGTGTTATAGGTGTGCTGTCCCGGAACGCATGGGCGGCGTTACCGCATCTTCGGTGGATGTTTCAGTAGGGACACCCCTTTCAGCTTACACCCCGCATACGGTACACTCTGGCTCCCAGAGGTGGAAGTTGTAGTATATGACCTTCTCTCCCTACGTAAGTCCGTCACTCCCAATCTTGTCAGCCGCGCCAGAAATATTGACCATGTTCCTCCTGCGTGAATGGACTCGCGGGCCCATGTCTCAACCCAGCACCTTCCCCGGGTACTATTTTTATTTCTGCGAAGAAACGCCGTCACGTGCAGATGTATCGAAGGTCGTGAAGTTCAACGCTCCTGGTCACCCTCCCTCTATTGGGCTTCTTCTCGAGATATGGAGACATGTATTTGGCTTGTATACGTTATACGTGCCTCGCGCGCGGCCCGTACGGTGGTCTATTCTCTCTCGGCCACTCTCGGCCTTCCGAGAGGAGGCCAGCGTGCAATGACACGCGTATAAAGATGAGTCACTGATCTGGGTCCGTAGACCAAGTATTCATCATGGTCAGGACTGGTCAGGCTGTCTCGCTGATTACTCTACTGCTCACCTCGGCGGTCCATGCGTGGCCGGGCACTGTGAACCAGACTGGCAGCACTTGCACGGTCATCCCTTCAGTCGATGGGTCTGACGATGCTCCCGCTATCATCTCCGCCTTCGAGCGATGTGGGCAGGACGGCAGTGTCGTGTTCCTGAACGAGACATACAATGTCCAGAGTGTCTTGCAGACAACTGGACTGAACAATGTCACCGTCCATTTATATGGAACACTGCTGGTGAATACGAATACTCACTCGTCCCATAAGCTGCCTCGCTCATGGACGCGTCAGTGGAGTACTGACACAAGCTACTGGAGGAGTAATAGTTTACAATTAGGGTATCAGAACCAGACGACTGCCTGGATATTCGGGGGTAACGATATAACCTTTATGGGGCATGGCTATGGGACCTTCGATGGGCAAGGGCAAATCTGGTGAGCGGGCATACTATCTGGATTCCTGCTCACGACCCATGCGCTGATGCTACTTTGGATCTGTAGGTATGACTTGGGACAGAATATCAGCAATTTGGCGGGGCGCCCAATTTCGTTAACCATCGCAAACACCACGAATTCCGTCTTCTCTGGGATCAGATTTGTCCAAAGTCAATTTTGGTCGACGGCCATTACGCATAGTGAGAACCTAATCTTGGAGGATATCTACGTGAACAGTACTAGCAACAGTACCGTAAGTCCAATGGCATTACTCTCTTGCGGCAGCTCATCAAACTGGTATGCACGGGCAGTGGTCCACGATTAACACAGACGGATCGGATACATTCTACTCAAACAACATCACGTTCTTGCGGTGGTCGATCACTAATGGAGACGATTCAAGTACGTCCCCCATTTCCCGCAGGAATGAAATCACGGGGGCGCTAACACGGTGTCATTAAGTTGCCCCAAAGGCAAACTCGTCCAACATCCTCATCCAGGATTCAATCTTCTACGGCGGTAACGGCGTTGCAATAGGATCAATTGGGCAATACCTCAACGCCTTCGAGTTCATCGAGAACCTCACGGCCGAGCGGATCATCTGCTACGAGTGCCAGTTCGTCGGGTACATCAAGACGTGGACGGGTATCCAGCAAGGGTATCCTCCCAATGGTTTGGTCTTCCTATGCCATAGTTGCTTGTCCGCTCTAACTCCCTTTCCGTACAGGCGGAGGTGGCGGAATAGGATACGCGAAGAACATCGGTATGTCCTCCAACACTCCCCTTCTTCTCCCACTCACCATCTATTCTTTTCTCAGCCTTCCGTGACTTCGTCGCCATCAATACGCGCCAGGCGATCGCGCAGATCACCCAATGCACCTCGTACATCGGCCTCACCGGTGGGTGCGACACCTCTAAATTCCAGATCTCCAACATCACCTGGGGCCCGGGCGTCGGCAACACGGTCACATCCTACCTGGCGCAGCTGCAGTGTAGCGCTGCCGCGCCCTGCCCCGATATCAATTTGGTCGGCAACTTTGGGTTGATAGGCACGAATGGTACGGAGAGGCAGATTACTTGCAGTAACGTCGTAGATCCCGCGTTCCCTTGCACGGGATCTGCGGAGTGAGGACGTTGATACGAAACAAAATAGGAAATGGTTTTGTACGCTGCGGGGAAGGGCAGACAGTCAATGTGACATCGTGCCCAAGAAGCGAGACTCAAGAGACGTCCGCACATGAGCAGATTAAAGGTCCTAAGCAACTTCGATTGGCCTAGTGCAGTTTCTCAACTGAGGGTATTTTACAAGCATACGGATAAATCTATAATATGAAGTGCGCGACGACAGAAAACAACGCGACTGATCGATCACCGCAAACGCAGCAGAGTCCGACGATCCCTCCTCACCCGAAGTTCCTCCTCTCCTCCAACTTTGCTTCCAGCCAAAGAAGAACCACAATCGAAGTGACCCTCAATGTGCACTTGGCATAAATATACCGGATCTTCAGAAGAGAACGAGGACATCTCAAGACTTGATCGGCTTCCCAAAGTCATCGAGGCCGTATACCTCCACGGCCGCGCCCTCAACCTCCTCCGCATCCTGCACGAACCCCTCCTTGACCTCCTCCGCGCGCTTGTACCACTCGCCCACACCAACCTTGATCTGCCGCTTGTCATACGGAATAGGCTTCTCCATCGACTCGCCGTCCCAGCCGCGTCCCTTCTCCTCAGGGCTGAAGCGGATGCCCACCGGGCCGCCACGGTACCCAGCGAGGAGCTCCGACATGCTCTTCGTCAATTCTTGCATGCGGTTAATGCGCATGCAGCGCAACCGGTCGGAGCACGAAGTGTCCTGCTTGCGTTCGTCCGGCTCGATCGAGGCGATGTACGACAAACCGCGGGGCTTCGCCGTCGACAGCCGGCGCATCGTCTCCGCCAGGGGGCGCGTCGACAGTTCGAGAGTGATGAGGGGGCGCCAGAAGGGTTCCGTCGAAAGCGTGGGCTCGTACCGCTGCCTCAATTGCCTCAGCTTCCGTTCTTCGGGGCTCTCCTTTCCTTCCTTTGGCGGCCACGACGAAGTACCAGCCTCCACAGGCGGCTCGGGCTCACCAATGAGCGGGACCTTCCCGTCCAAGGGCATCGCGTGGCTCACCGCGCTCGAGTGAAACGCCCGCCCGTTCTTCACGCCGTGCGTAAAGCTCGTGTTCGGCATGGGCGGAACGAACCCGCTCGGGTGCGCCACAGACCCATCAGGGTGCTCAATCTCCACCGGGATCTTCTCCTCGCGGGGCTTCACGCCGCCGCGCATGATATCCGTAACGTCTTGGTCCCGCAAGCCAATCGTCTCCCGCACGCGGTCGCGGACGCCCGCCGTCTGCTGCTCCTTGTACTCCTTCGTCGCCTTGCGGCGGTCGAACACGGGCGAGTCCGTCTCGCGCCCGGAGCCGGTGGGCACCGCGAACCCGCTCGGGTGGTGCACTGCGCCGTGCTCGTCCGTGAACTCGACGGGAATCTTCGGCTGCGAGCGCTGCGTCGTCGCGGTGAGCGCGTCCGCGATAATGCCGGCCGACAGCTCGTACATGAGGTCGCCCTCCTGCTCCTTGCGCTCCGCGATCGCGTCGCGCTGGCGCTTGCGCTCGATGTAGTAGTCCGGGACGACGTCCTCGCTGCGGTCCGGCGGCGCGCGCGACGAGTAGAAGCGCACTTGCGTGGGCGAGGGGCTGCGCGCCGGCGAGGAGGCCAGGAGCGTGCCGATGGCGCGGCCGGTGCTCGAGGACGGGCCAGAGACAGAGCTGGCGGGGACGTCCGCGTCGAAGTCGAGGCCTCGCAGCTCACGCAGCGTCTTCTCCTTGTCCTGCGGGTCTTCCCACCACTTAGTACGCGTGCCGTGCTTGGCAGGGAGGAACGGCCAGTGCGCTTTGTCGAGTGTCGCGCGCTTGATCTCAGGTGACTGGAGGTGCTCAAGGTAAGCTTCAAACTTGGAAGTCTTGACAATACCGAGGATGTGCTCGTGCACGTCGGGCCTGTCCACCGGGCCCTTGATGGGGTAGCGCGACTCCAGCAGGAAGACGGTGTGCGGCTCGTACGCGCTGGCGGGCGGCGACTCGTACTTCTTGCCCTTCTTGACGTACGCGCCGCCCTTCCACCAGTTGGACGTGCGGAGCATCTGGGGCCGGGTGAAGCCTCCTCGGTAACTACGCAGAGATCAGCGTCGGGCAGGAAGCAGCAGAACAAAGCTGTCTACGCACGTCTTGACCTCGCTCAGTGCCTTGGAAAGATCCATGCGCTCGTCCCGCTCCGCCTTCTCCTCGCGGCGCCGCGTCTGCGCCGCCTGCTCCTTCCTTTCAATGAGCTCCCTCTTCTTCTGCTTGCGCTCCTGCGCCTCGGACAGCAGGCCGACAGGGCGCTGCTGCTGGGTGCCGAAGGAGCGGCGGGCGAGGCGGCGCCCGAGCTGGGGCACGATCTCGTGAGTCATGGTGCTCATCGTCGCGGACGGTGGTCGCGAGCGTAGTGTCCGTCAGGCCAGCGACGGGCAAGTGAGTGATAACAGCCTGAGAGTCAAAAGCAGGGTGACTGCCTTTTATAGACGAGAGCCCTCGCTGGGACAGACAAATGGACCGATGACGAAAGTGGGGCATGGATTCGGCGACCGGCGCGGGCAGGCCGGACAGTCCGCAACAGTCACGGACAAGTCAAGGAGGGTACTGTAGTCACTGCTAGTAACAGCTATGTAAAGTAGATACGACACAAACGAGCGGCGGGCTTGCATTATCGGGTATACGCACTCTCCGGGATAACAGCCTTTTCAAAAAAACAAGCGGGTCGAACCAAGTCGCGTCGACCCAGTCCCAAAACCACCAAAAAGCCAAACCAGTCCGTCCGCCCTCTATCTCCGCGTGGTGCTGCGCCCATAGTTCACCTGCAGCGCGTCCAACTCGGCCTCGAGCGCCTTGATCGCGCTGTGCGCCATCTCCAGGTCCTTGTTGAGCCGGTCGCGCTCCGCGACGAGGTGCTGCTCCCACTGCCGGAACCGCGCTTCCTCCGCCTTCACCTGCTCCGTGAACCGCTTCCGCAGCATCTCCTCCTCCTCCTTGAACTTCGGGTTGTCCAGCTTGCGCGGCTTCGGCTCCCCGAACTTGCGCGTCTCCATCTGCTGCTGCCGGTAGTTCTCGTAGTGCACCTCCTCCGTCGTGTGGATCAGGTCCAGCATGTAGTTGCGGATCACCAGCGAGCGCAGCTTCTTGAAATCGCAATGGTCCTCATTCTCAACTGTTGCAGTGGTGTTAACTGTCTGGTACTACGCGAGAGCAACGAGACCAACTGACCTTCGGCTACACCCCAGAGATATTCGCGGCCCTTGACGACGCGCCCGTCGGCTGTCTTGACGTCCTCAGTGGAGCCAATAATCGAGAACGGCATAGCATCGATGAGCATACGGGCATGCTGCGCCGACGCATCGTCGTCGCTGTCAATGGACGGCTGGTAGATCCTGATCCCCTGAGCCGCAATAACTTCCCGAATCTGTCACAACTAAGTAAATCGTCGTCAAACGGCAAACCCGGGGAAGCACCTACGCGCTGCTTGAACGTCATGAGGTCGTTCTGCGTGAGCGTGTCCGCCTTGGCGATGACAGGGATCAAGTTCACGCGCGTCCCAAGGCGCTTCATGATCTCAATATCAAGGGGCTTTAAGCTGTCAAGCCGTCCATCGTTAGCATCTTCCCTATCTGAGCAGTAGAACCACCAAAGCACGCACGTATGCCCGGTCGGCCTGACGAAGTACAAGCACGCATGCACCCTTAAGTCCGTCTTCTCCTTCCGCTGGGGCTGCTGCTCCTGGCGCATATACGCCTCGTGCTGGTCGTCGATGAAGTCCACGATCGGCGCCCAGCTGTCGCGGTTGTTCACGTAGTCGCCGAAGCCGGGCGTGTCGATGACAGTCAGCTTCACCTTGAACTGCTTCTCCTCGAGCTCGGCCTTGATGATCTCGACCTCGGTGAGCTTGTCGAGCTGCTTCTGGTGCCGCCTGTTGTACTGCTTCGGCGGGGAGAGCTCCGTCGAGAAGAGCGTGTTGATGAGCGTCGTCTTGCCGAGCCCGGATTCACCTGGGTTCGTGTTAGTGGGAGAGGGTGGGGAGATAAGGACTGCGCCGACGCACCGACTACCATGATGGTAAAGTGCGCCCCGCGTTTCGCAACGATCTTGTGTCTCTACACCCGCCGCACCGCGCATTAGCCACGCATCCCTGATTCTCAGCCCGCTAACGCAACACGAACCTGATTCGGCAGGTTGGCGATGCCAATGCCGTCGGAAGGTGGGGGCGCAACTGCGGCCATGTCTGCAGCTCAGAAATCAAAGGATGTAGAAGGAAAGGAGAGGTGGAAGGAAGAGGGGAGGGTGGTGGTCGTCAACCGAGCCAGCGAACGCGAAATTACCGTCGACGTGACAGTCGAGAAGCCCGAGACTGGGAAGAGGCTAAGTTATTTGGGCCTGTTTGGCTGGTGGCGGGTACGTGCGATCTGTCCCCTTTGCCACAATCCACCTGTTGGATTGTAATGGACTTGTCAAGCTTGTCAAGTTGCGACTGGGAGGCACGTTCTTGCCGCAGAGCTTGTCTATGATTATGCTGCTATGCGCTATCAATGATGCTGGTCTATCGACCTGAGCGCAAGCTTATCCGACGACCGGGACTTGACGCGCAATTTAGAGGATGCTATAGCTAATGGACGCACGGTTTTTGGAAATCCCTTGTAGTCCTCCGACTGCTTGAATGAACATTTCGATTTCAAAGTCGACAGGAATCATATCGGCTCGACGTGCAATGAACGATTTGGGCGCCTTCTGCAGCGAAAGCGGCCCTCGGATCTCCACAATCGCTTTTGCCTCGCACGGTATCCAAGTTTATGTCTACGCTTACCCCGACATCAGGGCGCCGCAATCGCGTCTCAAGGTCTAGGATGCCTCGCCGACGCACTTTTGTCAACCGTCAACGCCCATGCAGTCTTGCCGTGTACTGGGTCCCTCGCCGCTCAGGCATCTTGCAATTGGCTTGGGTTCGCTTTCGAATTGTAGCATCCTGTGACAGTGGTTTAAGGGCATACTGTCTTCGCACTGCTCCCGTTGCAGCGGGAAGATAGTCTGCCCTACGAAACAGTGTCAGGTCTCGCGCAGGCAAGTACAAGCAATATTTCACCCCTGGTCCGAGAAAGTCGTGCTGGCAATACTATTGCCAACATGCGTATAGATAGCAGTTACCACCTTGAACATTTTGAATACTCGAGTGCTTCGACATCTCTTCTGCCCAGGTTCGGTTCATCCACAAGTGCGACTATACATTCGCCATCATGCACAGACGACCACGACAGTGCATTCCTTCTGATAGTGGTCCTCGGTCTCCCATCCACAACCTCGTGCTTTTGCGGCCATTATATTACTTTGCGCATCTCACCGTGATGTCACGCACAACAGACGATTAAGAGATATTATATTTGGTGCAATGAGCGACTAGGTATTTCCCAATTAATCGTTATAACATTCTCAGACTAATACCATTCCCCTGATATCATTGGCCCGATAAGCTGAAGCCTGTCTATGCCGTGCATCAGTAAACGAAAAGCACCGCACGAGGTAACTCATTACCTGAACGAGCAAACTCGTTTAGAGGGTGATGGGCAAGCAGCCGAGGGAAATGAGAGAGTGCGAGTTGTCCTCGCAGCAGACGGGCTGAGCAGAGCTGTGGAGTCGTCGTTAGGAAAGCATTCTCGGGCTTCTTATCGAGTGCAACTCACCAAGAAGCTCCGCCGCCCGCACCAATGACGCTAATGGGGTTGCAGTTCAACCCAACCATGGCGTCGACGCCATCGACCACGATGCCGAGGAGACCCAGGAGGTCAGTCACGCCAGGGGCACCGGCGCTCTGCACTTGGTTGCAGCACTGGACGGGGCCGGTGTTGCAAGAGTTGGAGATGTCCGGGACGGGGGTGGCGACCGCAAGGGTAACGGCGGCGACGGTGACAGCAGCGAACTTGGTGAAGGAGAACATCGTTGGTATTAGTGGTGAGGACGGTGAGTGGTGGATTAGAGAGTGGACTGATTCGAGAATCGAAAAACGTCTGGGACGATGGAGTTGAGAGTTCAAGCGCTCACCCTTTTATAGCTGGAGGGCTTGGGCTGGCCAAGAACACGAGGACCCGGCCAGACCAATGGAGTATGTTCACCGACGATGCCGGTGAAAGAAGGCAGAGTGTGAGCGCGCCGCTGAGGCGGCGTTTACTCCAACATGAACGCAATTCGTCCGGCGCGCTCTCGCTATTACGCGTCGCTACCCGCGTCAACTCAAAACACAGAAGCAAAGAAGCTGTCAATGTACCTGGATGGAGCTGGCCTTTCTCTCCGTCTAGGGTTTCCTTTCCTCGGCATGGCTCGACCGTCAGTATTCCAGGATCACCCTACGATAGAATGAATTCATCAGGGGTATCCATGCCTGCGGGACTCAGGTTCCGCCGTCAGATGAATTCTGCACAGTCGTGCCGTGCGCAGGTGGAATACAGCGAGTACCACATCCCGTGCGCAGTGTAGAATGTGCCACAATCAAAAAAAAAGTTTCAAAACGGTAGGTCGCTAAGCGAGAGCTATGACACGTCTCCCTTCACCAACCTCGAGCAACCCCGACGGGTTGTTAGATTGAAATAGCCTTTTGGCGGAATCCACTACTCCGGCATCGATCATCTCGGTCTATACTGAGATGACCATTGCGATAATGAGATATTTCTACGCCTCCATCGCCTTGCAAGGTGAGGAAAAGAGCAAGGGAAGGATGTATGGGAGGCCAAGCGGACCAGAACATATGGTTAGCCGTCCCCAACCTCATTCTCGCAGCGGCCTTGAGTGGCTAGCGCTGCAGGTCGTTTTCATACCTAATGGTGCCTGTGCTTACAGCTCTGCCATGTCTCAGGACCTCGATCAATATATGAATACAGACCAGGAGCTTGGGCCCATAACGTTAATCCATGCTGGCATTCCAGGCTATTTTCGACCCAAGTCCGGCTCAGGGTCTAAACCCTGAAGCAAGCGCCCGGGTTGCCGTTCTTCGTCCCGGGATCAATTTTGCAACTGGGGACTCTGGAGTCTCATGACAGGGTGTGCTTACGACTGCTCGTGAAGTCCAGTGAAGACAGGAGGGGAGCGCCACCAGCAGCGAATAATGGATCACAAACGGGGCCCGCCACACTGGCAATGTAGACAAGATCAGGATACAATAGTGACCAGCTGGATAGTGTACACCAAATCGTTCGTAGGGGCAGCAAAACACCGGAAATCCTGTAACGACTGCCTCCTACCATTCTAAAGCTTTACCACCTCCGCAGGTGGAACCCGCACATCCGGACTGCGTCGAAGCTTCTTCAGCAGGCATCTCGCGCACGTCAGCGATCTCCAGGCCGTCTCCCCCACCCCGCTCGATGACCTCTGCTGTAGCCTTACGGACCATCCATTTGCTTGTACCGATAACAGCATCAAGCTCGTCTGCTTCCGGGAGCAGGAGGAAGAGCCTGCTGTTCTCCTCCTTCACATCGAACGCCATAATGGAGTAATTATCGTCATTCAAGCATTCACCATCCGTTAGGCTGTAATTGCGCTTGTGGAGCGGACCTAGGGAGAGTACTCAGAACATAGTGTGCGACTCATGGGGGATACATGGAACTCACAAGATATATACATGTTACCATTTGGGTCGTCACCCACGATTCCATGGTCCAAAACGAATGCACGTTTATGCGGACACATCTATTGGGCGATCAGAAGACTTAGCAATTCACTCAACGGTCAGTCGTACCTGCTGCGTAGCGAAATAGCCACGCTTGGGGATGTGGAAGATCGCTAGCTGAGTATCGCCATATTTGACCGCAGCGGACCTAAGGGAGAACGTCACTGCCAGTCATTGTATAAATGCCACAAGCCACTGACGTCGTTCCTGCATCTGTTGGCATGAGGTCTTCAACCGCTGCGACCTCTCTCCACTGCCATTGGCTCTTAGGACTACGGATACTAGATGTCCGTAATTTGGCTGGGGGAAAAGTCTTGGGCCAGTCCGCCGGTCTTCGTTGATTTCGTTCCTGGACCATTTCTATCTGCGGGCGACTTTCATCCTAGCCCATTGTGAGGCAGAAGCATCTTCCGTGAGCAAGTGAAAGAGACTGACTGTATTAACGAATTGACGAAACTGTTTCCGTCTTGAAGGGTCCTTCACTACTGCAGCCCATTCGTCATAGTATGTACCGACGAGCTCATCCATCTCTTTCTCCAGTTCTGCGCAAATACTTAATTCATCATCCAGGAGGATCTTCTTTAACCTCTGTACAAGTACTTAGCACAGTAAGCGGAAATACAGGAAATGGCTCACCTCAACTCCACCCTCGAACTGTTCCACCCAGCGAGCTGTTCGCATCAACTTATCTGCAGTGCGAATATAATACATGAGGAAACGGTCGATGATTCGTATGACTCTTGAAGGGGGCACGTCCGTCGCGAATAGGGTAGCATGGCGTGGATTCGAGCCACCATTTCCAGCGAGAAAGACTGCGATAAGGCATGAAATGTCCAGTCTGAGCTGAGGTCAAAGTTACGCACTGTTCCAGCCTTTGTCTGTCGCGATAAGACCAAAGTCTTTAGATTGGGCTTCAGCGCACTCCCGAACGCAACCACTGACGCCCCCTTTGATCTTATGCGGTGACCGGATACCTTTGTATCGCTCCTCCAGTTGTATAGCCACTGTAAGGGAGACTATTAGATGGGTTTCCATGCATGCGCCATCGCTACATACGTCCGACTGAATCTCCTATTCCATACCGACACCAGGTAGTGCCCACGCAGGACTTCACTGTCCGAAGAGCTTTGCCTAGAGCAGAGTAAATACCAATGTCACCGCGGTAGAGCAGACTCACCATAAGCGTGTCCGCTCTCGAAGCCCGCCGCAATGAGCTCCTCCCAGATATCAGGAAGATCTTGCTTTTGCGCACCGAACAGATCAATACGTTGCCTGGAGTAAACTATGTCCTTCAGTGAGGAAATATTCCCAGGATTACTAAGAAACGTACCCTCCGGTAATCTTAGTATACAGGTTGTCTATGGTCAGGTTAGACGATATTCACGCCGCACAAGAATAACCATGAGATACATTTCTTCGCAACTTGACCCAACGCAATCAGTTTCTCTGGCGTAATCTGGAATGGCATAAGACGCTGCTGTGCTGGATACTGGTAACGGCTTACCTCGCCTGCAGCCACTCGAGGAATAACAGAGAATGTCCCTTTGGAAATCTATCAGCTTTACCACGCAATCAATCAGAAACCGTCATCTACCATTTCGTTGGATATTGGCCATGTATCTGTAGACAGTGAGGACTTTGCGGCATAGTCACATGCTTTGTGACATACCGGTCGTTAGTATCCTGATTCGCATGATGCACCGGGTTCATGACATGCTCGTTAAAGAGGGACGATAGAATAGAGCCTTATCATGACATAGGTTACAGTTGCATGTGAAACGTATCTTCTGGGGCATACCTATCGTTGGCTTGCAAACCTCGCAACCAAGGGAGTCTTTATTGACACCAGCGGACTCCATGATAGCGGTAAACGTTTTTAACCGACGCAGCCTGTGTAGCTGCTATAAGCAAATGATCATGCAAACTGGATATTAGACTGACTTGATTATAGTGAATAGTTCCTGCCGAGACATAGCAAAGTGGGGGCATAGATGGTTGTTGAGGGCGTGTCCAGCCTTTTTCATCTCTGCCTGGTGACAAAGTTTGGTTCAAGGTGCAGTATCTATCAACGAAATCGATTACCTTGAATATGTTCGTGACAAGGGGCATGCAACCTCCGCACCCAGTACCCACCTTCGTCTTAGCTTTGAGGTCAGCAAGGGTATCGACCCCGTCTCGAATGCATATAGCAATCGTGCTCTTGAGCACATTCTACCCAAGACGTAGGTCAGGAGCAAGATTGCTGACTTAGCCCACTGGAAAACTCACGTGGCAGCTACAAATCTGGGTGTCGTCGTCCAAGTCCTGGCCCTCATCGTCTCCTTTGCGCTCTACGCCTAGAATGAACTGTGATGGAGGCACCTCAATTAATTTCTGTATACGAGGTTTATTAGTTACACGTCCCCGGAAACATGGCACTACTTGCCTTCTTCTTGACTAGAGCTACGAGCTTCACGTAATCAGACGTGTCCCCAACCATCATCCCTCCCAGTAGGTATTTCCCATCCGCGCTGAAGATATACCTGAGGTGCACCGTGTTGGCCATCGGGCACAAGTTCGGATGAACAGAAAAGGACTGACTTCTTGTACACAAAGGAGAAAGGGTCACGGTACGACAGACACTCGATGGGACCCTCCAGCGCGTCCTGCTTACGCTTCGCATGGTTCGATTTGGGCAGCGACGCCCCAGTATCAACTGGTTTGTCTGACGGCGTTTCAGCACCAGTCTGGATGATCGTGACAGTCGCTCCCTTGTGAGTGGAGTTACTGGTACCTGTTCGGTCTTCCTGGATCTCCCAAACCGGCTTCGGTTTGTTGGCGTGCGTCTGATCCCAGGATAGAGGAGCCGAGTTCGAGGGAGCGGCAATCTTGACCCGGGCTGTGGACTGCTTCGCACGCTGTCTGTCAATGCTTTTATCTGCAAAGAAGTCGCCAAAGGATGCAACCTGGGATCAACTATCGTGAGTAACATATGCAAGGCATATGGGATCACAGCATACATCAACGCCCATGAGCTTCAGCTTGGTGGACAAGTCGGGCGCATTCTGAATCAAACAGCGGGCATTGTCAGAAGGATAAGCAGGAATGTAGATGAGAGCGCACCATTTTTCTCGCCTGGAAACCGCCAATTGACGTTTCCGTCTGGGTAAAGTTGAATGAGAGTATGTCAGCCATCTCCACTGTACAGGTAATGCCATCAGACGCGCTGGTTACATACCAAGAAACTAAGAACACTTCACCTCCAGGAGCAATCAGTCCGTACGTATTACCCCTCCAGCTTGCGCACTCCCCGATCGCGTACACATCCTCAGCGCTAGTCCTCAACGAATCGTCTACAACAATTCCCCCTCTGTCATGACACTTCAGTCCCGCTGTTCTACCCAGATCATCTCTCGGCGTGATACCAATAGCGTATATCACGAGCTGCGCTTCTAAAATGTGTCCGTCTGTTAACTCGAGCCCCGTAAAGGTACCATCGTCTGTGGTGATGATATCGTGCACCGTGGTGTTAGTGAGCACCTCGACACCCATGTTCTCGATACGCCGCAAGACGATCTCGCCTCCATCCTTATCCAGCTGCCGGGAGAGGGGGTACGCTTGGCGGTTGATTATCGACACTTTTGCGATGGTTTCACTGATAAATCATATGTGAAAAGAATTGCAATAACTCAAATGATTGTGCGTACAGGTCGTACACTGCTTTGGCAGCTTCCAAACCAAGGAGACCGCCACCAACAACTACAGCCTGACAGTGCATGAGGCTTTTCGCAAACGGCTTTCGATGCTGCAATGGACGTACCCGGCCTCCCTTAATACCGTCCTTGTCAGCGTACGCCAATATGGCATCCAAGTCCGATATATTCCTATATACGAATACACCCTGCACCTTCGCAGCCCTCTCGGGAGGTATATAAGGCGGTAAGGTGCTCACAGAGCCGGTCGCAAGTACGCAAGAGTCGTAATGGATCTTCCTTCCCTTGTCAGTCGTGACGGTGTGTGTGGCAGGATCGAGCGTTGTGACTTGTTCGCCCGTGTAGAACATGAAACGGCTGGGATCCTGCTTGGCGTACCAATCGGCTGTGGAGGGAAGACAAGTTTTTGACGCGATTCCGGCAGAGATATGACAGGAATCCATACCTTGATTTAAGTACAATTTTTCGATGGAACGATGCTGGAAGTAGTCAGTTAGGGCCACTCGGTTGTACGCCAGGTGCATCTCTTTTGCCCGTTTAGTTATAATAGCACCAAGGGCAAAGGCTACTCACCTTCTCCGCACGTTACGATTTGGTAGTGCATAGCTTCGTCCAGATTCAGCAACTTCTCGATAAACGCTGGAATCGCCATACGTGAGACTGTGCATCGCGCGAGCAGGAAATGGGGACATGCCTATACCGACCATTCCAAGGCCGGCTACGAATATCGTCTGCCGCGGTTGAGGTGCCTCTGTCTCCTCCATGATGGGAGCTTCTGAAGATGAGGACATTACGGAGGCAACAGGGTGAGACGCGGTAGACAGTCTGATCCCTGCCTTTTTACTCGCCCTGACCGTAGCGGTGACGCTTCAAGTGGAAAGGTATATACCATAGACCAGCCTGAGGGGCGTGTGGAGTACAGATGCAGTTGCAGAGTCCCCGGCGAAGATATCTTTGGTGACGAAAACGGGCGCAGAATGATACCTGTCTGCCTCCTGACCTCGGTCCATCGGACATTGCGTAAATGCACCTTCTCCATTGCAGAAGCGTCCAAAGTCGGATGAACAGAGACCGAATGGCGCCACAGATAACGGACTTGCTCGCTACTATCGTACCTGCTATTTATGCGGAAATCCTGCTGGTGCAGTCACCACTTGATCATTATGCTCTTACGAGCAGAGTCAGTCTTTCTAGGAACCCGAATAGACATGAAGACATCAAGCTATATCAACGAAGACGTTGGCAATCGTTGACCAATCCGCGCGTTTGTTTGACGTTCATGTGAATTTCAAATTACTTCCAGCATTTCTCCAAATTGCCTCCGCTTCGGATTCAGGCTTGTCGGATTCATCCATCGGTAAACATAGGGTTACATCCTTGTAGACCCTCGTTCTATCTCTCCGACAGTCTCATCATGATTCAAGCTTTCCCGGCAGTCTTGCGACCTTGTAAAGGACACTTATCAGGGACACCCACCCTCATCGGCGTCGACGGAGTCCCGGTAGGAGTCCAAATATCCCGTTCTTCAGAGGACCAACGATCTGTCTGCTTTGCATTGACAATCCTTGGCACATATCTCAGGGGCGCCATGAGGACCCCAGCCAAGGGCCGGTCAACAGCGCGGGCATAAGTAGACAAGTTCGACTGAACGATGCCAGGCCCGAATCGTACGGGCCCGTATATTGACGATGGTGGTACCCTGAACTATTTTGAAGCGATCCTCTAACCGCCTGCCTGGGCGATAAGGAATTCTTTACTAGGCACCGGGAGCGCTCTCAGCGGCTGTTTGCAGTGGGGTGGCAGCAGGGAGCCGAGAGGTTCTTACCCCGGCCGAGATAACGGCCACGACCTGGGTTCCATCAGATCCAGACTGACAACGACTAAAGTGACCTTATTCAAGTAGCTATGTTGGTCAAACCGTGGCTAGACTATCCAAGTCACACCGCATCTCTTTGGCGTGGACCCAGTTACAGACTTAGCTCAAGCTGCTTCAAGAAAGTGAGCAATGGAAAGGCAGGGTCGGTCAGCAGGCCTCTTCAAGGCCATCGTCAATCCCGTCAACCTCAAATGCACGACGCTCCCGATACTGTCTCTCAACAACCAGTACTCGAGAAACTTCCACTTGTACGCATCCGTTCTCTCCCTTCCGTGACCGTGCTGAATCCAAACGGCACAGAGCCTGGCTAGGATTCTTCGTCGCGTTGTGCGTATCCCTCTACTGTTTCCCCCGAGAGATAGTGCTCATCCACGCAGCTTGTCTTGGTTTGCCTTCTCGCCACTAATCCCGGACGCCATCAAGAGCGACTTGCACTTGACGGCCGACCAAATTGGTGGGATAATTTGACTAGTGTTTTCAAAGTTACCCTCTACTGACAGAAATGGACGCAGGGAATTCGAACGTCGTCTCGCTATGCGCTACGCTGATAGTGCGGATAGGTGTTGGACCTCTGGTCGACAGTAAGGACTCTGCAACTGTGCCACTGCAGTTGCTGAAGGCACGACGTAGAATATGGCCCTCGTAAAATCATGGCAGCGATGCTCGTCATCGGAGCTGTTCCCTCGGGATTGGCAGGGACAATCTCCACCACTCAAGGACTCTACATTGTCCGGTTCTTCATCGGCATCCTGGGCGGCACTTTCGTCACATGCCAGGCTTGGACCACAGCGTTCTTCGATAAGAACGTCGTTGGCAGGGGTGAGTACCAGAATTACGCAGAGTTTCCGTCATCTCACTCACCCTAAACTCGCACAGCGAACGCCCTTGCGGGAGGATGGGGTAATTCTGGCGGTAAGTATCTCGCCTCGTGAACTCTAGGAAATTTCATGAGGTGCTTGTTGTCCAAGGCGGTTTCACGTTCATGATCATGATCGGGCTCTACAACCGCTTCCTAGCAGACGGGCTGTCCTCCCGCGTCGCTTGGCGCGTGGCTTTCGCGATCGTGCCTGTCCCGGTCCTGCTCTTCGTTGCAGCGATAACTATGATTTTTGGTACGGACCATCCAGCTGGGAAGTGGGCGGATAGGCGCAAGTTGCCGATTGCCCAGCGGCGACTTCACGAGGAGCAAGCCGCGTCCCAGGAGAAAGATATTGTGAAAGAGGAGCCGAGTGTGGACGTGGAGAAGGCATCGGGTTCGGGAACGCAGGTCACTGTTGCGCCCGTCGGGGTATCACCCAGTAAGAGTCGTGTTATATTGCCTCTGTATCCGGAGCTGCGCTCGCTCAGAACATTGCCCCGCAGAAATTACTTCGGAGCTCGATGTAGCAGTCAATCGAGAGCTGACGTGGGATGTCGCGTACACGACGCTCATCAACCCGCTCACTTGGCTGCCCTCCCTCGCCTACCTGACCACGTTTGGCTATGAGCTGGCGATAGATGCCAATCTCGCGAATGTTCTGTTTAACTTGTACAATTCGCCTTCGTTCGGACAGACAAAAGCTGGTTATGTGAGTGGTCGTGGAACACCGCGCGCAGTGTCACTTGACACAGTTCACGCAGATCGCAGGGGTGTATGGCTTGATCAACATCGTGACTCGGCCGATGGGTGACTGTTAATCTGTTGAGTGCGTCCTCCGGTCGCTGACAGCGACTTTGATTGGCAGGTGGATATCTGGGAGATTTGGTGTACCAGCGTTATGGTGTAAGACGCAGCACTAACTATTACCCTGTACCTGGCTGAGATATTTCCAGGTGCCGGGTAAAAAGTATCTCACTATCTCTTGCGGCGTTATCCAGGGTCTGCTGTCGGTGGGCCTTGGTGTCTACATCGATGGCCGACCGCATCCTTCACGTAAGTTGCCTCCTAGATAGAACCATATTGGTTCTGGTTCTGATGCAAATACCTTCTGGAGTGGGTGTTGCGATTGTTCTCTTCCTCCTGACGGCGCTCTTCAATGAAGCGGGGAATGGAGCAAACTTCGCCCTCGTGCCTCACTGTAATCCGAGTAAGTGTTGCGGTATAGTCTCAGACTCTGGGACGCTAATTGATAATCATTAGACTCGAACGGTTTGATGGTGAGCTCGCAATCGCGGGAAGTCTTCGAGTCCTGACTTCATTATTTTTTAGACCGGCATCGTTGGAGCCACTGGCAATCTTGGCGGAGTGATATTTGCAATGATCTTCCGCTTCCAAGCTCGTCCCTACGGCAAGGCGTTCTGGATTTCTGGGGTTCTCGCAATAGTACGTTCATAGCACTTTCCGCTGCTCCGAATGCGGATAACCTTAGTTGACCGCTGGTCTTCTTCAGGCCCTTAATCTGATGATCTCATTCATTCCTGTGCCCTATCGATGAGGGGTATGATTCTGTCACTTATATCTCTCCAACTCTCTTACATAGAGTCAGCGTCGCATTGGACTATTCTGCTACAGGCTACAGTATCCATAGATAAGGGAGCTAATACATCCGAGTCTGACTTAAGTGCAGAGAGTGTTGTATAAGTCACGGTAAATGGTCACAAGTGCGTCACGTTCCACGAAACGGGAAACAGTTCTACATCTCATGTCACTGAGCCTTTTTTTCAATCCAGGTACTATGTGTATTTTTACTGAATGCTGACATTGGACCTTCCCTCCGACTCTTCCGGACCCCATTTGTCGGAAGGCAATCCGATTCCAAACCCGAAAGACAAATGAGCAGTATGCTGCTATTGAGGTTCCGACGTAGGATCGAATGCCTCATTCTTCCCTGAAGCGAAGCAGGCAACACCGAGCTCCAGTCTTGGTGTTCAATGGAACTGGCCCTTATCTCTGGGCTCCTAGGCGCCCAGGGTCATGGGGCGGGAAGGCTTATCTGCATTAACGGACAGTAGGATCAGCGGAGACTCCAGATTGTCCTATTCTGGAAGCATGAAAGACATTACAGACTCTCGAGTGAATATCTGGCTCGTATACCGCAGGACATCAAGACGGTCCTACTACCATGACCGCAAATAATTCGGACGCAAGCTCAGAGAGCGGTAGCGTCTCTGTCCTATCTGACTACTCTGACCTCTCCACATCCTCCAGTTTGAGCACATACCCTTCTGGCGGTTACCCATCTTTACCGCAGCCTTTCCTTCCCGTCACCTTCCACGACCCTGGTAGACAAGGCTCTGTCCTTCCCGAGGGACTGCCCCCACTCCCTAAGAATGAGAATCCTATTGCAGTAGCTGAAGAGGTATGGCATTCGTTTTGCGGTAGCTCCGGTGCATTGACAAAGCTACTAGGATGCGGAGACTCCAGACAAGTGGATCAAGCGCGTCAGTACTCCTTTCCAGTATTCTCTCGGCAATCTAACGGGCGAGCCACAGAACCCAAACTTGATTCGCCTTACAGGAAAGCATCCTTTTAACACGGAAGCGAGGCTACCCGAGTTGTTCAATGCAGTATGTCGCAACTATGTGCCACAGGGCTTGGTGTTGTGTTCATTTGTTACAAGGGATTTCTCACCCCTGCGCACCTTCATTTTGTGCGAAACCACGGTGCGGTCCCCCGCGTGAACGATCAAATGCGTGACTCGTGGACGATCAGAGTCCATGGTCTGGTAGAGAGGGAAGCGAATTTCAGCTTAGAGGAGTTAGCCCAAACGTTTCGCGTCGTCACATTGCCTGTGACTCTGGTGTGCGCCGGTAACAGGCGGAAGGAACAAAATGCTGTCCGCAAAAGTCTCGGTTTCAGTTGGGGTGCTGCTGGAGGTGTGTTGGCTCAGCGGGCGATCTGGCCATGTAAGCTGAGTAGCTGTTAGTTTCGACCGCTCTCTGGACCGGAGTTTACCTATCCGATGTGCTTGAACATGTCAAACCCCTCCGCGGGCAGGCAAAACACGTAGTCTTCGAGGGATGCGATAGTCTTCCTAACGGGCCGTATGGCACGTCGCAGAAACTATCTTGGGCAAAGAGCAAGGATAAAGGGATGCTTATCGGTGCGGTACATCCTCCATGCCCCATGTCAATGCGAAGGCGGGAGCTGAAACCTCTCAATCTATCTGTAGCGTGGGCTATGAATGGTCTGCCTTTGGAGCCGGACCACGGTTTTCCTGTTAGACTCATAGTGCCAGGACAGATCGGTGGTCGCTCAGTCAAGGTAATCTCCTAATCTCTGTGAAGTACCGCTTCTGAAAATATTCTGTAGTGGTTGAAACGGATTGAAGTGAGCGCTGAGGAAAGCCAGCACTACGTGAGTCTTGCTCACCTTCTGATTCCACAGAATTGTACTCCTGACCTAGTCGAGGGTAGCTACACTTCTGGGTGAGCTTATCAATCACATTTTTTCCTCCTGCGTTATAGCAACTTGCTATACTCCCAGGATAATAAGGTACTACCCACACAAGTCCTACCTGATCAAGCGCGAGCTGAAAGACATTGGTGGTATGATCCAAGGTAAGGGTCTCCAGCACTGAGACTCATCACGTACGCCGTTCATACTGAGGCCTACAGATATATTATAACGTATGTCCTCCGTACCTCGTAGTCATACAACGAGGTCAGACATCCCTCTAGGGAGTTGAACGTGAATAGTGCTATTGCACGGCCGGACCATAACGAGGTCCTGACTGTCAGCGAGGGAGAAAGCTACTTGATCCAAGGCTACGCCTACTCCGGTGGTGGCCGAAAGATAACTAGAGTCGAAGTATCCCTAGACCAAGGCGATGTTTGGAAGCTAGCAAAAATGTGAGTCCCGCTATCATAGCTCCGTCTATATTCACATATTGTATGGGGAACAGCGACTATCCCGAGGATCTATTCCGCACGATCTGTCATCACGACCCTGTGTACGGTACCCTGGATCTTACAGAGAGGGACACATCCTTGTCAGTGGGTCTAAGGTCCTCGCTTGCGAAAGTATTTAAAAGTGGCACAGTTGCTGGTGTTTCTGGTCATATCGCATCTCTCATGCCTCTCTCGCCGACTGCGACGCGATCATGGTCCGAGCCATGGACGAGGGTCTAGCACTACAGCCTCGAGATATGTGAGGATGAAACTGACTGGACATATTCACGCCTGACTGCACCTCGCAGGTATTGGACCGCTCTGGGCATGATGAATAACTGGTAGGCCTGTCTCTATCCCGTATGACGTTACCCTTATTTCGTGGTAGGTGGTTCAGGGTCGCAGTAAGCCGAACCGTGGTGGACGGCGAGATTCAGCTACTGTTCGAGCATCCCACCCTGGCAGGTACCGCGTCCGGAGGGTGGATGGAGGTAAACCTTCAGGTATGGCCTTGTATGGACACTGAATATTCTCTGTGTGCTAGCGTATGAAAGCTGAAGGGAAAGATATCGGTAAGCCTTCTTGGGGCGACAAACATACGGCGGTCACTTCAGGCGGGAGCTTCGCGCTAACTGAAGAAATTGCCATGACAAATCCCAAGGTGAAGAGGGATGTTACCCTTGAAGAACTTAGGCGACAGGATCGTGCTAAACCTTGGTTCGTTGTGAAGGGCGAGGTGTACGATGGCACACCCTTCCTCAAGGAACATCCAGGGGGAGCTGATTCGATCCTGCTTGTTGCAGGCGAAGATGCAACAGATGACTTCATGGCGATCCATTCTCCGGAAGGCCGAGCACGGCTAGCAGAGGTAATTTGGTTACGTTATTACTGTTGCATACTCATATCCTTGGCTCCTCCCACCACAGTATCACATAGGAACGCTGACAGGAGGAAATATGCGACCAGAGGGAGAGCCCGATGATATTTCGGTGAATTTCCTGAACAAAAGGGCGTGGAAGAGTGTTCGTTTGACAGAAATCCGACAATTGAACCACGACTCTTGGATTTATCGCTTCTCCCTTCCGACACAAACACGGCAGCTCGGACTGCCAGTGGGTCAGCATGTATTCGTACGACTGAGGAGAAAAGATACTTCGGAGCTGGTGCAGCGGGCCTACACACCAGTGTCATGGCACAAATCTGCTGGATCGGTCGAGTTCTTGATTAAGTGGGTTGCCTCCTTTGAGCACATGGTTGGTGTCTAACTTCTTGTCGTCAAGGATATATCATCCTTCGCCTCAATACCCCGCAGGCGGAAAGATGACAGTAGGATTTCACCAGCTCACCATTGGAGATCTCGTTGAGTTGAAGGGGCCTCTCGGCTCTTTCGAGTGGAGAGGCTCTGGCGTCGCTGTATGGAAAGGTGTGGAGAGACGCATCAAGAACCTAGGTCTCATATGCGGGGGCAGTGGTATGTCTGCACCCTCTCTGGAGATACTGTCTGACCAGGACACCTAGGTATCACGCCAATTCTCCAGGTTTTGAGGCGCGTACTCCACGACGAAAATGACCGGACACGACTCTGGCTAATCAGCGCCAATAAGACGGAAGCAGACATCCTTTGCCGGGACGAGTTGGAGGTCCTCCAATCCACCCATGGCAACAACCGCTTCCGCTTGCATTACACGCTCACAACTTGTCCCAACCAATGGAAGTATGGTGTCGGGCGGATTAGCGAAGACATGATCGCCGAGCATATGCCTAGCCCGTCGCACGATGGCTTGATCTTGGTCTGTGGCCCAGACGGAATGATCTCGCACTGCGTGAAGCCTGCATTGAGGCGTCTAGGTTGGGATACCGAGCAGTATCTGGTTGTATTCTGACTCCTCCTATCTTGGTACAACACTCGCGAAAAGCCAGTTAGACTGGTGACGGCTGGGAGAGAAACGCGAGACAGAGCAAACCCTTTCAGTAGGCAATGCAGGTGGTGTGATGTTTTGGGGCAATTTGTACCTGGGAACACCTTGACTTCCGGAAGGGACGGTGGTTCTCAACACGTAGAATAGAGACCACATCACATACCTTGGCTTAGCCATGACTCGTACGATACACAGGCTAGCGAACAACAACATTAGAGATCGTCACTCGCAGTGATCTCCGGATTGTCTGTCACGGAAGATGCGGTGGACCAGTACATGGACTGGTTCCCAGTCTGTCTTCCCTACGTCGTTGTTAAGTTAGTGGGATGAGGACCATAATCTTTTCCGGAGTTCCGGTAACTCACAGTTCAACCGGAGAGCGCGTTCCGACAACCACCGGATCTAGCGGGAGTACAGGTGAAGCCCGCATACTCTTACACGCGGCTTTCATGCAAGTAAGCGTGTCCCCACCAGTATCCCCGTCTCCTCGGAATTCACTGAAAGGACAGATATCCCGCAAGCTGACATTAGCCCGTCCGCACCAAGGTGGTTCGGGAGTATGGCCTTTTTGTAGGAAGAGAGATACGCCCCAATCCATTGAGGCGCGGTTGACGTGATAGTAATCACTGTAGACATGGATGTGGCGCTAAGCTCATAAGTGGGTTCATAAACATCTGGCAGATTCGATGGCATCAGGTTTCACGGTAATTCAGGAGGAGCTCGAGCGAGATGAGAGGACTCGTTAGCCAGGGCAACACCAGTGCTTGTGCGCAAGCATATCAAGCTGTAGGGCTTGGGCATGCATTGCCTGAGAAGTGTCCTGCAGATCTGCGACCGAATCGAGACTGTGGGCAACACTCTCGTCGGTGACTAGAAGGCTTCCGAGAGTGACATCTAGGAGGAAGACATGACATAAGTCAAAAACGGTACTGATTGATCGTGAGCGTCTGAGGGAGGTACCAGGTATACACATAAGTCACCGACCGGATGAAAAGGGCGCAGCGTCAAGAGTATGCTCAGGAAAACTGTTCTCCTCACCGAACGCTCCCCCGCAGGATCAACAGCGTGACCCAGCCAGGCCGACGCCCACGATAGCCGTGGTGTGTCCTCTGCGGACGGATGGAGCCACAGGCCGAATGACTCACTGATAAGTCAAGAAGAAGATCAAGCGTACGAGGGGCGGCTGCGACGACTATGGACCTATTAAGGATGCTGCAGCAGCCAGGCAAGACGCACGCTGAGCCGGGACGAGCAGTTCTTGGTGATCATTCCATATTGCAGAGCCTGAACATAACATACCGAAAAGGGCTACTGTGCTTGCATTCCTGTGGCTTTTGAGGAGGCCTGGCCGCTCCCGTAGCCACAGACGCAGGAGTCCGTCCCCAACTTCCAACGTAAGCAGACGTACCTATGGTCAAGATCAAGCAACTTGCTTTGTCGCTATGGGGAGCGATCAGGACGGCTTTTGCCTTGCTACTGGAGATCACATTTATGAACCCGTGGAATATGCGGAAAGGAACCTGGATGCCCCCACGAGAGGTACAGCAATACGATATCGACGAGACCACTGGCTTCCTCCCTCACGAGCCACTGAGGGTATTGCCAACGGAGTTCAAACGATGGGAGGACGCACTACTCGAGGCACAGGCGGAAATGAGTCTGGGAATTGACGACAGTCCCAGCAGCAGAGATAAACGAACTGCAGGGGCCCAATGGAGGGATCGCGTGAGGATGGTAAGCAATTCCCCGCGCAGTCGGAACAAAACTGACTGATACAATACCAACCTACAGTGGCCGGTGCTGGATACGGATTGCCTCGCTGGCGACCTACGGCTACTTCAACGAGCCCACTTGATACTAGCATTCCTCGTCCATTTCTTCGTGCATTCCCAGCCCCGAGGGGAAGCTGGCCCGTCGGTGCTGGTGCCTCGCAGTTTAACTGTGCCATTGACGGCAGTCTCGAGGAAGTTAGGAATAGCACCCATCCTCACGTTCGCGGATGTTGTCCTTTGGAATTGGACCGTCATTGACGGCAGCCGGTCCTTATCAGTTGGCAACATCAGGCATGTGAACCTTTTCTCTGGCAAAGAAGACGAGAGAAGCTTCTATGCCAAATGCGCGGCAATTGAGTTTGAAGCTGCCCGAGCGCTCAAGATCATAAATAATTATTGCCGCATGGAAGATGTCGACAGCCCAGGCGCAATAGGCGACATTGGCGAAGATCTCGAAAGACTAGCAGAGATCGTCAAGGGACTTACGAGAGTGTTGGGTTCGATGCGGGCTGTTGTGGACCCATACACCTACTACCATGAAGTTAGACACTGGTGGAAGGGAAGCGGTTCAGAGGGCCAGGGTTCGCCTCCTTGGCCATACGAGGGAGTCGCCGACAACGATGTCCTTGACCTGAGCGGGCCATCAGCAGGCCAGAGTCCAATCATGCATGCCATCGATATCTTCCTCGACGTCGACCACATGCTCGCAGAGACACGTCTTCCGGTGCCTTCGGGACGCGATAAACGGGCTGATGTGGGGTTCATGGAGAGGATGCGGCGGTATATGCAGGGGAAGCACCGAGATTACTTGGAGTCCTTGGCGCGTATGCCTCACGATATCCGGGTCCGGCAGGTGGCGGCGAGACATCCAGAGAAGTTGCAGGACGCATACAACCAGGCTGTTTTAGCTCTCAAGGAGTTTAGAGACGCACATCTGCGTATCGCTTGTCTCTATATTATCTCAATGTCTAACTCGAACCGAGTCGCTGCCTCTGAGGTGCCGAACAAGACGAGCTCTGGTCCAGCAAGAGGGACCGGAGGGATGGAGGTCTCGACGTTGCTGAAGGCGACGAGAAATGCAACTTCTAGAGCACTTCTGCCGACCACTAATACTCGTATCGACAACCGCGGTGAAGAGCAAGGAAGATTTTCGAAGGAATAGGCCGCGGAGGTGGTAGGGCAACCAAGCGGGTGCAGGCTGTGGAAGAGAAGCAGCACCGGAAGTCCTCGCATGGTAAGCGAACGTTAAGCTGTGGCTTTCAGCTGCACCTTTGTTCTCTTCTCTACGGCTACTTCAAATGTATTTACTATAAGTATCAATCCCCGCTCCTTGTCCTACGCCAAAAGAATGCTATCGAGTTCGCCAAAACCGATAAATGTCGGTCGTACTTCTTGACGAAGCCTCACCAGGGCCCAGAGCATGGAAGCTAGGCTAGATGCAAGCATAGTACATTGGCAGGCAGAACTGGATAAAGCGTAGGCGCGACAATCCAGTCATCGTAGGTATATATCCTTGACTCATGGAAATACTGAGTGCCCCTGGCAGCAGTGTACCAGACCCCGTCCATCTTCGGTGGCCACTAATGTCCTATCACACCCTTCCCGGGACCCTCTGTTATTCAATATATCAGAATGGGATTACTAGGCACCCCTTGAAGGTACACCCATCTATTCAACCCTCAAGCGAGAATGACAGCTCAGACCATCTGTGCCCGCCCGATGTCGGTCTCGTCAGCGAACTCCCTGGACAGGTGGACGGTATAGCCAATCTCGTTATTATCAAATGGTCCGTAAAAGAGGGAACGGTCTGATACCGAGAATTTCAGGTCAAATGGATGCTTCACGTGTGGGAGATAGATACCGACCGTATCTGTACAGCGGCTTCCCGGTCCTCAGTCTCTCGACAAGGTCGGGGTTGGAGACAAACCAGCGGCCGAATGCTACAGCATCATGTTCCCCCTGCGAAGGTTTACATGTGCGACATCGAGTCTTCGTTGGAGACGCTCACCTTCTCAACGCCTTCCCAGCAATTTCCCGGATGGTAGCCACCGGCTACGATGCACTTAGTGGGTGATCTGATAGCTTCGCGGTACGGTCTCAATGACACCTCTTCTTTGGTATCTGAACGGTGCAGAAGCTCGAGCTTCTCGCCTTCAGACCGCCATTCATCGAATCGAGGCTCTATGAGATGACTGCGAAGTTTTTCGTCATTCTACTTCCGTAGCAAATAGGTCGGGTTTTCCTCACACATAAGCCACTTCAAGCTTGGAAAGTGCTGAACATAAATAGGTCCATTGATGTCGACGGTCGTCGCCTCTAGTCTGCGCGTAACATCAGTTACTGGACGTTACTCTGTAGTAGGGATCTGCTCACTTCATTGTATAGCCCGAACGGTGCGAGTCGTACGCCCACTTTGTCGGAGCCGATGGCGTCGCAGAGCTTCTGAGCGAGCTCGATCGTGAAGCGACACCGTGCCTCGGGCGAACCGCTGTACTCGTCCATCCGCACGTTGATATTCGAGTGGTGAAACTGGTCCGGTAGATACCCGTTGCAAGCGTGGACCTCGACGCCGTCAAACCCGCTCGCAATGGCGTTTCGAGCCGCTGTTATGTACTCCTGGTGGACCTCCTGTATCTCGTCGTAAGTCATGGAGTGTGGCGTGTCAAAGGGTGCTGGGTCGTAGCCTTTGGCTCGGTGCAGCGTTTGTATCGGGACGGCGGATGAAGACCATGGTTCAAGGCCGGTCAGTCTACTATGTGCTGCACGTCCCTGATGCCAGACTGCTAGTCATTAGCTCCGTCGGGGGTGAACCGCAAGCGCCTGTAACTTCCGGACGTACGTTGACAGAAGATGAAGCCTTGCTTGTCATGGACCGCTTTTGTGATACTCGCCCACCCTTGACATTGTTCGAGGGTATATATTCCAGGGACGCCTAATGACCCCGATGCGCGTCGGGAGATAGGCCTGTACATATCGTTCAAAAATCAGGACTGGTTCGGTTCCTTTTCACGTGCGGGACTCACGTAGCTTCCGATATAAGAAGGCCGCCTGGCGTTGCCCTCTGGTAATAATAGAGAGTGTTTAGTTCATTCGGAACCCATGTGTTCTTGTGCGCTTCTGAGGACGACGCCCTGTTCCGGGTGAGCGGGGCAAGGACAATTCTAGGTGGGACTTCCAGGTTAGTGATCACATAGTATATTCATCGAGAGCCGTAGGCCATACCTATGAGACAGTGAAAGATTACCTAATACCAGGGGAGCAAACAGCTTGCTTTGCGAAGGGTCTACTGGGCCTGAAGCATGCATGGTCGAACGAGAAACAGGTCCGACTCCGCATGAGTCATTGCATAGTCGCTCGACCATCCCAAATTCAGATACTCGTTGACGCCCGAGTTGCACGGGCTACCTTGCATACCAAGGATGCTGTACTTCAAATAGAGTGCTCGATATGCATGTGCAGTGCCTTAAGTGAGGTCTTGATTGGGACTTTCAATCCATCAACGGAGCAGCGGCCCGGGAGGGGTGCCGGAAGGCAGCACCGTGATTGGCCGTCGTCTTCCCTGGCGTTCAACGGTGGCGTTCGAATTCACTGCTTATGCCGTCTTCAACGCATACAGGGGAACAATGCGTCTGAACCGCTTCCCTATATTATGTACTCTGGCTTTGTTTTCCTCATAAGCTCCCCTGACCTCGGATATCTGTATTTGCTGGGAAGTACATGTATATGCGCAGATACATTCCTGAACCGTAACTCCCAATATGCCAGCCTGGATGCCCTCCGACAAGGCCTGCTCTTAAGCTTAAGTATAAGCAGGACAGTTATCGGGGGTACATGGGTGATATGCATCCACAGACTCGGAATACGAGGAGACTCTGATTAAGAGACCGCGCACACTCGGCAAGGCGAGGAGCATCTCAATGAGCATGTCAATCACCAGTATACGCAAGTCAAGCGTCAGGTAGTTCGCCTGCAACAATGAGATCAGGGCCGTCTAACATCTTAGAGGCCGATACCTGTCAATGTCGCTTCTATCGGTGGGGATTCGTGGACTTCAGATTCGATAGAGCCCCATAGCTATCTGAGCCACATATCTGCAGGAATCGCTAAACAAAGGAAATCTACTGTGATGTTCAGACATGCTGCTTATATCTATGTATCTCCAAGATAACGGGCCTGTTTCAGCAAAACGGCGGGTGGATGAAACGCCTGTGCACGTCGGTGGCCCTTGAATCAAATTGCGGAAGCCTTCTGCTATTATCTTTTCCGGGATACGAAGCATTGACATTTCATCAGGATCACTCAGGATATAAATGCACTTCCGGCTTGGAGGAAAGTTGTAGGATGATGACCTCGGAAGGTCGTTAGGATCCCGCCGCTTTCACGGAGATTGCCAGATCCCAAGTCCCTGAAAGAGGTGATGCACTACATAAGCGCTGAGATGAGGAGTTATGTGCTATTATAGTATAAGCCAGCATACATCTCAGGATTCCGGGGGATCGAGCATGCATAAGAAGTGGCAGTTGCCGCAGCCTCGAAACGTTTCTTGTCAAATCGCTTATTCAGCAACAGATTCGCGTGTAAAAACGCCTCCAGGACAGTGCTCACAGCAGCACGTGAAGTGTTGGGCCAGCCAACAATATACAAAGTTCGATGAGGGCCGTCAAAGATCTGCGGAAAGCGCTCGCAGCAGAGGTGCAGTGTTTATAGAAAGGGGGCTGCCGACGGCAACGGGCAAGTATGATTGGCTGTCGCCTTATCTGGCGTACGACGGACCTTAGACGGACCCCGCCCCCGTTCCCTCTGTCCTACACAGCGACCGGCGTCCTACGAGCACTGCGAGGCCGCCAACTGCGCACAGGAAAAGGTTGAGATTCCAACAGGATCTTACACAAGCTTCTCGGCTTCAGTTTCGCGGCGGCTCGCCAAGTTATGGACCCGCAATCGCCGGCGACGGTTGGGCTTGCCGTCGGCCCACTGCAGCAGCCCACTCCTTCTCCAATCCACACTAAACGAGGTTCTGTCGCTGTAAATTAATTTCCTTGTGATAACCACGAGGGCTCTCTCACAGCATCGTCTCTAGTGCAAACGTTGTCGAAGGGCAAAGACGAAATGCTTACATTTGGGAAAGCCACCCTGCCGTGAGTTATCATATTCTGCACACTTCAAGGCGTCCCCGGCGTTCTTATGTGCTGCTGCGGTTAAAAGGGAGTTGTTCTGAGGCCGGACTGGCTGCGACATGTGTATTTCCGCCGAAAGGGACGAGCTTTATTGACCGGGCGGTATGTACTTGACGGGGCGATCGTTGAGCGCGCACGACAGACTGAGTTGCTCCATCCAGCCTTCGAGACGTGTCAAGCGAGTCGATAGTGTGGACGGAAATACGAATGGATCTATGTCCCGTGCATTATCGTCGCCGTCCGAAAAAAATCCCTCCGACCTCGGCAGCCCTCGAGTAGTACCCAACGGACGGGGTTCTGAGTCGAGAGAATGGAGTAATCCACCGGTAGGGCCCGTGGAAGACATGTGAGTTCGTCTGTAGCGAAGTCCCAGCTGCTTTATGTTTGTTGATTCCATGGGGAGTAGCCTGCCGCCACAGGAGTTGATCGAAGAAGCATGCGACATATTCTTCGTGCGCATTAATCAGTGCGGTTAGTACCACTGTTTCTTGGTCATTTGATTCTTTATCAATGTCCCATCTAGCTTTCCTACATAAGCCCACGTTCATAGCCAGACTGCGCGATCCCGCAAGGGTCGTCAGTTCCGTCCTCATATATGCAATATGCGCATCCACATATCGGTTCTCCCCTGGTCTGGTCCAGTTCTGCGGCTCTTGTAAACGTCCACCGAGCTACTTTGGAGACAGGGCTAGAGCGCTCTTGTTCGAAGCTTTGGGCGAACCTACGCTGGAGGCGTGCCAAGCTGCGTATTTACTGGGCATAGCAGATTGGGGAGCATGCAAAGGCAAACGTAGTTGGATGATCATGGGCATAGCGGCAAGGAGTAAGTCGCCCTAGTATCTCATGGATTGACTTTCTGACCGCTGCCTCATCAGTGGCATTCCTTTTGGGCCTTCACAAAGAAGAAACTCACGCGGTTCCTCCTGGCTCTCCGCGAGACCAGATCATCGCAGCCGAAGAAGCGCGACGGACATTCTGGACGCTCTACATCAACGAGTGAGTGAACTACCTTTCTTCCCTACCCTAATGCTAAAGCCAACTACAGTCGGTCCAGCAGTAGCGGCGGCTGCCGTCCTTCTGCCATCCTTGCCAGCGAAGTGAGCGCGCGATTGCCCTGCGACGAAGACAGCTTCGCGTTCGGGACGCCCACACCACCGTATTACCTCGCGGAGTTCCACAGACCGCCCCTCCAGCCGAATGGGAGCCCCGTGGATATGGGTATGATGGCGTATATGGTGCAAGTGGCTGAGCTGTGGGGAAGAGCCGCTCGGCGGGCATGCAACACCGACCGGCTGCAGGGCGAGAAAGTGCCTCCATGGGATATGCAGAGCGAGTATTCCATTCTGAAATCTGATTTGAATTACTGGAGGAGTGTACGTTATAGTCTGGTCAGAATGAACCATGCTGACTCCCCTTCATTTAGCAATTGCCTAATCGACAGCAATACAGTCGTGGCAACCTCTCGGTGTACTATCAGCGCGGGCTAGAGACCGTAAGTTGTTGACCCTGGTGCAATGAAGTTTTTGTGACATTAATGTTCTGTAGGCTTTCACTTGGAATCATGTCGTTCACAAAGCCGCGGAGGTGATCTTGCGTCGTGCATATCTGCCATACATCATCCGCGCTCTTGCCCCGGAGACCTCGGGGCTATCACTTGATTCGCTGGAAGCTCCCTGGCAGGGCGATGTGACGCCTGCTCCCCATTTCTGGGTCCAGTGTGGCAAAGAGATGTTCTATGCTGCAATCGACTTGATCACGATCATCATGGACTTCACAACGCTGACACATTACTCGGGACTTTCTCCGCACCTAGTGAGTCATTTTCGAGTTGGACTTTGTTTGCCATCTGAACCTGGTGTTTCGTGATAGGGGTTTAGCACATTCCTTGGTGCAGCAACTTTAATGTATGCTTGGCGATGGCCGTGGCGTAAGATCAATTCTCGTGAATAAAGACAACCTAGTGCTTACTTTGGTAATAGTATTTCCAGAACGATCTATGGAAGTTCCCCAGTTGGTTTTAGCGTCTACGGATATCCTAGCGACGATGACCCCAACTTGGCCGATGGCACGTCACTGGGTTAAGCTACTTCGTCAGCCCATCAAGAAGCGTATCGACGAAGCTGTCCAGGACGACATCGCGACGGATCAGAGGGAAGGCATATATCGTCAAGCGTCGTCCCTCGATGACGATGGCAGTGGGAACAATTCCGGAGACGAGATGCTCAGCGGAGTATCCCTTGCGGGGAATGGCACAAACACGCCCAGATCACCGAACGACCATTCGCCTGTCGCACCTGCCCTTCATACGCTGGCGATGGCAGCCGCAGGATCGGTGGTGGAGGCACCCTCCCCCATGCAGTCTCAGCCTCCTATGCCGATGATGCACCCAGGTCAAGTACACCCGCCGATGGCCCATATGCTCCCTCAGGCCCCCCCGCAACATCAACAGGGCCAGGATTTCACGTCATATTCCTTGCTCGGGCCTCATTCCGAGATGCCTTTCGGCGATCCGAGCGGCCACCAATCCTTCAATGACGTTCTCGCATTCATGGAAGGTGCCGAACAGTGGGCGTATCCTCCTCCACCCCCCACTTAGGCAGGCCTGCCCTTCATGCGCCGCATATAATTTACAAAATACCTAGCGGGAGACATCTCTACTGTACATATTTCTTGGATGGCTTACCGCTGCGTATCCGCTTGTACTCTCCACAGCTTTATAGGGACTGTAAGTTTGGTATTCACAGGTCTTTCCAGTTGAATCTGTCCTCCCACGCAAGTGCTGCGCGGTATATCGTACTTTCGTCAAAATGCTTGCCGATAATCTGGAATGCAACCGGTAGTAGCAAGTCTTCAGGTCCATCATGAGGCGGGAGCATGCCAATTGGTAGCGTTAACGCCGGATGTCCTGTTTGATTAAACATAGCGCAATTTAAGTTCTAAAAAGCGAGTGAACAGTGTTTCTTTCGTGTGGAGTGGTCGTCTTACCTGGCCCACTGTCTTTGCTAATTTGTCCATTGGTCTGTCCGATTGACTGCCCAGCGTACCCGCGACTTGAGGGACAGTGGGCAGAATTATCACGTCGTAAGTGGCAAGCTTGTCGTCGTAAGCGTCTCTCAACTTTCGAAGCAGGTTCTGCGTCTTCCCATACAGCTGAAAGTATAACTATCAGGTCTGGCTTGATCTACATCTCCTTGGGCACTGCTTACCGAAGGCCATTTGTCCCAGCAGTAGGCACCGTTGATCATCACATTGCTTGCTGTCGGCCAAAGCTGTGATATATCACAGTCAGCTAGAGTCGGTCAGATGAGAAATCATGAACCTTGTCCCATTTTTGCTGCGTCCAAGGCACAAATTTGTCCGTGAGCTCCGTCAAATATAGCTCCTTCCGGGAGGAGGCTTGTCCCATTCTGCTAAGGTACCCCGCCATTCTTCCGACGGTAAGGTGATATATCGGGCCTTCTTTATGCAACGGAATAGATATCTCCTCGACGGTCGCGCCCAGTTCCTTGAACTTCATGGCGCTTTCGACGACCTTGGCATGGACTCGTGGGTCGACGCTAGACATGTCCAGGCCTTCGCGGAGGATTCCGATCTTCATGCCTTCCAGGGACTTGTGACGGCTCGCGAGGAGCTGATCAACGTATTTCGGGACGTCCTTGGGGAAAGGACAGCCTGCTCCTTGACGATCATCAATCCCGTCTGCTCCAGCAATGACCTGCAACATCAACGCGTTGTCCAGTACCGTTCTGGTGATAGGGCCTGAAAAAGGATGGTTAACAAATTGCGGTCATACTGACGAAGTCTTTCTGGCCTGTGTGGTCGTTTGTGGATTCGTTGGAAGCTATTCCTGTGTAGGGCACAAGTCCGAAGGCTGACATGCGGAATATCAGACTTCCTACTGTATGCCAACAGATTAAAAGGGGCTTACTTGGCTTCAGACCCACGCATCCACACAAGGCCGAAGGCATGCGGATACTCCCTCCCTGATCTGCCCCTATAGCGAGGTCTACCTGCTGTGCCGCCACGAGGGCGGCTGAACCCGACGAAGAGCCACCAGCGTTACGACCCCTTGCGTACGGGTTATGCACGGGACCCGTCGCTGCACTGAAGGAGACAGAGAACGTGCACATGTTTTCGCATACCGACTGCCCAATAATAGTCGCACCAGCTTCCAGGAGTCTGGTAACAATCTATCAGAGCTCGGATCAGTGTTCATATAGTGAGTGGCTCTTGTGGGATTAGTACTAGCCGTTGCGTCTGTTTTCGGGACATAGTCGGTGATAACTTCTGTTCCCAGTAGGCACGGGACGTCTGCGACCCCGACGCAATCCTTCAAGCACACCGTGCGGCCTGCCAGGGGACCCGTGGTGGTGGCATCGGTCTGGACGTCTTTCAAGGTGTATCTGGAAAGCTATCAGAAATTGGCGACGACACTAAGGAGTTTAATTTGCCTCCAAGCCCATGCACCAAGCTCATTGTCCTCCTTTGCCGGATAGTATATGTCCTCGCGCGGGAACCTCACACGGTCGGGAATAGGATAGTAGTCCTCTTCATCCAAGATGCTGACTTATGATGAGCTGGGCGGACACGATGGAGTCAAGTCCTCTCACCGCTGGACAGAGTCGTGCATTGCTTGCAGAACTCTAAGGTAATCTTGCTCTTCCTCATCCTTCAGCTGGATAGGTCCGATTTTCGAGATAGTATTCCGTAAATCCTCCAAGGTAACTGGGTTATCTCTAGAGAACAGATTACGGATGAACGACCAGCGAAAGGGAGGCTACAGACGTCGATACGTGAAGGGAAACAACAGACATGCCGGCGATGAACTACGCAGTGCAGAAGACCAGTGGAGAAGGCCACGAGACACAACGATGTGTACCTCTTCAAGAAGAGGGCAGCGGGAAAGAAACTCGCGGCAGTCCGTGAGGGTCTTTCCCGCTGCTCTGGACATTGCTGATTAAAGACATCGTTGAGTTAACGCTCGCAAGCCCTGCTATCTCGCCGACGGCAGAGAGATGAAGAAGACGAGTCTTGCCGGACGAACACTAGACCTGCCTAATCGGGTGGCTGCATCTCAGCTGAGATTTCCAATACCGGTGGCTGTGGCCCTTGGTACGAACGTTGCTTCTTGCCGTCGAGCTGAATATTTGCCGGCGTGAGCGGAAGCATAACTCTGCCTGCGCTGGAATGGCAAACATGAGTGCCATATCATTTCATGCCCGGCGGTATGAGAGGTCAAGTGACAACAGTCAGTGATGAGCCGCAGACAACTGCGAGCTCGCAGGGAATAGACGAAGACTCCAATGCACCAGATACTTTCGCTGTCCATAACGCCCGCTCGCGCTTGCTAAAGAGCCTCATCATAGCCTGGCATTGTGTGAGATCAGTCACACGATCGATTAACGAGGCCGATACGAGCCACCGGCAAGAATACGACTGGTCGACCCGATATTCATTTCAACTAGAAGCCTGCAGGCGTAGGAAGGAACTTCACAAGTCTACGTCATTATCATCTATCGGTAACAAGGTTGTGCGTATAATCGCACTCACGATTACTGATAGTGATACGGCACAAAAAGCCTCGGGGACGCTGGAGGACGGAGATGTCGCAGTCCCCCACCAAGGCTTCTAGTGTCTCGAGTCACCGGAAATAATCACTCCTGCGTCAGCGTGCCGGGGTAGCTTTAGCTGCCGAACCGTCACCTAGAGTCAAGACTAGATATCATCCCTCAACAGTCGCTCCTCGATGCCCGAGTCCACAACATTGGCGTGTGATGTTTCCAGTCGTACCTCGGCTTGGTGAGATTTGCCTTGCTTTCCGGAGACCCGCATTGCCTTATTATTTTAACAGGCCTGTCAGGTGTATAGAGCATACCTTACTACCGATTGCTGTCGTTTCAAAACTATGACACCCGGCAGCCCCACCTGACAAATCAACGACGCGACTATTTTACCTCTAGAACATGTCAGTTTAGCGGCGCCAAAGTCTACTAGTAGTTGACATTCCGACGGCACAATATAGCCTCTGGCCTGGCGCTCTGGCTACGCGATCCGGAGGCCCTTGAGTCAACCCCGCGGCGAGAATTCTGGCGCTCAGGTCTATTCTTTGCGTACGTGCGAGCGTAGGACTGCCTGTTTATACCGGGGCTTCCATACCATCCAGGAGGAACCTTTACTCCTGAAACATGCGTCTAGCTTCTTGCGCTGGTTCCGAAATCCGCGTTTGGCCTTCCATTGGGCGCCCACGATCATACCACAGGAGAAGCAGGTTTGTTTAGCAGCCATGAGGCTGTAAGTGCTACCACCCTTCTTTCCATTGTCATTTGGTATGCATATCTACACTTCGTCAGGCTATCATTAAAATGGGGTATCGAACGTCGGTGCAAACTTAACCTCCTCGGGCTTGTATGGGAACTGACATGCGGCATGAGATACTTTCGTACCGCTCCATGCTGACTAGCACTCACTTTCTCCGTCCAGTGATTTGCTATCTGGGTGCGTGTGGCGACCCAGACGCCCTCCTTCTTGGAGATGTACTCGACAAATTTCTTGAGGGCCGGGAAACGTCCTGGTTTGCCGACGCTACAAGCAAGTAAGTCTCAGCAAAATCTCGGACGCGACGAGAGAAGAGCCCGTAGACGTACATGCGGCAGTGGAGGCCGATGGACATCATCTTCCCGCCTTCCTCTGGACACGATCATGAGAGCGGGCTGTCAGATAGCGTTTAAGCTCACCGACCGTAGAGCGTGTCGAACGCGTTGATGAGATGCTGCAGGAAGCCGTCGGTCGACGTCCACCCGGGCGGCGTATGGAACTTGAAGTCGTTGTTGTCGTATGCTGTCACAGCCGAAGAGGACCCGTTGATTTCTTCTCGGGGCCGCACAGGACAATAAGGGGTTACGTACAGTACGGGATCATGAGTAGGCCTTCGGACTTCTTCCCGCCTGGGTACGGGATCCAGTATGGCAGGTCGTCCGCATCTGTCGGACAGACGCGCTATCAGTGATCGGTGCGTAATAAACTGCGACAGGCTCACATGAATCGGACTGCCAGAGCAGAGGAATCCCCATTTCCTTATGCACCTGCGCGATCAGGCTGCGCGACTTGGACCTGGGCGATTATTCGGCTTAGAAGGTGCCGTGACGAGATGTGAAGGCATGGGGGGCTCACGACGGGCGCCCGAGGTACCAGCCCGAGGGGGGCTTGCCTGAGGGAGAGCATTTCTGGATGGCCTCGATGCCTCTGCGGACGAGCTGCTTCTCTGCTTCCTCGTTGCCCTCGTAATCGGTATGTTCGATCCATCTTTGAAATAGAGGGGTCAGGGCGGGCGTGGTAGGGGGAAGTCAGAGAGGACGTACCGGTATCCATGCATGGCGAGCTCGTGCCCGTGGTTCTCAAATTCGGGTGCTGCGATGGGGTTGACCTCGAGGGCGCGCCCGACCGCGTATATGGTGATTTTCATATTATGTTTATCGAACAGGTTCCTGGGCATGTGGGTCAGTCGTTACGACAATGTGCGCGGATGCTAGTCAGCTTCACATTATTCTCCAAACGCCAGCGCGACTGCCATAGTCAAACTGGGACTCCATGGTCCAGTCTCTTCGTCTATGGTCAAAGGATGTAAGTACGTGAGTGACGACATGTATGACTGCAGGACCTGGGCTTACCCATCCGTCCTCGGTACGGTACCAAACTTCTCGCCCAGGTTGGATTCGGTACGGGTATCCCCATTTGATGGGCTGTACTGCCGGGCATACAATCTGTGTGAGTGCTTTCATAACAAGAGAGTAAATGGTCTCACTTCGCCCCCTTCCTCGTAATTCAACACGAAGGACACGGCAATGCGAGCGCTGTTGGGCCACTCGGCGTTTGGGGGGCTGCGGCCATAGCCGGTGAAGTCGCGGAGGGGGTTGTCGAAAGAGTTAAGCTCCTCTGAGGCCATAGTGCCTATGTTAGTGGGAGAAGAAAGACGCATCCCAAAATACTGATGCGCGGGTGATTATAAGACTAAACTTGTTCGGTGCCCGGTCTCTCAGAAAAGTGCGATCATATGAGCTCCTCTGACCGCGGTCCATCTTGCCGTCGGAAACATACGATGCCAATGGCAAAGATAAGAAGGGGCTGTCGGCACGTCGCGCGCGAGGTGCTAAGTTTAAGGTGCACGAAGCCTGAGAGGGCACGGTGCCACCCGGTGTGTTTGGACGCCACCGAGGGCGCTGTGGCTGAGGTGGCTGAGTCAGATCTGGCAGCAGATCCAGCGGCACCGCCATGGCCAGGAACGACGGGGTGAGATCGCATCAGGCACCGTCCGGGTCGATCGCTGCGGTTCCACTTCGGGACATCCCCCGTATGCGTCTGCTTTCCTGGACTTATGTAAACATGTCCTCTTTCCCTGGCACGTCCGCCTTGCTGATGGGCCAGCACGTCCTCCTGCTCGTCCGGTCTCTTGTTTAGTCTCTGCCGCGTCTATCATCATTGTGGCTGCTTGTCTTCCGTCCGGCGCCACCAACTTATATTTTTACGGCTAGTCCAAGTCAGAGACCTAACCTCATTTGTTGGCCATCATTTGGTCCCTTTAAAGGGCCTGGTCATCGCCTATGGGAGCCGACAGCCCGACCATGAAGTCCCTGCACGACGTCCGCTCTATCGGCGCTGTCCTGCGGGCCTTGGAGACGCCGTACGTCGCCGACCAGGCCATTTGTCAGACCATACAAGAATATCCTGACATTCGCACAGCGGGTCTGAGGAATATCGCGGGCGTCATCAATGGAGCAACAAGGGTACGTTTGGCTAGTGCGTATGCGTGCGGATTGGTCGTTGAACGTTGAACACGCGCAGATCTCGACCCCACACCGGTCAGCGAGAGGAAATGGACGAAATGGGACTACATGGCGCTATGGTCTGTATCGTAGTAGAACGTGTAGCTTGCAGCACTGGCTGAGGCAGCGCGGTTACAGGTGGGGCTCGTCATTCAATGCGAACGCATGGGCTGCTGCGAGCTCCCTCGTAGCTGTCGGCCTTAGCTTTAGCCAGGCCATGGCTGTCAACATCATTGGCGCCTCCATTTCATCTGTCGCAACAGTCGCCAATGCCCGGCAAGGCGCGCTCTATCATATTGGTACCTCTCCCCTCCTAAATTCCAGGTAAACATATGACTCATACCTGTGACTCAGGCTACCCCATCGCCATACGGTCGCAAATGGGCGTATGGGGCGGCTACTTTTTCGTCTTCTTGCGTGCTATAGTTGCCATAGTCTGGTAGGTCCTACTGGCGGCATAATCTGCTGGAACATGGAGTGATGAACTGTCGCTCTCAGGTATGGCATCCAGGCATATTACACGGGGCTCTTATTCAGCGTGGCACTGAGATGCATGTACGTGCCCTCACTGCTGAGCCGATGTCATAGCTTAACCTTATAACCCATAGCTTCGGGCACAAGTGGACCGACCTCAAGCCCTTCCCTGCCAGCGCGGAAATCACCTCATATGATTTTACGGCATTCATCGTAATATGTCGGTGCTACTTCACTCTGTCCGTAGTGCGTAGCTCACCCGCTGCCCAATAGACTTATTACAACTACCTCTGGTAGGCCTGCCGCGCCCTTCGAAATCCCCCGGTGTCACCCGGGCTAACATGTAAGACAACAGATGTTCGTACACCCATCCAACATCCGGCGCGCATTCGAAGTGAAAGCCTTCATCCTCCCGCCATGCGCCATCGGCCTCACCGCGTGGGCGTGTGTCAAGGCGGGCGGCTTCAGCAAGTTCGACCTCGCGACGCGGACGACCGTCAGCGGCGGCGCGCTGGGCTGGGCGTGGATGAACGGCATTAATTCCGTCATCAGTGCCGTAAGACACCTGCTTGCTGGTGTGAGGGTTGTGACAGAGTTTCTGACTCGTGTTTAGGTGTCACCTATGATGATTAACCAGCCTGATCTGGCGAGGTATGCGACTAAGCCTGAGGAAGCCGGCTCCTGGCAGGTTTGTGGCGACCAACCAGAACTGTAAACGAACTGACAAGGTGTATAGGGGTATGCCATGTTCATCTGCAAAAACCTCATATCTTTTGTGAGTTCTATCCATCACCTCCACGGTGGCCGGCGCGCTGATATCAATCACTCCAATTCCACAGATGTCAATAGCGACGACATCCGCTCTAAAAGTCATGTACGGCGGCGACCCAGCCTGGAACCTGTGGGACCAACTCAATATGATCTTGAACCACACCTGGACGCCCCTCTCCCGCTTCTGCATCTTCATAGTAGCCATGACCTTTGCGTTCGCGACTGTCCTCACGAACATCTCAGCAAACTCCATCCCGTTCGGCGCGGACATCTCCGGCGTCGCCCCGCGGTGGCTCACCATCCGCCGCGGACAAGTGCTCTGCTGGATCCTGGGGCTCGCGATCGTGCCGTGGAAGTTCCTTGTCGATGCGGCCAAGTTTATCACTTTTCTGGAGAGCTATACGATCTTGATGGGCGCTGTCATCGGGGTTGTTCTATGCGACTTTTTTGTGGTGAGGAAGGGAAATATTCATGTTCCTTCCTGCTAGTGAGTTCCCGTTCCTGTCTTGGATGCGACGCTCAGCTGACGTCTGCACAGCGATGGGAGTAAGGACGGGCTCTATTATTTCACCAGGGGTGTCAACTGGCGTGGATGCTGTGGGTATTTCCACTGCAAACCATCTGATTGTATGGAGCTGACATTGGTTCTGCAACGGACAGTTGCGTGGTTGTGCGGCTTTATAGTGCCCTTTCCTGGTCTCATCGGCAGTTACGACGCGAATGCGGTTAATAATGCCGCGATTGATATGGTACGTCTACAAATCCGACGCTGCCGGGAGATTCTCTAGCTCTGACACCGGCCCGCTAGTATCAGCTCGGGTGGCTGCTGAGTGTGGCTATATCCTTCAGCGTGCATCTTTTGCTGAACCTTTTGTGAGTCCAATTACTCTTTTGGGCTCAAGGGCCCCGCTTCTCACCCTGCATCATGATGCACCCACACCCTCGTAGATTTCCCGTACCCGTATTCCCAAAGAAGTACCGCCAGATGCCTGTGACATGGGAATACCTTGGGGATCAGACCCGGAACGGACTCTTCGATGACGAGCATTGGGTCGGCCCTGGCGAACCGGTGCTCTCGATGGTCGAGGCTGGGAACGGCGACCCCGCGGACGTTGGCTGCGACTCCGAGGAGAAAGAGGGACGAAGCGAGAAGGCGTCTATCCACCAGCCCGAGAGCTTAAACTCTGAAATTCAGTACCGGTAATGGCGCCCGCATGCTGCTTCAGCTTGTCGCGCCTCCCACGTTGTTTTGCTCTGGCTGCTCTCGTGCTGTTTTATTGTTGTGTTCTATGGCTCTTGCCACACTGATCGACTTTTGACTATCGGAAGTATGTACTAATCTCGCTAATAGTAGCAGTAACATCTCATAGATATTTTTCGTCGTTGTACATGATATTTCGGATAGGACTTTCTTGCTCTCGATGTAGGCTCGGATGGATTATCCCGGCACGTATCTTTATGGCCTGTGTAACTTACACGATTCATGCTGTTCGTAGAAATTTAGATGGTCACGGTTGATGTAGACAAAAGATGTGTTGTGGTAGATATCGATGTACCAAAAGCATGGGCAACACGAGAGTACAGTGTCGGTCACTAAGGATCGGCGCCTCCATAGCGCCTTAATTAGGGCGCCGCAGACCTCCAGAAAAAAATTTGAAACATAAACCTGGCCAAAATATGCGTAATCCTGCAATTTCGATTTTTTGATGGATTACGTAAGCGTTCACTTTTAGGGGTGGAAATTTCAATATTACGGATTTCGTTGAGGGAATGATCCTGAAGTTGAATGGTGTATAACAAGCATCGAAAGGTGAGGCATCCTCACTCACAGAAGTCCCAGTGCCCCTTCAGGGTGACCTTACTCCAGAAATAGTGCTGTATGAGGGCGTATTATATGATTCTAGATCTCCACAAGTCAGCTCATATGCCCTCAAGCTTACCTGACACTCTGAGTATCAAGAACTGTGTAACGAGAATGGGACCTGACATAGGGGTAGTAGACCCATTATGGGTTAACTGCATTAGGGTTAGGGCGTATTACTAATTACAGCCATCAATGCATATCTATATATGGTAACTCCGACGCAACTCCGCTTCAAATTTACTTTTCAGGTATGTCAAAATTTTAAATATTGGAATTTCGAGAAAGTAATCAGATAGCCTGAAAGCTACGGGCAATCCGAGTCGATTGGCGCTGTTTTCAGGCCCATTGGAGTCTTTGCCCGGGACGAGATACCATCACGCGTTCGGCTATGCCCGAGGCGTCGGTTTTGAGCGACCGACACTGTATAAATTAGATGCTGTTATTCTTTCCAGCCTTTATCAGCTCTTGAACTCATCGTGGACAAATATGAGCAAACTCTTCGATTGTGACTCCTTGCCTCGGTGTGCCCGTCGATGGATTGACTGCAAGTCGCAGAGCTGGATGAGTAGGGGACAGACAGCAACCCAAGATGGCAGAAGCAATCGATAGCAAGTAGATAACAAGTCGAGAGCAACTGCAGAGCACAATTACAACCTAGGGTTGACAGTAGAGTGTACATAGTCCGTCCATAGACGAGAGGAAGCCCTGATATCGATCATGGCAGGGGCACCGCAGGGACGCCCCTGAGGACATACCACAATCGACGCTTCCAGTGGACCAGCGCACGATAAGCTTCCACGATGGCCAGTTCATCTCGTTCAGGCACTCGGGATCGCAGCTTCCAGCTGCTAAGTGACATTTGAATTGCCTGGAAGCGAGCCACCACTTCGTCCATGGTAGGCCGCTTTGCGGGGTCATCTTGGACCATATCGGCGACTAGCCTCTCCATGAATCCAAAGCCACGCTCGGTCTGCCAGTGACGTAAATGTCGTTCAAGTGGAAGTATGGAAGTCAAAATACCTGTAGAAAATCCTCCCTGATCATATTGCCCAAATAATAGACGTCGGTAGGGAAAGGATCCACTGGCTTGATAGAATTCTGGAACTCGGGCACGGATTTGTCTCCTCCGAAAATGGGCGGTTCGCGAGGGGGTCCGTCGTCCGGATTGTAACATCGTGATAAGCCAAAGTCAATTAAGTAGTACTTCGTAGGGTACTCTGTCCGAGTGTAGTGCTTGGCCGAGCCGGTCATATCAGGCTTCATGTCCGTCACTACAGGATGAAACCCTTCAGGGTATAGTGCAGTGCCATCCATCATAATATTTCGTCCATCACAATCCCTTCAGAAAAGAACTATGTCAGAGTCGCTAGACACGAAGAAGTGGCTCCTACACTGACCGATGGGCTACGTGATGGGCATGCATGAATTGCAACCCCTGGTAGACATACCAATCAAGGAGTATGGATGGATCACTAAGTAAAGACACAAACCTCGAATACTTGCTGGAAGTACGAGACAACTTCGCCGAAGGTGTCAAAACGAGGCTCGTAGTAGGCACGTAAGTATGGCATAACGATCAAGGACATGTCTTCTTCGTCAGGGACCTGGAGAACCTCGATAATGCGGACGCAATGGTTCCTTGGATCGGATGCAAGAGGCTCAGAAGAGAAGTAGAGGCCGATTTGAATTTCGTGAGGATGGCGCGCTTTGACCACTTGTTTTAGGGCCACTAGCGCACCATCGGAGACGCGAGTCGCGTCGATGAGATTCCCCCGCTGATACCCGTGTATCCTGATCAGTAGATACGGCAAACACTCTAATGCTTACCCTTAGTGTAACACCATCCGGAGCGAGATAGTACTCCTTGTTCGTCCCCTTCCACGACGGACGCCATGCGTCCCTGTATCGAGGCCTCAGCAGATAGCCTGACTGTTCAAGCCACTTCTGGTGTCGTCGCCAGAAGAGTTCCGCCTTGGAGAGAGAGCCTCCTTCCTCAGGATCAAGCGGCTGGACGTCGTGCGCCATGGTACCTACCGCTGGCTCGACCTATGCAGAGGGGCACATCCGGAGGACATCCCGTCCAGTGTGCTTACCTCGAGCAGAGCAGGAAGCAGGACCCCGTACACTGCCTGTATTTCTCCGAGCAACTCAGAGGACCCCTGATTATTAGTACAAATGCCTGATCAGGTTCCGGACGAATTTTGGCCTTTCGGACCCTGCAGACATATCTGCCTGATTTTGGCCCTTCCGGGAGACACGCCTGAATTTCCGGACAAAAAGGACCCACTTTTGGGCCCTTTAATTCAGATCAGGCATTTATCAGTGCCACACACTTACCACAAACCTCCACAAACACACGCTCATATTGCCAGTAAGTAATGACATGCATGCCTCCTTCAGAGTCCTTTCCGCCGAGGGAGCTATGCCCTGGCTGATAATCACAGCATGAAAGTGTTGTAAGTATGTCGATACAAGGGTCGTGCGCGCGGCAAGCATACCCTCCAGGATGCCAGTGCCGTACTGCGATTCTCGCTGCCTTGGTGCCATCTCCCCCAAGTCTGGTCTACTCCTTCCGATCTTGTAGAACGGATCGTCGCCGCAGTAGCGATTTACCCCGATATTATTCCTAAGGACCTGTCTTCAGGAAGAATACCGGTTGTTCTTCTCCATCATGAGTCGATTTACACTTCCCCCTGCTGCTAACTGTGCTGCTAAGAGATATTTCGATGTCATCCACCAAAATATGCGAGCTCGTTACGAGGGAGAGAAATGGAGGCAACAGGGCAAAAGAATGATATCCGACGACGAATGGGAACAGTTGGAAAAACTCTACAAAGAGTCCGTTTCTCCGACTTTAGCGATAGGATACTGACCATCATATCAGGCTGAATGAATGGCGGGAAAGAGTGCAGAAAGACTCGAGTACCTGGTTGGGATCACTCAGAGCACTGCCCGATATCCGCCGCCTTGCAAAGCGGTCCAAGACATATGTCACAGACGTTCGGGTACGTCCCTCTATCTTTCCTTCGAACTATGTATCTGTGTGACTACTGGAACCCCTGCAGCGATCGTACGACAAATTGATCCTTCAGAACGACGACAAAGAACGGAATATCCTTGATGACGATCATTGCGAAAGACATGGCGCTGTGGAATCGGCACTGGTCGATCGGTATAAAGAGGAAGAGATCAATACGCTGATCGTGGATATGCCAGATGAATGCATCCAGCTCTCTTACACGATACTAGGTAGAAGGATTCATTTTCCCCCGACGAACTTGGTACTCAGTCAGACAAATCGGCAGGGCTTGTCTTCGGTGAAGGTGCAAGCTCAATACTAGGGACGGAGTTACAAGCGCTACTGACTTGGCCCAAGTTAACGGAGGTTATATTACAGCTACCGAAATTGCTCCTGACGTTCGTGCTTGATTTCTTTCAAGATGTCTGTGTCATTCTGTCGATTCTATCCGCCTCAAAGTTGATATCTTTGCATATAGGCTATTGATACATTCGATAGAATGCCGGAGCGCACCGCGGAAGACACTTTGCTCAGGATGAAATGTGCAAAAGCTGTAAGGAAAGTTGTCAAGGTCACCGGAGTGATTCCCCTGTCCCTCCTTGTAAAAAGCCCAGTGTCGAAGGCCAGCCTCCCTGTTAGCCGCGGTGGATTTGGTTTGGTCTTTACGGGGACGCTCGAAGACGGACGGACTGTTGCAGTGAAGGTTCTACACTTCGACAGTGCAACATGTCCAGAGGAGCGGGACAAGAAGCTCACGGTATCCTCATATCCTTGGAGTTCGCTCCCTGACCCTTACGCGTCCATCACAGCAACTGTATCGTGAGGCCATTATATGGTGGCACTTGCGCCATCGCAATATCCATCGCCTTCTCGGGGTGTGTGAGTATGGAGAGGGAAGACATGGCTTGCTGTCGCTCTGGTGTCACAACGGTAATCTGCCTGTGTATATTCGCACGTCCAAAGGAGACTGTAACCTCATATATATGGTAGGATTCGGAAGCTTGACTCCCCTCTTCGGACGTACTGAGGTCTTGACCAGCTCGAGCGTATCGCAGACGCTCTCTGCTATTTGCACGAAAGTTATGATCCCCCGCTAGTTCACAAGGATATCAAAGGAGTAGGTCTACTCGCCCATCCACCCAATGTTCGTTTACCGTCAACGTTCTCAGGAGAACATCCTTGTGGATGACGAGGGCGAACCTTGTCTTACCGACTTCGGTATAAGCACATATTTCCAGTCTTTCACCATCAGCGGAGAGAATGGCAACACTGGCACGATCGCTTATATGGCCCCCGAGATCCTCACGTTGAGGAGCAGGCTTTGCGACAATGAGGACGAAATGAATCAACAGATCCGGACGGCCATAACTCCGGCGTATGACATAAACGCTTTTGCTTGCCTGTGTGTTGAGGTATTACAATTTTTATCAGAGCTAAGGACGAGTTACAACGTTCCATGCAGGTATACTCTGAGAAGAAATTGTGGCAAGGGGTAGACTGGTCAGAGACCCAAGTTATCAATGGTATGAGGCCCCCACGTCCAGCGGGAGAACTATCGGATGCTCTGTGGTCCGTAATACAGCAGTGCTGGGCAACAAATCCTAGTGAGAGGATGAAAACCGAGGTGCTGGGAGAATCTTTGCGAGCCATGAGGTCTGTGGATATGGCTTCGACATAGCTTACAGGAGTAATCGCTGCGCATAGAATTTTATACTAGCTCCCATTGTAAGTAATCAAAGAACGATTAGCAAAGGAGGGCAAATCAGATGTTGTCTTCCGGCCCATCCTCTATCAGCTTCTTGTAGTCATCGTAGCTGGCAAATGTAGGCAGACTCTTCAACTTCTTGCGCCGGCTTGGTTCCTTCTCCTTATGTTTCCGCTTCTTGTTGGAGGTTCCGGAGAGACCGCCCCACTCATCAGCATCACTCTCGCCATCAGACCCGTCGTACGGGATGAGACTGTCGGGCATGTCTGCATCAAGGTCGATGAGATCCTCTGCGTCAGAGGCCTCGGCCAAAGAGAACGCATCGTCTTCATCGGCCTCGTCATTTGATTCGGCCCCCGCCTCTTCCGCTGATTCATCACCTTCCGAGGGCCCTTCCTCTTCCTCGTCTCCCTGCTCATCGTCGTCTTCGTCCTCCTCTTCATCCACGTCATCCAGGCCAGAAGGAACGTCGTCCTCGCTGTCTTCCAACAATTCCACGTCGCCCATGTCGTCCATATTCTTCATGGATGCTTTCATAGCCTGAGTGAGGCAATCGTAAGTCCTGTTGTAAGCATATACCAGTATAAACGGAGAGCAGACCTTCCAAATCTCTGCCTCGTCGGCGTCACTCTCAGCGTCGGCAGCAACATCGTCATCGCCTGCTTCATCAAAATCTACGCCTTCATCTTCTCCTTCGTCAGATTCCATCCGCTCGTCCTCTTCTTCGCGCTCTTCCTCCTCTTCGTCGTCCTCATCATCGTCTTCACCTCCCTTTCGCCTTGCTTTCTTGGCAGCCCGTTGTTTATCCTTCTTATCCTTCTCATTAAAGTATTTATGGAAGAACAGCTGTGAGGCAGAAAATTAGTCTGGCATTGTGAAATCAAGAGTTATAATCGACACGAACCTGATCAACAGGGACTCTATCCGCAGACCTCTTCCACCACCCCTCTTCTCTTACCACATCGTCCTCGCCAACCTTGCCCTTTAGGTTCTTTACGCCTGTACCATCAGCTGCGGCAGGTTGCATTACGCTGCCACCCTTGCCAATTCCGGCATCATCGCCCTCCGTCTCACTTTTCCGCTTCTTCGGATTCTTGTATACGAAACGGTCTAGGAAGTGACCCAGTGAGTTCAGTGATAAGTCAGGCGAAGATGTGATTGGCTTGGATTGAGCGAGCTGTCTGGCGTGTAGGGCCACAGTCGGGTGGTAGTGATTGAGGAGTGGGCACTAAAGATAATTTAGCATCGCATGCAAAGAAGCCTGCAGAAGTGCGCGTACTATTTCCCACAAGGGTGTTGAGGACGCATGAGCGTATTGAGGGTCGCGCTTACGTGGGTCATACTGTTCGTCCCCTGCGGCTTTTGAGGAGCTCGCTTTGGGCGGCTCGTTGAGCATGCTCCTCAGCCCAGGTATGGTGCTGAACAACTACCAAAAAACCAAAATTAGCGATTTATATCGGATTGTAGGAGGGAAGCTCACTTCTCCGAGCACCCATAACCCTCCCACGACAACCTCCGAGCTCGCGCTAATCCCGCCCGAAAGCAAGACCTGCACCAGTCTCCTGACAATTGCCTTAGCCCTCTCATTGCTGCCCTTCCTGTCCTTTTCCAGCTTCAATGCCTTCAGTAGCAGATTAAGGTACATCGCGTGTTTGGACGTGCTCGCAAGCCGGGGGTCGAGGAGCGTACCGTACAGTGTCCGATAAAAGCGGTCCGTGATCGAGCTAGCGAGGGAGGAGTGCGAGGCGGCCTGGGGAGAAGTGCTGAACGTGGTGGTGATTTGAAGAAGAAGGGTGAGCGCTTGGAGGGAGGTGGAGAAGGTTGAAGTGTGGGTGATGCGGAATAGGGTGTCGATATGGTTGGTAAAGCTAGTAGTATCATCGGTGCTTTAGTAGTTGCATTCACGGGCCTATGAAGAATATACTTACCTTACGTCGCCGAGACCAAGGTGGGCGTACGGCAGGGCCCGATTGACACCGGTCAGCACCTGCGAGATGAGCTTCGAGTTCGCATCCTCGACCTCGGTGAACCCCACTTCAACCCCTTTGCCCTTCTTTCCCTTCCCCTTCCCTTTCGCTGGCCCCTTATACTTCCCTTTCCCTTTCTTATCCCCCTCCGCGTCCTCACCCTCCCCTTCCTTGTCCTTCTCCTCTTCCTGCACCCCTCGCCCCACAACCCCCTCAAACACCTTAAAGTATACATCCACCAGCTGCCTTGCGACAGCCCGGTCCGTCTCCGCGTGCGAGAGCACGATCTGGTTCAGCGTGATCGCGCCGTAGTACAGCGCGTGCATGTTCACGTCCGCCTTCGGCACTGCTTTCTCCTTGTCCGCGAACCGGACGTGCGCGTTGGAAGTGGATGCGGCGGCCTGGAGAGAGGACGAGGAGGAGCTGGAGGCGGGGCGGAACATGAGTGATGCGACCTCGCGCACGACGATACCTTTCATTGCCGGGTGCGCCTGGAGCAGTTGCAGGAGGTAGTACGACGCACGCGAGGGCACTTGTTTCGTCGGGTCGCCCTATGAGTTCCCGCCCTCAGTATTTATCTAGGTTAAGAGTATAGGACAGGTCCTTACAAGCTTGTTCACGAGCAGCCTGAGCAGGTTCTGCTCCTGTTCCGGCTTATCGCGCAGCAGCGTGTAGATGAACGACAGCGCCTGCATACGCGGGTACGGGAGCGGATCCAACGTGAGCGCCTCGAGGATCTGCAGGAAGGAGAAGAAGAACTTCTTCAGGTAGTCTTCGAAGTGCCACAGCACGAGGTGCGTGTCCGTCACCGCCGGGTGGAGGAGCGGCTGGTCGCGGAAGTGCCTGGCACGGTGAAGCGTCAGATCAGTAGGCGGGAGATGGGAGGCATACGAGCCTATACGCACTTGAGCTTCCGGTCAGGCCCCCCACCGCCGACCCACCAGTCCACGATGCACCGGCACGCCTTGAGCTTCTCGTCCCTACCCCCACCCTTCGCCGCCATGCCCTTCAGTGTCTCCAGCGCCTTCGTGTTGTGAACCGGGCTGCCCTGTACTAGTAGTGTCAGCGCAGAGAGCTTGTCCGATAGGGTACCGGATTGCAAGATCTTGGAGAGGAAAGATGCGTCGGAGGTGGGAGGTGGGGGGAGGGCAGCGAAGAGATCTGATGCGCGCTTCGACAAGGAGGTGAGCTGGACGGGAGTGGGCAAAGGGAGGGGCGTAGAGGACGGGGGTAGAGGGGGAATAAGGGTGTACCAGTGGGGTGTGGCCTCGATTTCGACAGTCGACAAGGATTTTGAAGTAGAAGCAGACGCGGTTTTATCCGGGAGCAGGGACGCGTCGAAGACGATTTTTGTGGACTTTGCAGGCAAGGGGTCTGACGCTGGAGTGGGGTTTGCTGGTAGATCCTTCTTGCCTGCGTCAGATTTCCTCCTCTCTTTCTTGCCATCCCTCGTCTTTTGCTTTCCCTTGCCTGGCTTACCGTCTGCTTGCTTTCCTTTACTTGGCGTACCCTCTACCGGACCGCCCTTCTCAGGAGACTGAGGCTTTCCGCTCTTGACAGGCTTTTCTTTTGGCTGTGGTTCGAACTTCTTGCCTTCTTTCTTCTTTGAAGACTGTTTGTCGGCCTCTCCTTTCCCGCCCGGTTGCTTTCCATCTAACTTGAGCTCCTTCAAGAACTTGGACACGTCCTTCGTGAGGTTTGGCTGTAGGGTTGGGAACGTTAGAACACAGTGTAGACACAAGGGCATGTCACGTACGTCGGCCGCCTTACTTGCATCATCCTTCCCGCCCTTCTCAATATTTTTGATCAACTCTAAGTCCCCCTCGTCTCCCCCGAGCGCGAGGACCTGTTCTTTCAATTTTCTGCCCATACTCACACCTTACGTGGGTGCACCGACGTCTAAAGATGCAAGTGAGTCGCGTCTGAGTAGACTCCTAGAGCAGACAAGCTCTACCAGATACCGGCTTGAGAGGTATATGGAGCGTCCTTTGCAGGTATGATCGGACGCAGGAGAGAAAATCGGCGGTGCCCGATTAGATCTGAATACGACCGTTGGCCGTAGTGGGACTAGTCCCTTTGTAGTCTGGTCTAGAGAGACTACAAGACCTTTGTATTGGACTTGTATTACCGTGTATGTTCGGCTATGCCTCCGCGATCAGTCTTCCTTAGCGCCCACGGTCAGACTCTTTCCTGCAGAGAGTACGTATGCAGACTTGCAGCGTCTACTTCTGCCGTTCTATGCGACCGCGAGGTCTGCAATGCACCCTAGAACGAGTCGCAACGACTCAAAACGTGTGAAGTCCTGCAGAAATGCACCTGAGACTGGCAGGTGAGTCTCGATCAGCGGGAGGTGACCCTAAGCATTCTACGTGTCGCCATCACCGGGCTCAGCTATCGGGCGGATCTTACCACTACATAAAGCCGCTGCAACCTGGCCGTCGTCACCTATTCCGACGATGCGTTCGCGTCCGCTGGTACTTGCTCGACGCCGACTGCTGTGTCGGTCTAACCACCACCTCGCGAACCCGAAGCCGGTGACCATCGGCATCAGACGAGAGGATTCCGAGAGAATATGGGAGAGAAGGTGTCCGCTCACGCCGGATGCGGTTCATGAGCTTGTCAAGGACGGGGTCAATGTGCTCGTTCAAGACTGCTCGCGCAGGGTGTACAGGAGCGATGAGTTCGTCAAGGTATGTTGACAGGTCTGCACTCCGTCGGTGGACGGGGGGCGCGTCATCACAGTAATAGCTGTTTCCACGTACCCGCTATCCTGCCAGTGAACACCTTCAATCCATGTCGTATTGACTTCCTCTCTTACCCAGGCCGGTGCACAAATTCATCCCAACCTCTCCCCCGCGCATATCATCCTGGGTATCAAAGAGACCCCGCTCGCCGAGCTCCTCACAACACCAGTTGACGGCATTCCACGCACCCACCTCATGTTCTCGCATACTATCAAGGGGCAGCTATATAACATGCCTCTCCTCGACCGGTTCCTGGAAGCAAGGCCTGGCAGTGGCGAGCGGAAGGAGCTATTGCCACGTCTGATCGACTGGGAGCTCTTGACCGACGAGAAAGGGAAGAGAACAGTTGGGTTTGGGTGGTTTGCTGGAGGTCAGCTCGTCTGCTTCACCGTCCTAGATATCATTCGGCGGATTTACTCTCACCAAACACTGATACACGCCCTCTTTTACAGTGGCTGGCGTCTTGGAGTCACTCTCCATGCTTGCCCAGTTTCACCTCGAGCTCGGAATTGCATCACCATTCCTCGTAAGTGGTCTCGAAGACATTCATCTTAAATTCCTGGATATATGACCGTGTTTATTGGTAAACCCTAACCCTGCCCAACCCTTCCGGACAGTATACACCTCGGCCACACATGCACCCCGACCTACCATCCATCCGTGCCTCGCTCAGTCGAGTGGGGGAAATGATCAAGGAGGGCGGGACGCCCAGGGAGGTGGGCCCCATTATCATTGGAGTGACCGGGTATGTCACTTTCACGAGATAATGTAATGAGGAATGAATTGTTAAGGGTTTCTGTAGGACTGGGAAAGTAGCTCAGGGGATGCTGGATATACTATCCGACCTCCCCATTGAGAAAGTGAACGTGGAGGATTTACCAAGATTGGTTGGGAGTCCTGGTGAGGAATATCATCCCATCTTCAGGGTATATTCGAACCTTTCCTAAATCCGTTTCATGTTCAGAGGCCAACCTACACAAGGTTCGTCCTATTCACGATGGCACCCGCGGTATCGCTCACTAGATAGTAGATATACCTCGTACATGCTCTCCCGCATGAATACTTCAGCGGCGTCGACGGACGACCGTATAACCGCGAGGACTACTATGCGAATCCACACCTCTATAAATCAAACTTCCACGTGAAGGTGCGCGTTTATCTTTGTCGCCTCAGACTTCCCCTTAGCTGCTGTAACAGGTCCAACCATACCTAACGCTCCTGCTCCACGGCGCTGGCTGGGCGCAGGGCTTCCCGCGCGTGATGACCAATGAGGGTCTTGCGACGTCGTTGGAGATCGCGCGCGGGCTGTGGGGTGGTGAGAAGGGACGGGGGAGATGCGTCGGGGATGTGAGCTGTGACGTCGAGGTGGGAGCTTTTCTCATTCCCATGAGTTTAAACAAGTGCAGTTCACTAAGTTTGTGTTACCCAGGGCGGTCTGGAATTCCTGCCGAGACACTCGACGCTCTCCGCGCCGTTCTTCTGCACCCGACCGGGGAGTCTCCCTGCCCACCTGCCGGAGGTGCGAATGATGGCGGTGGATATACTGCCGTCATCACTCCCGTTGGACGCAAGCCGGCATTTCTCTCAAGGCATTATGTCATACCTCCGCACACTCATTCGTGGGTATCGTGGAGAGGGTGAGTGCCTTCTGCTGTAAATGATCGTGTGCGTGACCTGATGAGGCGCTTGGACAAAGGAGGCGTTGATGCAGAGCTTGAGAGGGCGTTGGATCGCGCGACGGTGACGAGGGGCGGGGAGTTGCAAGGGAGCAATACGTGGCTGAAGGAGCCGCTGGGTGTCTGGAAGGATAGTTTGTCAGCGACCCCTTCGTCGTCCAACATGGGGAGTACAGCCGGTACCCCTCAGCTGAAGCCGTCGCCGAAGAAGCGAGTCTTGTTGCTCGGAAGCGGGATGGTGGCAGGTCCTGTTGTCGAGCATATCGGGAAGCGGGGCGAGGTTGAGTTAGTGGTTGGTATGTATGAGGAACGAGCCTTGATTGATAATATGTGGAGTGCTGATATCTACTGCTCATTGGTTTAGCTAGTAATATCCTCGCGGAGGCACAGAATCTTGCCAAGCGTTTTGGGAACGCGAAGCCGGTATCATTGGATGTTGCTGACCTAGGGAAACTGGGCAGTTTGATAGAGGAGACTGATGTCGTAATCAGGTATAACCGTCCAAATCCTGAATCTGACAGAGATACTAACGACAGCGGTTCCATAGTTTACTACCCGTCACCTTCCACCCTACCATCGCAGAGCAGTGCATCAAGCACAAGAAGCACATGGTAACCGCGTCCTACATCTCCCCTGCAATGAAACAGCTACACGACAGGTTAGTCACACGCTCCCTATCCCAAACCCCGCAAGCTGACCTTGAAGGAGCTCTGCAGCGCGCTTTCCTCCGATACTCTCATCTTAAACGAGATCGGGTTGGATCCAGGTATCGACCACTGCTCGGCATTCTCGCTGCTGGGGGCTATCCGCTCCCAGGGCAAGCAGGTTCGGTCGTTCGTGTCTTTCTGCGGCGGGCTACCTGCGCCGGAGTGCGCGGAGGACGGTCCGTTGGGATACAAATTCAGCTGGAGCCCGCTAGGGGTGTTGAGAGCTGCGAAGGCGTCCGCGCGGTTCAAACTGAATAACAGGGTGTGTGACTTTCAGATTCATCTTGTTGGTGATGACTGAACTTAGTATAACCGAGCAGCATTACGAGATTGACGAACCGAACTTGCTGAGGCACCATTTCGACCGGGTCCCCATTTCGAACGTGCTGCAATTGGAGGGCATTGCTAATCGCGACAGTATTCCATACGCTGACACGTATGGCCTCGGGAAGACTGAGGATTTACGTAGCATTCTCCGGGGCACACTACGGTATGTTCCACTTATATTTGTCATGATGCGCTCCTTACGCGGCGAGTGTTCCAGATATCCCGGATTCTGCGATTTGATGCAGTCGTTCAAGGAAATTGGGCTGCTGGAATTCGAGCCCAAGCTCCGGCTTGATTCTTGGAGTTCCCTCGTCAGGAGTGCATTCGAGAGCCGATACAACGATCGCGTCAAGGGCGATGACGCATCGCTCATTTCGGCGCTATCGAACGTGCTGTCTACTGGTTCCGTCGAGCGAGCCTTGGAAGCACTCAGCTGGTTCGGCGTCATTCCAGGCGTCACCTCCCCAGTAGTTGGCATGCCGCTCCTACCCCAGCGCGAGATGGCGCCCATCGAGCTCTTCGCCACCGTCCTCGCACACAAACAGGCGTACCGGCCCGGCGAGCGGGACATGGTCATCCTGCACCACGAGATCGTCGCGTCGGCGTCCACACCGGCGTCTCCTGAGGATATCCACACATCGACGCTAATGGCATATGGGACGCCGGTGCATTCGGCGATGGCGCTAACGGTTGGGCTACCCGTGGCCTTTGCTGCGCTGAGAGTGTTGGATGGGAAGGTCGCGATGAGGGGCGTGCGGGGTCCCGAGGAGGAGGGGCTCTGGAGGGACGTGCTGCAGGGGATGGAGGAGGCGGGGTTGGGGATGAGGGAGAGCGTGAGGGCCGGTGGGTCGGGTCGCGCGATGGGAATGGAGGGCGTCTTGGATGCTGGTCTGAGGAGGTCCATGGGAGCAGCTTGATTTGTACTATACTGTCTATACAAGATTTCAGACGCTTCGCATTTGGCATACATGCATCTTTCCGTAGGCTAATGATAGTTATCACCAAAGGCTTGCAGTCTACCTGAGGTGGTGCATGGCCGAGCTGTAGCATGGGTGTTTATGCATCTCAGGGCCATTCCGCATTGGTACATAACCACTGCCATGGTTATATGGGAGTAGATGATCTCCGCGCACCTTTTAGTGCTCCGGGTACGCCTTCTAACGGCCCTTGTTGATGCTGTCTCTGACTCGAATGGCCGTAGACATCAGCTTGTATACACGCATCGGCCCATCCATACATTGGTCCTGGCCAACACGTATCGTTCCACCCCCTTCATTATAGAGATCAGGGAGCAGGTGTGTCCGTTAATGAAGGAAGGCGACTTTGCAGCGACGCACGACGCCGATATAAGCGCAGCGATCGACCATATTCAGTAATTTTCACTGTAGGGGTTGTCACTTCGGGGCATCTCGAGGGCCCATACTTCCACCACCCCGATACGGGCCCACGAGGCTGGGAATCGAAGAGCCAGAAGTGAGGTCCTCGATGACAACCTAGAAACCTTAAACGTATGCCGCTCGGAAGATACGCCGTTCAATACAGTATCAGATAACCAATGGTGTAGAATCGACACACCTGATACCAGGAGCTCAAGAATAGGTCGATAACGTGGGCGCGTGCAACAGCTGGAAGATATAGACGCCGTGTCTCGTCATATTATGTTGACAAGGGGTAGCCAGGTGATGATGACCGTCAAGTATGCTTGAAGATAAGTGACGAAAGTCACCCTGCTCAGTGCATCGAGACATTCCTATGCATCCCATCAAGCACGGTCGGCATACACCGCGACACCCCTGCATGTGTGTCGCTCCCTTTTGCAGGACAAGGCCGAGACCTTCCTGTGCAGACGATCCTTGCCTTTTCGCAGCTCAAGTACTCGTTCAATACATGTTTGGGAAAAGTAGATCCTCGAAGCAGAAGAGTTAGACTTTGACGAATTAGCTTGCCGAGGGTGGAAGCGTGGGAATGCCGTGCTCGTAAGCGGGTTACGTCATCAGGAGAAGCATCAATGCCGAGGCACGCCGAGGTTCTCTCAGCCACAACTGTCAACGCGCTTGGCTTGCGCAACTGACCCCGCGCAGCTCACGTGGCCTTCGCCGACGGGTCGGGCGCATATAAGGGCGTGGAACCGCCACCGACGCGCCTTGCGCCCCCTTGCATTTCCACTAACGAATGGTACCAACTCCTCGACTACTTTCCCGTTCTCCCTCCTCTGGCCTAGCGGTATCAGTGCTGTCTGCGTTATTGAGCCATGTTCCCAAGCTTGCCTTCAGTTATCCCACAGCGCCCAACGGCGGCCCCACTGCTTTCGCCGCGAATGGCGACGGCAATGCCGCCACGCACACTTTCGCAAAGAGAGACACTCCCCCGACGGAGAAGATCATCTTCCCAATCCTTATCCCCGTTCTTGTCTTGTTGTCGGGTTTGTTTGCCGGTCTGACATTGGGCTATATGAGTCTGGACGAAACACAGTTGAATGTGCTTAGTCTAAGTGGCACACCGTAAGCCTCCTATTTCTCGATCAATATATCTTGCTAATCCTTTCTGCAGTGACCAAAGGCGCTATGCGAATAAGATTAAGCCTATTCGCAAGAACGGCCACCTCCTTCTTGTGACACTGCTGCTTGCGAACATGATCGTCAACGAGACTCTGCCAGTCATATCCGACCCGGTGTTGGGAGGAGGAGTGCAGAGCGTCGTCGTCAGTACTGTCTTGATTGTCATGTGAGTTCTAGGCAAGGCCTGCGGGGCCGGGAGATTGCGGGTAGGCCAGCATACTATTGCCCCTTCCGTCAGACCCCTTTGTTCTAACGCGCACTTCGCTAACCCATCCCGCCCTAGCTTCTCGGAAATCATTCCACAATCTGTATGCAGTCGTTATGGACTCTTGATCGGCGCAAAGATGGCGCCGTTCGTCAAAGTCCTTATCTATACTTTTGTTAGTATCTGTCCTTGGCAGCCGACATCGCATATACTGACTTTTGCTTCATGTCCGAATTTAGGGTATTGTTGCTTGGCCAGTCGCCAAACTTTTGGAGTGGGTGCTTGGCTCTCATCATGGCATCATCTATCGCCGGAGTGGTACGTCATCTGGCGTAGTCTATCTCGAGACTGCATAATCTTATCAGATATCCCCTCTGTCACCATTGCGGTGTTGCCTGTTTTTAGAATTGAAGCAACTCGTCGCAATGCATGCCATGAATGCCACACACGGAGGTGACCTCAAGACCGATACTGTGACAATCATTGGTGCGACCCTCGACTTGCAAGAGAAAGTGGTTGAGCAGGTTTGTTTTTCCCCTAACCCGGACGACCTTGGGTGCTTATGCTGTCTTTTCCAGGCCATGACTCCTCTCGACAAAGTCTTCATGCTTCACATAGATACGAAGCTGGACTACGAGACCTTAAAGCGCATATGTGCTACCGGCCATAGTCGGATCCCTGTATACGAGGATATTGAAGTACCAGGCTTGGTGACTGAAGGCGGCCTCAACGGTCCGGCTGAGATGCACAAGGTCAAGAAGATCATCGGTATACTTCTCGTGAAACAGGTACTTCTTTGTGTTTCCTTCTGCGCGGATCCTCTGGTACTAAAGAAGCCTGTTAGTGTATATTATTGGATCCTCAAGATGCAGTGCCACTGCGTTCGCTTCCCCTTAACAAGGTACCGTTTATCCCGAGGAACGAACCCTTGCTTGGCATCCTTGATAAATTCCAAGAAGGAAGGAGCCACATGGCAATCGTGAGTCTCGCTACTTTGTCTGTTCGATGATGTTTCCTGACATTGCCGGGCTTGGTGCAGGTTAGTCGCCTGAGCGTTGAGCGTGCAGCGAGCGTCAAGAAGGAAGTGAAGCGAAGTCTCACTCAACGTATCAGGGACCGCGTCATTGGCGAGTCTGAGTCTAGCGGCGAAGAGACCGAGGCGGAAAGTGGACGAGGGAGCACCGATTCGCGCGTCCTCGACCGCGATGCCACCCTCCGAGGTGATGGTCAAGTCGAGAAGCAGCTTGCTGAAGGCAGCCAATCTGATGACCAGGAGAAACGCGACCGGAACCACTCCTTCAAGAGGGGCCGTAGCCGGAAGCACAAACGTGGGCACGTGGATGTCGAGATGGGTAATATTGAGGAACAGCGGGAGGGGACGAAGAGCAGACGTGGTAGTATTGCTAAGCAGCTCAGGCCTGCGGGATTGTTGCAGGAGATGCCGGCTGATGCTGTGCTCTCTAAGGAACGTGCTGAACCGGTGAGTCGTGTTGCTGCTGATATGGCGTGGCAAGTGTCCTGATAAGTTGTGCAGTATTTACAAAGTTTCGACCCTGCTGTCATGCCCGTGGGTATCATCACCCTGGAAGATGTCCTAGAGGGTAAGCAGCCTTGTCTGTGGGTGTGGGACCGTACTGATGAGTCACCTTGCAGAACTTATTGGTGAAGAGATTTACGACGAGTTCGACCCTCAAGGTGGTCATGTCGTGTCGTACGATCCTCCTGAGTCGGTTCGCTCTCACGGCGGTCGCTCTACTCTGAAGAGCTTGAGGCGCCAAGGTTCAGCCCCCGAATTGACCTCCACTGCTTCAGACAAACGCCCGTCCACCGGTTCCGGGGGAGGATCCAAGTCTACTAGCACTACACCTATCCTGCGTCCTATCGCGATTCCCGCGGCGTTTAAGGGCCTTAACTTCTTGAGAAGTCGCAGCGCTCCGCCTACGCCTCGGGATAAGAACGTTCAAAGCGGCGCTGGAACTACCATTGGAACCTCTGTCCCTGCTGTCCCTCCGTTGCCTGAGATGACACCCCCGGCGATAGATCCTGAGTCTGATAAACGCATTGGTGAGGAGGGGCCTGCTGGACCGCGTATAGTTGTGGAGTCGCCGGAGATGCTCCCGACGTCGGTCAGCCCTGAAGAGGCTGAGAAAGCTCTGGGATTGAGCACTGGGCAGGTCGCGAAGTCTGCCAGTGCCCCCAGTCCCCCGTCTGCCGTGCCCACCAGCCTCGTCGCAGACTATGCGCAGCCTCATCCCGTTCGCAGCGCGTCGCCTGCCCCGTCGCTCGAGGCCATCCTGCTAGATCGCAAGCGGCGGATGGCTGCTGGCAATGTTAGCCCACCTTCTGGTGCCGCGCGGCCGCATGCTGGTGGGAGCCCGCCGCAGGATGTGAGGCACGTCCGCGTCGCGACGCCGACGGGCGGCAAAGGCTCGAAGTTCAAGAGCAGTCCGTTGAGTGGAGGGGAGAATAATGGGCTTGCTACGCTGGAGAGGGTCAAGGGCGAGAACGATGAGACCCGTATACCTGACGGGAAGGACAAGGAAGGCCCTGATAAAGAGGGTAAGCAGGAGCAGGAGTGAGGAAACTTGGAGAGTTGACGATGGTTCAGAGTGAACGAACTGAGCCGGATACTGTACGAGAATAATAGACTTTCACCGCTGTACATTTACGTTTGGACCTGTGCTTTCGTACGACACTGATTGAATTGCAATGTACATCACGACTTCTGGTTTTGCTGCAATCACAGTCCCATCCTAAATCTTTGACGTTCGTTCTGCTGAGTGGAAGTCGAAGAGGCTTCGGATACCGCCACCGGCTTGGACACGTGTGGCCGGACGCGTTCGGTCGCGTCGTCGTAATTCGATCGCGTCTCGCCACAAATCATCCTGTCTCAGGAGCCCGGCAATCGTACACTGTGCCTTGCTCAGAGCTTTCATCCTCTTGTACCAGGCGCTCAACATTTATGCTTCATACTGTCTGAAGCCTTCCTTTCCTACTCAAGCTGGCTTATATCTTACCCTGGGTTCGGAAGGTTGTCTGAGACTAAAATCCGAACCGCGTCTCTATGTGGGTTATAACAGGGCCGTTTGACGGGAAGGAGAGAGGGGACCTCTCTATCAGAAGTACGTTGCTGTCGTACCGCATCCGCGCGTGCTAATACTGTCCCTACAGAGAGCAAGCTATTGAAGCCCGGAAAAACGTACAAATTAGGCCGAAAGCCTGGATCCGACCTCTATATCAACAACGGCAAGGTCTCCAATCAACACGCCGAGCTGATAGTTGGAGACTATAGTCCCGAGGATGCAGTACGTTCCTGCTATAGCAAGTATGGGCATACACCCAACCCATTGATAGGCCAATCCCGGGGCGGTCCCTTCTTTTCGAATTCGAAGTTTGCGGGATAAGGAGAAAGGCTTGACGATAAAGCGTGGAGGGGAGACAGTTATTGCAAACCCGGCGGCACATCGAGACCTACGAGATGGAGATGAAATAGAAGCTGTCTCAGGCGTACTGTTGACGTGAGCGTGCTGAGGATACTAGCTTGCAATTAGCTAAGGTATGAAACTAGAGTGCAGTGGAGGAAGATCTGCTGCTATGCTCCAGCAACACGGGGCAAGTCTTCTGTGTCCGTGGAAGCTTGTGCAGGCCTCGGTAAGCATCTGCCCGGCTATTATTCGATTCGTGCTATTCACTTAACATTCTTAGGCATCAACGTGGTTCACACCTTCCACCCCGAAGTGACCCACTATCTCAGCCCCTCCTTCTCGTTAACGGTCCACATGGCATATTCCCTACTACATTTAGCGCGTATAGTCAAGTCAGAATGGCTGGAGGAAGCCATCCGTCTCGGAAACCTACCTCCAACCGACGACATGTCCCTCGAGTACACTTTCGCACTGCCTCAGGAGTCGAAGTACCGACCCGCCTTCTCGCCGTCCCTTCCACCGCCTTTGAAAGTCTTCCGTGTGTGGGAGCCCAACGAGGAGCGCGTGCAGCTGTTCCACGGTTACCGATTCCTGTTCGTCGGGGAAAAGGGTCGCGAGATGCCGGGCGACTTGAGAGATCTGGTTAGCGGCGGGGGCGGGCAGTACGAAGCATTCGCCGTTGACTCAGGGAGAGCGAAGTTACATCAGGTGCTCGCAAAGGGTAAGCAGAGGATAGCGAACAACGGGAAGGCGTTAGTTCTTGTCGCAGACGAAGGGAATATGATCGCTGCTGTTGGTCGGGACAGTTGGCAGGAGCTTGTGGATGAAGCTCGCAGGTGATTACCAATGACTTTCATTTCATATCGTCTGACTCAGCGGTATGGGCCAGTTACGAGGCAGCCATCGTCCCGCCAGATAATCTCGTCAAAGCAGTTGTGCACGTAGATGTGTCGTATCTCACTCCCAGCACGACTCAGGAAAGCGAGAAAGGTCTGTCTCCTTGCATATCTTGAAAGGACGTCAGTATTCTCATGCTGCTAGATTCAGCTGGCCAGCCGTCAGCGTCGCCAACGCCCGAACATCAACCAAACGGCGGCGAGAAGGGAGCGTCTGATGTACCGCCGTCACAGGCGGAACCAGAGCAAGGGTCGTCTTATCCGCCAGGGCGGCGGAAGCTTACTCGCAGAGCCACGCCGTCTGCTTCCTCCCGACCACCTTCACCAGGCCCTTCTGCTCCGCCGAAGGAACCTACCCCGGAGGTGGAACAGGCTCCGCCACGCAAGGTGGGCATGAAGGCACCTATAACCCACTTTTAACGTTGTACTCACTCTGAAGACCATTGCAGAGGTTGCTCACTCGCCGTGCAGGCGGGAGGACTCCCTTGGTCAGTATTGGTGATGACAGTGTTGACTCTGATTCTGTCGCGTCCATTGCTGCCGTGGATGCGGTAAAACCTCCGAGTACTCGCAGGGCAGCGTCGCCGTCAGACAACAATAGTGTACGTATTCCGCTCCCGTCGCTACTATGCTTTTATTCATGTGGCTCTGTAGACGAGGGTATCTCAGACGCAGACCCGCTCATCGCGTCTGAAACGCAGAGCAGGCACGGCTATCAATCCTCTGTCCATACTCGAAGACCCCGAGGAGCCAGATCCTGGCAAGGAGCCCCCGCTAAAAAGGTTCAAAGCCCTCTTCGACGAGAGTGACCCGAGCAACCTCGCGCAGTTCGGGCTAAGCGGGGCGCTCGATATCCAGACAGGCGCCGTCAACCACGAAGAAATCTATAGCATGTTGCAGAGCCAGACTCAGACAGACACGACGCAGAGCACCGCTGCTGGTCGGAAGACGGGTACGCAGGCTGCAGGGCGGTTGGCAGCCGTCGCAGAGGAGGAGGAGGAGAACAGCATGACGTCTGTTACGAAGTCCAGCACCTCCCGGGGCCAGCTGCAGAGCCAAGCGGCTGCTGCGACGTCTGTGACGGAGTCTGGGCCGTCGACCAAGGGTGCGAGTCAGATACCCATGACGAACAGCATCAAGCAGCCGAAAAAATCCGGGGCCGCTCCCGGGCAGCCAGATACGGATGAAGGTTTCCTGAAGGCGCTCGCGTCGAAGAAGAAGGGCAAGAAGCATGAGGATACGTTCGATAGGGAGTTTAATAACTTGCGGATATCGAAGCCTGATTTGCAGCAGCAGCAGGAACACAGGGACGAGGAGCGGGAGTGGGAGATGATGGATGACTTTGGTGATTATGGTGTCAGAGGGAACTTTATGGTTGTCGTGGAGATGGAAGTGCCGGAGCACCGTACGAGGGCGGCGAGGAGAGGGGAGGGGAGGCTGGAATGGCAGGGAAAGCCGGACTTCAAGAAGTTCAAGCATGTATGCTGCCTTGCGGTTACGTTAGTCGGATTGATTCGCTGACTGACTTCTATAGAAACCTGCTCCTGGTAGAAGGTCGAAGGTCGAGTTGGTTGTGAGTGAGGAGAATCAGTATGCATGTAAGTCACGGCCGGTATATGAGGTGGAATAGTCCTGACTGACTTCTTGGTTAGCGTACTGGAGAGGCAGCCAGACCCAATCTCAGTCACAGCCGCTAGTGGGGGTGTCCCCGCCTAGCCCTGGTCCCCGTGTGGCTGATCAAGCACAGGCACGCAGCCAAGGTAACTATACTCGTGCACTATCAAAGCCCACTGCTGATTGAATTGCTGCAGCTGTCAAGCCACGAAACCGAATTCGAACGCCAATGCCAGCCGAGGATGGAGATGATAATGTTGCACCACTTCCATTGTCAGCGAAGGCCCAGCCTCTGTTCTTGCCGGAGTCACAAGAGTCTCAAATGGTAGATATAGAGCCGACGCCGGATGCTGCGCCTGCGAGTCAAGAGGACGAGGCGCCACCGACGCTACGGTCCGTGGAAGAACCCACTCCTGTGGCACCCCCTGCGAAGCCTGCTTCTCGGAAGAGGAAGACGCCCGCGGCTGTTATTATAGATGATGACTCTGACGATGGTGTGGCATTCAAGGGATTCCGGAGTAGGAAGAAAACGAAGGTGAAGTAGGGCACTACGTTGGATCTCGCGTCTTGTTTCATGACTAAGTATGCTATTGTTCTCCTATTGTCGAATCCTACTATCGAACGAGATATTTGATGTGATGTGCTTCCACCATTTCTATCATCACTCCGCGGGATTCTATTGGCCACAGTTGCAGGAAGAGCAATAGAGGTCTTCCACGTGACAGGCGCGTCTAATTTATGGCGGAATCTGCTGTATTCGCCTGCCAGCGTCCACACGTTCTGTCTCATAAGTAACTCTGGCAGTTCGCTAGCTCGCGACTGCTGCTGGCGATGGCGCTGACGCTTCGTCGACGTAGCTTGACGCGGCTCTTCTTCTTGGGTGTTTTCATTATCCTTGTCAAGGTCTTCCTCTGGTCGCCGTCCTCCAGCTCGGTATACCCATACTCGCAAGATCCATATCAGATTCGCGAGGCCAATGTGCTCGACTTGGTTGCTCGCTCAGGCAAAGCGCTTGATGTCCAGAGACACAAGTTCTTGCAAGTGAGGATGGGAAGGGACGAAAGAGAGGATATCTTTTCCGACCTGGTTAGGGATGGCGTGCAAGACTTTTGGGATAAGTATCAGAAGCCTTAGTGAGTCGCTCACCATTTCCACATTTCCAGGGGCGATATTGACTGGCTTAGCATTCTCAACGCCGAGACGGCGAATATGGACGCCCAGTCCGTGTATACAGCCATCGACACCCTCTTGTCTCTGAACGGCTGGGTGGCGGCTCTATGCCCCACCCTCACGCGACCGTTCGCCCAGAACAAATACGAGGATGCATATGACGATCTCATCGCCCAGAACCATCTGTACTACATTGGCATCATTGTCCACTCCGCCGACCACTTCCTGACTGACCAGCTTGCGGTTATCGTGCAGCTCTCAAAGCGCCTCGGACCAAGCAACATCTTCGTTTCCATGCTTGACTACTCCAGCTCAGACTCGACGGAGACTCTGACCGACCTCGCCGAAGCGGTGCTGACTTTGCTTGGCATACCTTTCAGAATTCGCCGTGTGCCCGCCATGACTGCCGATCCTGAGGCAGCATACTATCCACTCGAGGAAGCTCATATGCGCAACCTCGCACTTGAACCTCTGCGGGAGCTCCACTCGAAACGGAATATCAAGTTCTTCCGTGTCATTTGGCTCAAGGGCTTCACCTGTCCTAATGACATCCTTGAGACTATCAAAGTGAGCGTTGCCAACGAAGCGGCTATGGTATGTGGGATGGACTGGGCGAAGCACAACGACTTCTTCATCTTCTCAGACCGGTATGTTCCACTTTACACTCACCATCCTAACGCTGCATGACACTGTCCACAGTTGGCGTACGCGTGACATCCTCGGCGACCAGTTCCGCCAGTCGCCCTCCTCGTCCACGCCCGACGCGGGCCCGCCTCGCGACAAGCTCGGCTCCGCGCGCTACGCGCAGCACCTCCCCTTCCAGGTGTTCTGCTGCGAGTCGGGCACGCACGTCGTCGACCCCGCGCAGTCGTACTACCAGGGCATCGCGTACCGCGCCGGGACGGACTACTGGAACGCGACGAGCAGCCAGGGGCGCAGTGGGGACCCCGACGCGAACAGGCATAGTACGGGGCAGAACAGTGGGCCGCCGGAGCGCGCGGGCAATGCGCCGTGTTTGGACAGCAGCCAGGCGTGGTTCTGCAGGGACCTGTGGGTCCAGAAGGCGAAGGAGGGTATGAAGGAGGAGGAATTCTCGGATGCGGTGGAGGGTGGGAACCGCAGGCGCAGGCGTACTCTCACCAAGAGGGATCCGGACCCGGATGAGGAGAATGAGCGCAGACAGGCAGCGGGAGGGCGCGAAGTCGACCCGGACGCAAACGTGGGCTCGGACTACGACGCCATGCCGGATGACGAGTCCGAGGATGTCGACCTACCCTTGCCGGACTCGGACGACGATTCCAGATTAAGCGTACCCAACTCGGTGTTCCGCCCTGCCAGGATTATGATCAACCCCCGGTGTGTTACGACGTACGCTGATGTGTCGCACACCCAACTCGCGCTGGACTTGTTCGGTCCCGAAAAGGACAACGATAGTCCGGAGGAAGGAGTGGGCAAGTACGTGTTGGAGGATTGGGAGGGCGCGCCAGAGAGCTTCATATGTCAGGAGCAGAGGTACGTGACTCCTGCGGCTTGCGATGTCGAGTGTCTTCTGACTGACGCGTTGACATGCGCAGGCAAACCGGAGGACGGACAGCCCCTAAGAGCCAGAGGCGTCTCGAGTTCTCAATACACGATGAGTTAGAGAGGAGGATGTGATCGTCGTACGGGCCGCTTGATGGACTTCTGTAGCACTGGGATTAGAGCCGTGTCTTGTATTATTATTTGAGGTAAAAGTACTGATCGACAAGAGTTAGGTTAATCATATTCATTCAAGATCCCGGGCCTGACCGGCACTTCTCGCTGAAGCGTTCTCATATGCATCCCAGGGGGTAAAGAAGATGATGCTCCCACAGCAGGATAGTGAGTTATGACGTTCCCTATGGATATCTGCAAGCTCAAAAAGGATGCCTTGCATGGCTTCCTCGACGTTACTTTCTCGTCATCGCGATATTACTTCAGCATAACTGTTAGTACATTCCTGCATTACGATTAGGGTCATTGTGGCTACGCATTAAATAAAGGGTATGTACAAGAAAGTCTAAGGGGGTAAGGAGAGACTGGGCGGGGATATCCAAAGGTACTAATACACGATAACTACACAGGTGGTCCTTCCTCGATGCTCAAATCCACGCTACCTGTCGTAGAGTCAAGGGAAGATACACGTTTTACTTTAACGTCCAGAGTCATACACGTGGTAGTCCGAAATGCATGGTCCGGAATGAGTGTCCAAGCAATAGCCTTCGGCTACTACTTCGTGGCCGTGTGGTAAGTCGATGACCCTGACGAGCTGTCGTCAAATATGCTCTTGAATGGATCTTCTTCGTTGATTGTGGCTGGCGTGCCCCAGCGGCTCCCCGGCGTCCCTCGCTGGCTGCCTTTACCACCATCTAACCCGAAGGTATCTCCCGATTTGACAGTCAAACCGCTCGGCGACCTATTATGCACGATGCTCTAAAAGAGAGGATAAGCAAGGTTGACGCAAAGATACAATCACGAGCGTACCCCAGCTATCGGTCGAGAGTAGTCAACGTCGTCTCTCAAGCTGATGTTCGACGAGCTGCACCGGCCATTACCGTCTAACTTCAGTAAACCTTCCCGAGTGGCTGCCACCGAGCCTGCGGTCGACGGCTCAGGCGGTGTCGCGAATGGATTAGATACCCTGGCCGCAGCTTTATTTGCGTCTTCAGGGCCGGCGGTACGCTCGTGCCAATCCGGCATCTTTCCAGGATGGTTCGGGCGAACAAGGCTCTTCAGATTATTGGCCGACGCCGCTCTCAAGACCGTATGCAGAGGCATAGGTCCAGGCCTCAGCAGCACAGGGGCAGGGTCCGGAGCAGGAGGAGGAATCACCGGCGACGGAGGTCCCACGATAGAGCGACTGGAGCGGACTGAAGTTGGAGAGCACTCCTCTACCGAGGAAGGGCCAGAGCGGAATCTGATACTTGAGTTGACGCTCGAGCTGTCTGCCTCGTCCTTAAGTTGAGATAGACGAGAATGGACGGCGGAGACGTGGCTATTCGAAGTCCTAGACTCGCGCGCTGGAGCTAAAGGACGGTGTATCAGGGCTGATTAATGTCAAGAGGAAATGCGAGCTTACCTCCGACGATTGGCTCCGCGAAACTGACTCTGGACGCACGGTGATCAGATCCCAAGAGTTGGTCACTGCTATTGAGCGCAGACCCTGGCCCAGGATAAGGTCGTCCATAGACCAAGGATTCAGGCCTGGAAAGCCTAGAATGCCCCGCGACAGGACTGGTAGGCTGCGTATCCGGGTCCAGGGGAATCAAAACCCCTTGCTGCACCGTAAGATTCAGCCGACTCGCATTCTTGATACTAGCCTGCGAGCCCGACGCAGGCCGCAAGAAGCTGTTCCGATCCGGGCCGTCGACATCCACGAGCGGGTCCGCGAAGGGGTCGCTGACCCTGCTGAACCTGCTTGCGCTCCCATAGCCAGTCGCGAAGCTCAACGACAGTTCGGAGCGTTCAGCCATGTCGTGGTCGCCTCCGAGGCCGGGGAGCCCGTCTTCGCCGTCACCGTCGTCTAATAAGCCGAAGGGGCGGGATTGGTTTGCCAGGGCGGCAGCTTCTAAGCGCCGGATGCGGTGTGCTCGCCTGGCAAACTTGATCAGGATACCCAAGAGTAGGAGGGCCGCGATCACGCCGATTATTATGCCAATCAGCGCGCCCGGGTTGTGCGTGAGCCTGAAACGAAGATGAGAAGGATTCACGTCAGAGACCGACGAACTCACGGGGTATGATAAGGCTTGTTTGGCACCAGCGTCTCCGTCGTCACAGCAGTCGTTACAGTCGTCAGATGCCCGTCGGGAAGCGTCGAGGTGAAGATAAGAGTTACGCTCTCCGAGGACAAAGTGTAGCCCGAAGCTGTTGTCCCTGGACCGAAGAGGGAGGCCAGGGATCCGCTTGGGTGGATGATACGCACAGTGGGCGTGATCGAGCCGGTGATACTGCATCGCGGGCCAGGACGTCAGAAAGAGTAAACGCAGCGGCGAAGAATGGATACGTACCTGCGTATCACCTGCGTCCCGCTGCCCTCGACCTTTACGGTCTCAGCACGTGGCGAGCTCGCAGCGCCCGTCCCGGTTGCATCGTTGGGAAGGCTGGTCACACCAGTCTCCGGAGGCGCAGTCGTGGATGTACCAGTGACTGCAGAGGCCGGCGTTGAGGCAACACCGGGAGACTTGCCTGTCACCGAATCCGAGCTGGGTTCTGACACAGTGGAAGCCGGCGCACCAGTAGCAGTGATAGAAGCCGTCGTAGTTCCCATTCCGAGCCCAGACTGTGCGGACGACAAGACACCAGGGGCCGACTCTGTAGCAGACGTAGTAACGACTCCCGCTGGCGACGTGGCTTGTAAACCAGTACTTGTAGCGTCCGTAGCACCAGTACTAGGTGTCACTTCAGCGGGCGCAGAGGTACCAGTGCTGGAGGCCCCTTCAGCAGGAGCGGAGGTGCCCCTAGCAGTCTGGGACGACAGAGGTGCCGATGTATCAACGGGCTGCGACACGCTCGCGGGGATTGAGGTGTCGGTAGATTGGACGGAATTAGTGCCAAGTCTTCCCGATGCAGTCCCCGTGGTCAATCCTGCGACTGACGCAGACGACTCAGTCGAGACAGGAGCGGAAGAACCGTCATTAGTACCCGTGGGCTCTGTCGGAGCTAAAGTATCTGTAGGTTGAACGGAGGTCGTGTCCTGCCCCGGAGACGTAGGCGCAGAGTTACCAGGCGCAGATGTATCACTAGGATCCGATGTACCAGTAACTGTTGGCGAAGGGGAGCCCGTAATCGGCTGGGTAGGGACTGAAGTATCCGTAGGTCGAGCAGCGGTGGTGCCCTGACCTGGAGACGTAGGCGTATTGCTACCCGGCGCCGACGTATCGGTGGGATCCGTGAACGACGGAGCGCTTGTGATCTCGGTTGGGACTGGGGTACCGGTAGGCTGAGAGGTCGTACCCTCACCCGAACCTCGCTGCGTCGTCGTAGGCGCAGAGTCACCCGGTGCCGACGTATCAGTGGGAAATGACGTTCCGGTAGCAATGGGCGAGGAAGAGTCTGTGAGCTGGGTCGGAACTGAAGTGCCCGTAGGCCGAGGAGAGGTTGTACCCTGTCCCGGAGACGTAGGCGCAGAGTCACCTGGCGCTGAGGTGGGACTGGGATCCGATGTTCCAGTGACTGTCGGCGAGGAAGAGCCCGTGGGCTCGGTTGGGCCTGAAGTATCCGTAGGCTGAATCGAGGTCGTACCCTGCCCCGGAGACGTCGGGACAGAGTTACCCGGCGCGGACGTATCCGACGTCCCAGTGGCAGTGGGTGATGCAGGAGAAGAGCCACTGTCAGTACCGGTGGGCTCGGCTGGGCCCGAAGCGTCTGGAGGTTGAGCAGAAGTCGTACCCTTCCCCGCAGACGTAGGAGCAGGGTTACCCGGCGCGGATGTATCAGTAGGATCTGACGTGGGCGAGGAAGAGCCACCCTCAGTACCCGTGGGCTCAGGAGGGACTGAAGTATCTGGAGGTTGAGCAGAAGTCGTACCTTGCGCTGTGCCTGACTGAGTAGTGCTGAGCGCAGAGTTACCCGAACTAGCTGTATCAGTGGGCGAGGATGGCGGAACGCCAGTATCCGTGGGCTCGGTAGGGACTGACGAGTCCGTGGGTTGAGCGGAGGTTGCACCCTGCCCTGCCCCTCCCTGGGTACTCGTAGGCGCGGCTGACGCCGTGCCCGCCGGATCAGCGGGCGCCGAGGTCCCAATCGTCTGCGAGGGCGCGTTGGGCGCGGACGTAGAGCTGGGCCCGTCCTCCCCGTCACTCGACGTGTCCCCAGTAAAAGTCGCGGAAGAGGGGCTGTCGGTGGAGGACAGAGTGGGGCTCGACGACGGCGCGGGAGCGCTCGTGCTGGGAGCTTCGGAGGACGAACTCTGCGCGGGCGGCTGGCTCGGGCTGGATGCGCTGGCCGAGGACTGGGTATCTGTCACCTGGGAGGATGACGGCGTGCTGGATGGGGATGAAGAGGCTATGGTTGTGGGCGTCGTAGAGGTCACGGTGGGGAATTCAGAAGTAGAACTAGCAGGGGCGGAAGTGGAGCCCGGAACGGAACTGAGGGAGGAAGATGAAGAAGATGCAGAATAGGATGATACGCTGGACTCGGACCATGTCGCTGAAGTACTACTAGGCGGGGAAGGAGCAGGCTGCGAAGTAGGACTGGAACTCGTACTGGGAGATTGGCTGCTGCTGCTGGGCGCAGCAGACTCGGACTCACTGGTGCTCGACCACGCGGATGACGACGTGTCGGGTGCAGCGGATGGAGAAGAAGAAGAGATGTTCACGGAACTGGAGCTGGGAGAAGGGGAAGACGTGGTAATGGTCTCCGTACTACTCGAACTGCTGCTGGACGCGAGCGAACTGCTGGAGTTCGCGGGCACCTCCAAGCTCGTCGAGACGGGCGCTTGGGGGGCTCCCGCCGCGCCAGCAGACAGCCCGGCCCAGAGGAGCAGGAGAGAGGAGGGGCCCGCGCTGCGCATGCTTTGGGGCGAAGGGTGGAATAGTTACGTGTATCGGTCAGTCTCCGTCCTGATCGTGCAGGCAGAGGGAACTCACGATTTAGTTGCGGGCGGGGAGCTTAGTGTAATGTAGTACAATATAGAAGCTTGTAGCGGCCGGCCAGCCTTTGTATGGACAGGTGATCGGAGGCCGCAAAGTGGAAAGGATTACAGTAGCTGTAGAACGGGTATGGGCGTGAGCGTGTTTCTGTCTCGTCTCGTGTCGGGTGCTATGGTTGCATTCCCAACTTCAAATCGGTGAGGACGCTGGACAAAGAAAGAAAGACAAGACACGCACGAAATCAGAACCTCCCAGGGAGACGGGTCGGGGACGGAAAGCTGGCGCAGGGAGCGGCAAAGGAGAGTTAAATAGGCGGTGGTGGATTCCACCTTGGGACGTGGATAAGGGAGCGCTGGGGTTAATCATCCCGGAGAGCAGGGTGCTTCTCCCATCGCTCTGCAACGCTTCTTGCTCCACTCTCGTCGCTAACCTTGTTCTGCCCCTCCGTGTTCCGTCCGTCTCGTCGGCCCCGAAGTTGTGTCTGCGCGGTCGGAGATGCTGCCGAGTACGTCGAGTACACCGCGCAGAAAGTGCGTGAGCCCATGCAAGTGCGCGGTGTAGTTATTCCAGACCTGGATATGTCGTGAAACATACGGAGGGGGAATAACAAATGTCACCAGATGGTCGAACACGCGCCACCGCTGCGTGGGTGCAAGCGATATCTCACGCCGCAGGAAAGATTTGGAGGCACTGCGACGGACGTCATCTGCGAGCGATGGCGTAGTGACCGGGCCAATCCCACCAATCGATAACCACCGCTTCTGACACCCCCGCCAACCATCAAATCAACCAGGCGCATGCTGTGCATCCCGACTACCTCCGGCCACTCCGGCCACTCCGGCCCGCCTGCCGTTGCCCCGCTTTCTGTCGTGCGCGCCGCCCTCGGCGTCGCGCTGCCCGTCGTCGACAACCATGATCACGGAGGGGCTGCGGTCCCCCTTGCGTCGCGTATTGGAAAGCAGCTCAGCCCATCATGTTCCTGGCTTCTCTGCAGAACGCAATCAAGGGAGGTTGTGTACTTTCCAAGTTCCCAGAGCCATTGATTGGAGAAACATTACTATCCTTTCCAACTAGCATGCTTCTCGGCCAGCGCGAAGATCTCACGAGAAATTCCCTCCATCTTCAGCTGAATATCTGGTTCGGTATGTAGGGGCGGAACAAATGCTACCTCGACATCCTTCAGCCTACTGTGTTCCTCAAGCATGGGGCGGCTCCTGAGGTCATCATTCAGACTGCACGTTGGCCCTGACACGTACATAGCAAGCCCCCCTCCCCTGTGTCGATGGGTGCCATTATCGGCGCAGACATAGCCAGGTCCGAATTTGTACATATTCGTGATGCGCGATGGTATTCCCCTCCCCCTAGCCCTTCTGCTGTGATGCTAAATCTTCGGACGAGCGTACGCAGTGGAACTCCGGACATTCAGATCCCAGCGAATTTGCGTATGTACACTTGTGAAAGGCCTTCGGGTCCCTGTTCTAGCACCCCACCCAGATGAAAAACCTGACAGCTTCGTTGGTGTGCCGTCCCCTAGCTCTCGATCGGCACCATTCACCTCGCTACCCGCCATCTTTATACGCTCGCTACTAATTAACTGATCTGTACGTGTGTAATGCCTCGTTTAGTCCTTGCGACCCTCTTCACCAGCGAGGCGCTTGTCCGAGGGACGCACTCTATCCTCTCGGGCACCTCCTTTACTCAGGATAAGCACACGTCGCCCACATAGCGTCGACATGGCCACTCCATGGCCTCCCTGCCGGCGCGCTCTCGCACCTTCGGATGTATGTGTGCTACATCCCGTTCATGCCATGGAATAAGAACGAACCCACTGACTGGGCGAGGAATGCGCGCTCGTCCGCGTTTGAAGACCTGGCGCACGGCGCAAAAGGTTAGAGTCCCGCTATAGTCGCGGCGGTCGTTGCGTTTCTGACAGCGATGCTGCTGCGCCATCGACGAGCTCCACGTCGACAGAGCGGTCACAATAATATCCTACACCGACAAGTACACGGGCGCGCACACCCAGCGACACATGGCTGTACGGTATGGCGCTAAGCCACATCCGTCTCATGACTGGTCTCCTCGTTTAGCTGGCAGAAGGAATCCTTACCGAAGCTGAGGGCACCGTGGTCGGAGGGCACCAGAAGACGGCTGCTAGCCAGTGCTCGTAATGCTGCGCTCACCTCCCCCTTTCCTATACCTGAAACATTCCCCAAGTCCCGCAGACTCCTTGCCGACAAGCTGTGGAACTTCGCCGCACGCGACCCATGAGCAGGACCGAGTCGTGCACAACCATAGCTACAGTATGTCTGAGAGTGTGCCCGAACTCGCATTTATGATAAAGTTTATTTCTTGGCGGCCCGGGGTTTGGTGACTTCCTTGGTTTTGAATGCATACGGATAACTCGCAGATCCTCCTGCGTCGCGTCTCAGGCTCCGGGAGCCTGCGGCGCGGTACGCTGCATTGCTCTGTCCTCTGCTTAGACGGGACCAAGGCGTCGTGGAACGGGATCCGCCAGTGAATACACTTGATTGAACACAAGACAAGCGCAGCTGTCTAGTACAGTCAAAATAGTAGGAGCTTTTCCACGCCGACAATTCAAGTCTGGGCTTTTCTCTCCTTGAGAACTAGGCTTGAACCTGCAAGCACCACATAGGTACAACATGCATCACTGCTCCCCACCGGCGGTATCAACAGGCTCTTCAGCTGAGGCAGACTCTCCGGTCTGCTCCCTCTCGTGCCTGCATCGTAAGCGAAAAGGGTTATCAATATCTAACCGGAAGGGCTATGACAGAGCTTACAGCCGACGATCCGTCAACATTATCCACTCGAAGAGCATCTTCCCCAACCGCGTCTGCCAGACCGGGTCCGTGAGCGGGACCGGCTCCTCCCATGGATCGTCACCGAAAGCCTGGTCACATGTCGCCGACAGATCCGCGAATTCGAAGTCACTGTGGATGTCGCAGTCGGTCACGTTATCGAACAGGCTCTCCTTGAGGTGCCCCCGCAGTGCCCAGTAGTTCGGGCGCAACTCCTCCGGTACACTTGGCAGCCTGAGATGAGCCGGAATGTGCGATAACAGCTCCGGCGCACACACGGTCCTTGGGTCTCTGAACCAGACGATCCGATAGTCATCCTGCGTGCAAAGGTGGAATTACTACCGTAGTAGAGCGCGTTTCCGCATACCACACCGGTGGTATAGATACACATATACATACCTCTGGATCAATGCTGAATACATTCCGGCGCCACAGTTCGGCCAGACGCGGATGCATCGTCAGCCCGTTACGTGGAGTGTGCACGACCTGGTCTTGCTGGGGCAATTTCAATGTATTAAGATCAATTTCGTCATATAACAGCTCGGTGTGTTAGGAGCAGGCAGAACAGGGAAGCATAAGATGAGTGGCCATAAGCACACCAGGCCCAGACACATACACAAACCGAAGGCAAGGTCAATTGCACGGACTAAGGAACAAAGGAAATACAGTGGCTCAGTACATAGTCAAGCTGTTTGTACCTATTTGTCCCAGTGGCTCTGCTTCCAATACAACCAAAACCTAACACGGTGACCTGACCAAATTGCAGAGCAGAGAAGGATGTAGTTGAGAATTATACATGCTATTAAGCTGGGAGGTAAGAGGATGAGTGTACCCAATTATGCCTGAAATTATACAGGATCCAAGTCGCCACTGGATCAGGCTCCCGCAGGCCTGTGATTACGCAGGTCTTCTGATCACGGTCCAAGATTGCGGAATAAAATTGCTGAGCAGTTAGAGATCAAGGCGAGCGTAAGAATTAGCTATACAATCACATCCTGCCAAGAGTCAATTGGACTCAATCCACTTGCCAGGTTTGCAAACGCAGGTTCCTCGAATATCTGTTCCTCGGACATCGGGAATCCAGGCGATGGAATATGCAGGTGAAAGAGTTCTCTCGCTGTGGTCAGGGGTCATCAATGTCCAATCTGTCCACATCATTGGCATGAAGCTTACGCTCTTCGCTCTCGCAGGTGCTGTAGTGTCCTGGAACTATAAGCTCATTACTGTCTAAGGCTCCAACCATTTAGTTTACGTTTACAGATTCTTGTAAACTAAACATAAACATAAACAACCAGTAAACTAGTGATGCGCGCTCGCGCAGAGTTGCTCGCGAAGCGTAACGTGGTGTGGCGCGACACGTTGTCCTGTTATGTGGCACAGCTGGTGCACCATACACACCAACCTTGCATGCATACGGCTCAACTTACTGTATTTCATGGCATGTTTTGTGATAGGTAGGGCAAGTAAATAGGTATCATTGATTCTGGAACCTTTCCAGGCTCAATCCGAGGATATTCAAAGCTCTGTATCAACTTATAGCTGGCCCTTGGTCTTTGTGGGTCCCTCAGCCACCGGGAGTAGAATTTGCACATGTTTGTCGCGGACTTCTGCCCTAGTGAAGAATTGCTCGCTTCGCTCGCAACTAAACAGTAAATAAACAGTAAACAGCCTGTTTGGTATGATACCGAGGTAAAGTGACTTCTTGCTCCCTCTCTAATGCCCGGATGCCTCCAAGAGCTCACGAGAGCCATACGTGACATAGCCTAACATACTGGGAGGACCGTTGAAGCCGGTTGTCCTTGTGGCTCGAGGGTACCCGCCACTTACCTTAAAATAGACTACCCACGAGGGAGGTCGGTAAGTCCCGAAGGACCGACGAAGCATCGAAAGCCTGTGGCACGGGGAGTACACTCTCCTGAGCCCCTCAAGTTGTCTATGAATTGAACATGGACAGCCTATATGAGCTTTACGTGGTGCCAGATCAGCTCAAGCAGATGTTATATCTAACTGTTTGTTTACCCTTTATATACTGTTTACCCCGGGTTTACTGGCTTGGCGTAAACAAACATAAACTTTAACACAAAAAAACCATTTAAAACAGTAAATAAACTAAAAGGTTGGAGCCTTATTACTGTCTCGGGGTATGTATGACCCTTCCGGGATGTTCAGGAACTCCAGGAAGCACTCCTTCGCGACAGGCTGTATACTGATCCTCCGGAGGAGATAAGTGCACACTGTCCCGTAATCAGCACGGTCATTTTGTTGGTGCACCATATCCATCCAGCGGTACAATGTTCGGTAGGTGATGTGGGAGTTTTCATGTACAGACAGTGCTGGGAGTCCGCTCATGAGTACGAGTTGTGAGAAGTAGACATCCTAGTAGAAACACCTAATTCAATTCTTCTTTCAATCCAGACAAAAAAACTGCATTTGAGGTCGAGACCTTTTGAGGACAGGTAGAAGCTGTGGCTGAGGTTGTCCGCCATAAGATCATATATCAGCAATATTCTCCACTCTCCTGTAGATATTGTACATCTGCCAGTCTGGCACGATCTGAAAACTGGACTCGTGGGTCCGTATTTTTACGTTATTTGTCCGGGCCAAGGACACGTGCGGTCGAACAAAGCAAGCTCGACATCTAGAGCAACCCGAGCGTCGCACGTCGTGCAGCTGCCTTGAATCGGTGTCCGGTACGGTGCTCAGGCTGTGATGTCCTGTCTGAAATTCGTACGTGCTACAGAACACATCGAATCGCTGGAACTCCTGGGGTTTGTGCAATGTATCATCGCAAAGAACGATCCTAAGATACCAGTCGTACGATGCGCCGGGTCATTAACCGGTGATCTCGTAATAGCCGCGGCAGTACTTGGCCTCATCAGTAGTCTCAATAACACCTCTGGGCAGACTCTCGGCCATCATCCCTGTCACACCAGAACATGCAATCATAATCATCAGTATCTCATTGCATGGATACTAGAATACTTACAGCCTATGATCCGTCAACATAATCCACTCTGAGAGCATCTTCCCCAACCGCGTTTGCCACAACGGGTCCGTGAGCGCGGCCGGCCCATAAGCAAAAGCCTCCTCCCAGATGTCCTCTAGATCCCCGCTGCTAAAGTCGTGGTGGATATCACACCCAGCTAACTGTGCGAAGAGGCTGAACTTCAGGTGCACGGGGAGCACCCAGTAGTGCGGCCGCGAGTGCTCTGGGATGCGCGCGAGGCTGAGGTGCGTTGGGATAAGAGATGAGAGGTCGAGGGGACATATGAATTGGGGATCTCGGAATCAAACGAGACGGTAGTCGTCCTGGGTGCGACGGCGAAATGATGCGGTCACATTGTAGTCGCTTGCGGGGCCATGGTATAAGAATGATGCATACATACCTCTGGGTCTACGCTGAAGATGTTCTGGCGCCACAGCTCCGCCAGACGCGCATGCATCGTCAACCCATTTCGTGCTGTGCAAAGCAGCTGCTCTTGGGGCGGCAGTTTCACTGGCAACCCCTCAGAGTCAGGTTTGTACTCCGGCACCTCGGTGAGCTGGTCAAGTTGAGTGGAGAAGGATATGTGGGTGAGGCTAGGTATGAGGGGAGATGATAGACCGGCATACTGTGGCTTCAATGGGGCATGACCCAAGTTGCAACCGGAGCAGGATCCGTCAGTCCCGTAATCACGCAAGTCCTCTGGTCACGGTCTAGGATATCAGAATTGAAACTCGGGGGACAGAGACACTGGTAGGTATAAATGAACTTTGGTCAACCAGACATAATCAGGGAAAGGAGCTGCCGATTCAGAATCAGAATTACTTGACATTCCTGGCCATCGAAGACGCCAAAATGGTCTGGAGTAAGAACGTCGTCACTTGTCCCGGGGTATGCACGGCCCCTCCGGAGTCACGTAGAAATGTACGAAGTACTGCCTTCCGAGAGGCCGTACGCGGACCGGCCGGAGATGATACATGTGCACGGTCCCGTGCGGAGAACGAATATTATGCTCATGTAGCATGTCCATCCAGCGATACAGTGTTCGAACTGTGATGTGGGATTTTTCGTGCAGGGAACGTGCCAAAGAAAACGCTGCGAGTTTGATCAGAAGTTGCACACTGTGGGGATGGTAGCACAACTGCATACCTATCTCCACCCCGCTCCCGGCCCAGAAAGTCGCAGTTGAGGTCAAGACATTTCGAGGAGAGGAAGCTGGAGATGCAAAGTTCGTCCGGCATATATGATACGGAAACCGACGCGGTTCAAGGGAGCTTTCAAGAGGCAGTCGTGGCGAGTCACGACATCGTGCAGTTCGGACTCAGGCTTGTGGGTCCCAATGTTACGTAGTGCGGAATGGTGAGCAATGCTGCAGCCAACCAGCTTTGGATCCCGATACCCGCTGCAAATACTCAGCCTATCCTACTAGTTGTCAACTGCCATGAGTATGTTGCGCCCCCAAGTCCGGGTTCTATGTATGGTCGTCTCAGTTGCATACGAAGACTGGGATATAAGTTTGAAGGTTACAGCACCAGGGTGATCTCGGTCGGGGATGACGAAGCACGGCGGTCGAGGTGAGAGAACCCGAGTAGCTGATAGGTGTCGGCCACCTGAGCATTCCGGGCCGCCTCCGAGCCATGCCCGCGTCGTGATTGGCTCTTCTCAGAGTCCGACGAATACCAGTGACTCAGATTGGACTCAGATGAGTCGACTCACCCCCTCTGTGTAGGAGCAGCGATGCCACCTCGAACGGCTGCAGGACGTCTGGAATAAGGGGCGCAACCGACACTGGAGACAATATGAATCGCGGACTCATTCTCGTACGGCTCTGCCAGAGGACTCAGGCGGGTCCTTCCCCTCCACACACCCACAGACTCTCATCGTTTCGCTACCCCCATGTCCTCCACGACCTGGTACCATTACGACACCCCATGATCCGCAAACTTGACGTCCAAGCCTTGGGAGCGCGAGGCGCCCTGCCAAAGAAAAACCTCGACACAGCCGGGAGAGCCCTCAGCTCCGTACGTCGAGCCCACGGCGTCCAAGTTGGAAAGGACGGCCTGGTCGAATTACGTGGCCTTATGGGTACGAGTCCGTTCTCACGCATGGCTAGCTCTTTAGACATACATACTTGCCGGGACCCGAACAAGGGGCCAGTGCCGGCGCAAACCACCTATCACTGGCACAACGCTAGAACCCGCACCGCATTTCCTCCCGCCTTTGACGTCAACATTCCTCAGATCCATCCCTGGGGGACGTACGATTGCTGAGAGCCGAATACGAGCGGGGCCGGGCATGCAGTGCACGCACCCGGACCCGAGGCGACGAGCCAAGGTACGCAGATTGAACCTGTTCCTCTCTCGCGACTGGTATGTAGTCATACCACCGGGGCGCAGGCGTTCGGGGTCCCGCATGAAAAGGAAGAAGAGTCCTAGGGTATGCGTTGCATTAAGTACGAGTACTGCCAACTTTGTAGAATTATAATACCGCCCAATATGTTATGTATCCGGCCTGGGTTGTCTCAACAAGCCACGCACGCCAAACGAAGAAAATACAGTACGCGCCAGTGCAGCCACGATAACAAAGTGCAAAGCAATCCCAAGCAATAAACGCACGAACGGGCGGGACTACACCCCCTTGCCCCCGACCGCGTTATTCCCGCCACCGCCCGCGGCGCCGCCGAGGGCGAGCAGCTCGTCGAGGCGGCGGCGGAACTGCGCGATGCGCTCGTCCCACTTGCCCTTGAGCTCGTCGTCGCCCTCGGTCGCGGAGCTGGCCGAGTACGGCTCTCCTCCGCCTCCGCCGTTTTCGCTGGGGAACGGCTGGGCGGGGTGGGCGTAGGGGGAGGCGGGCGGGGAGGAGGGCGTGGAGAGGGTGTGGGCGGGCGGGTAGCCGGTCTCGTGGCCGTGGTCGAGGACGAAGGCCTCGATGTCGCGGATGAACTGGTCGAGGTCCTGGGGCGTCGTTCCACGTTAGTACGAGACCAAGGGGCCGGGGACGGACGCGTACCTTTGTCAGCCGGATACTCGAGTCGGGCTCGGAGGAGCCGCGCATGCGAGCGAGGTAGGACGCGATGAGGGTGGCCATGCCGCCGAGGACGGAGGTGGCGATGGCGGTCTGCCTGCCCGGGGAGGCGGCGCTGATGGCGGTGGTGAGCGCGCCGAGGAGGACTTGCCCGCCGATCGCGAAGTTGAGCGTGCGCCCCGTCCGGCGCGCTGCTCCTGTCAGAGTCGCATTGCGTAGCACAAAGTATTTGGAGCTCACCTCGCGCGTCGGCAGTCTCCCTCTCCTTCTTCGCGTACATGATGGTCGGCTCGAGCCGCTCGCCGACCGTCTTGGGCCGGTAGCGCTCGCGCTCCTTCATGACCTCCACCTGGGACATGTAGTCTAACCCGCCGAGATTCATCCCAACGCCCATGCCGTTGAGCGCGGGCGCGGGTGTGGTGACGTCGCGGATGCCGGTGGCGGAGAGCGGGCGCTGGGGATAGTCGGCGAGCCCGCGGAAGGAGGCGCGGGGGTCGTGGAAGGAGATGGCGGGCCCGCGCATCTGCGGGCGGCGCGAGGCGGAGGAGAAGGCGCGTTGTGGGAGCTGGGGCTGGGGCTGCGCGGGCTGAGGCTGGGGTTGGGAGAGATGAGGCTGGGATTGGGATTGGGATTGGGACGGCTGGGAGGCGTAAGAGGGGCCAGCGACGGGCTGGGTCTGGTTTTGCGGCTGTGTCTGCGGGTCGTGCTGAGAGGCGTTCGTGGGCTGTGGGAAGGTAGGCCCTGTACTGGGATTGGAAGGGAGGGACGGCGGATTGAGATGAGGCAGGGCTGGGGAGGACGTCTGGGAGTCGTTTGGGGCGGAGCCGGTCGACGGCATCGAATCTCGATTGACGGGCTCGTTTGTAGGAATTGGCATGTCGGCGACAGAGTGGTGACTGGGCGAGGGCGGGAGAGGCGGGAGCGGGTGGCTCGCGTGGTCGTCGGCGTTGGCCATGGCGTGCAAGGGACGTCGCTTGAACGCGTCGCGCCACCCGATCAAAGAAGACGTCGGCTCGGACTTGGCACGAGTTTGCGGGGCGGAAAGGGCGCGTCCTCGTCCCGTCTCTTGCTCGGGTTGGGTCTATATATGTCGCTGGGTGTTGACAGAGCATGGCTCACTTGCTGTTCAAGAGGTGCGATCGTGGTCTTTGCAGCAGATCGCCGCCAGATCTGGCAGATCGAAGCGGAGATCTAGATCCACCGACGATGAGCAACCTGCCTCGTATGTATCGCTATTCGGTCTAGCTTGACGTTTGTGGATCCTTATCCAACTTGGTCGCATCCACTCTGCTCAGTCTCAATTCCCGTCGCCTTCATCTATCCATCCACGGCACTGGTACCCGCCCCCCTTGACATGTCTTGGAAGCAGAACTCCTCCGACATCCAGGCCTTCTTCCGAGAACAACATTGCGTTATTATTGGACCCACAAGCGCGCTAATCCCTATCAGGACTCAGTGATTGACCGACTGTCAACTGCATTCCCCCTTCACTCGAAACGAGCGTCGGTGCCGACTCTCCCGCATTACGACCAGGTCCCGGCGGCGAGAGAGTGCAGCACAGCACCTGCTCGCGTCCCTCATCTCTAACGTCGAAGACGGTGCTTCGACGATCCCGAGATCACTCCGCGAACCTTGTCCCCTAATCATTGAAACACAAACGCGTCGAGCACAGATCCCGAGGCGCGCGTATACTTAGATCGAAGTTACGAATATGACAAGAAACATCGTGCACTCATATAGCCTCAATATCGCATGACTTCACCCGAATAGTGCGGAGACGTCGCCCATATATCCATGTGGCGTCTACTTACTGTACGTGACCTCTCTCAGGTGAAAGTTCTGACAACCGTGTTCCCGCTTCTCTTATTGCTCCTCCAGACACACTGAGAATTCTCTTCTCCCATTTGCACCTACCCGCTACAACCCCGAGCGCCCGCTGCGCCTCCCATCGTGAAGATTTCAAGCTCATATATTACCTGAACAGAAGCACAGCTAATTAATCTTCTAGCTCGTATAGCCATACGTGACGCTCAGATAATATCCTTCTAGCTTGTATGTCCATATGCACCAACGTCATCAATTCATTATCCCAGCATGCCGAGCCTCCCGAGCGCTCCGAAATGGCTTTGGCAAAGGCTGCGCGCGGCAATCTGGCAATCTGATTCCGCCGCGTTTCTCAACCCGCGCTTCCTCCCGAGTCGCTTCAGAGTTCCGCTGTCGAGTCTTTGAAGTCGACCTGCCTTAGTCCCCCCCGCTCCAAGGCCCTCGGTGCACAGCTCGCTACAAGCCTGAAGACATACACAGCGATGAGAGTACGCGGCTCGCGCCGGAGCGCTGAGCTCCTTCCTACGTCCGCTCACTGTCACCTCATACACCCATGCAAGGTTATCCGTGGTACGCAGTCGGTCGGTACGTTTTATGCTGGAGCTGAAAGAGCGTACGTATCTCTTTGGCTGAGGGTCGAGGGTCTACGCAGACCGAAGCCACAGGCCGCTCGTCGCGTTAACTCGCCGGCGGACTAAATACTAATAGGCTCAGGCAACATCAGATCCCGCCACATGAGCCACCCAAAACTTTCTTTCTCACGGATGCCGGTACGTGACTTCTCCCGCTATCCAGAGTACCGTGGCGCCGTCCGCCCTGTACATCTCACATCCATAAACGCAGGCTTGCCGAACCCCCTCTTCCCGCGGACGCGAAGCCCTGACCTGGCATCTCCTCGTAAGATTCGCAAGTCATGTGGGATCACAGCTCGTTCATTTCTATACCGGAATATACGCGGTTAGTCTCCTGAACATGCATATGCCAACGTACGCCCACAAGTATGTGGAAGCGTTGCTGATTGGTTGTTGCTGGGTGCGGAGCCCCCCGCACGATGCGTTGTTCATCCGGGCGCCCGTCCTATTTCGCTGCATCCCGAGCGCGAGTGTCGGGCCCTCCCCCTCTCACCGCGCTCTTCGTTTCGGGTGCCGATACTCGATGTTGTGCCGGGTGTCGCAGGTCGTGGAGCTAGGGGTGCTATCTGACACAACACTGGCAGCGATGGACTCGAAGGAAGAGTGTTGCCCGGATTTTTTACCGTGAGCGTACAACTCCAGATGATGGAGTTGATCTAGGCAAGCAGCACACGTCCTCTTCTCGGTGAGTATTGCCACGGAGTAGCACCGTGCGTCGCAGACATGCAATTGCTGGCAGCTACCTGCTGGTAAGTTCCTCTTAAGACCACACAGAAAAGGGATAACATGTCAAGTCAAGTTCTCTGCAGGCCAACACAGGGGACGACTGCGAGTGCGAGTGTGCGGGGCTACGTGGCTGTGCACTGACGTCGGTCGACCAGGGAGCCAATCAGGACTTTCCGCCATTGTTTCTTACGCTGGGCGTATGTGTACTGGTCACTGCTAGGACAGGGGTGTACCGACGTCGCACTGCCCTCAAAAGCAGACACATGATACGCACCCTCTGTGTTTTATACTTACCATGGCCTCGCCCTTTATACTAACGTCGGCCGTGCTCCTGATCATGGCCTCGCGCCGGACATCGAGAATTGGACTCGACGGACCTCGCATGTGCCGCACGGTGTGCGGAGGTCGCACTGCCACTGCGTCGCGGACCGCGGTCATTCCTAGGTTTCTCAGAACCATCCTCATGATCAGCCAGTGTGTCGAAGAGCCCAGGGTGATCCTAACCTACACCTAACCCGGGCGCCCGCTGCGCCTCCCATCGTGTGAAGATTTCCATATCGACCAGCATACATTAACTGAACAGAAGCGCTGCTAATTAATCTTCTAGCTCGTATAGCCGTAACAGATGCACAGGTAATTGCATTCTAGCTTATACACCCATATGCACCAACGTCACTGATTCATTATCCCAGCATGCCGAGCCTCCCGCAGAGCTGCCCGCCCCATTCCGATTTCGCCGAGTTTCTCGATTCGTGTGTCGATATGGACATCGCTGGCCGTACTCGAGTCTCTTCGTGCCGCAGCATCCTCTCCCTTGCCCCCAAGTCCCTCGGTACACGGCTCAAGGGTCCTTGCCAGCTCTTCAAGTTGGTAAGCACGAAGACACACACAACGGTAAGAGTGGGCGGCGTCGATCGGCGTCCCGACGAATTGATAGCCCCCTTCTACGTTCGAGTTGGCGCCGTCATTCATACACCGATGCAAGGCTGGCCGTGGGTCCACGATCTGGAGAGAGGACGGCGCGGTATGCTTGACACAGCAGCTGTCTCTCTGGCTTCCGGGACGAGTCGGACGCAGGTCGAGCGTCGAGGGCACAGCATACACGGACCCAAGTCACCAGCCGCTTGTAGTTAGAGGCACAAGGTGCAGGGGCCAAGTCAGTAGTGTCGAGTTGTGGCGGCCGAAGACCTCGCCTACGCCCTCCATACTTGTGTTTTTACATCCACGCCCTGTACGTGATGTCCTGCCAACCAAGTCGCAGTGGCACCGTCCATCCTGTCCATCATGCTCCTTCGTTCCGCAGGCAGACGAGTAGGTGCATCAAACCTCCCGCCGGGAAACAGCTTTGCGCGCCAGCTGTGCCTCTTGAAGGACTAAAACTCACGCATGAACGGTGCGGGAGCAGAGTGATTCACTTCCTACAGCGCCAGCTATTAAACATGGGCCGCTGGTTTTGCCCCGCACCTTGCATTCTTTGCTCCGACTTGTGCCCTTCAATTTCGCTGCATCCGGGAGCGAACGAGTGCCGGGCCGTTCGCCTCTCACCACACAACTCATGTCATGTCCATACTGGACCCATCCATGGCAGGATTCCAGCCCCGAACTCCTCGATCCTGTGTCGGCTACTGGTAAGAAGACTGTGCACTGCCTCACCCGTTTGCACCAGAGATCACAATAGTATAATTCATTGATGTGGCAAACAAGATACTCATACAATGGTATCACGACGCCCAGAGGGATACAGCCACTTTACTATGACAGGTGAGATGCGGAGACGTGACTATCACGTAGTATTCCTCGGCCTTACTATTCGTACACTGATGGCTGATCGAGCCCGGATACGCTGGGACTGCTCCCCTTAACTCACGATAGTGGGATTCGGTCGAGCCTTCTGTCCTCCACCTTTGAAGTGCCAAAGCAGACAGGTTCTGAAGTGATCTCTGAGGTATTCCCTCCTCACTTCAGGCTCGGCGGCCAAGCCAGTGGTTCCCAAAGGAATGGCCATTGTGTGCCGGCCTTCCAGGAAAGGTGCACCACTCTTTTCAAAGCGGTACAACATTGAAGTCTGGAATGATGCGTCAGCGGTAAGAAGACACCGTCATGACCAAATTTGACACCGGACGCACCATGGCATCGATCCCAAATTGATAATCGTCGAAGAGAGCGTGGATATCAGCTCTCATCAGCATCGCGTTCGTGGGCACGTCAATGTCTGTGGGACTAGTGATTGAAAGCTGTGTACCCAGCGGGCTGTTGACTATCTAATGCAAATGTGTTCATGATTGAGCCATTACTCCTGGAACATATGTCAACACAATAAACATACCATCCCTGTGGCGAAGAGAGGTATGACATGTGCAACATGAAATTCAGTAAAATTGCGGCCGCGTTTCCGGTCAACTGCTGGGATTCCAGACACTCGACACGCCTTGTCTCTCTTGCGCACCGCATTCACCACCGCTGAGTTCTAGAGGCAAAAGTGTAATACAATCCGAGTCTCCCCCCTTGATAAACTGCACCACATACCCTGTCAACCTTGTCCGAATCTTTGCTAGATGCACCAGAGGGCGTTTGGCTAGCTGTTTTCTTTCTCTTTTCAAAGAGTGCTTTACACAACTCAGGTATGAGAGGCGCAAGTTGTCTGTTCACACCGGCTGCGATTATCTCCATGTAAAATACCCACTGGGAGAAGGCAAAGGACTGCAGTGTACTAACCTTTGTAATACAAGTAATGGCCAGCCTTAAGAAGCCCTGGACCTCTTGACACAAGGTCCATATTCTGAAGATCAGGAAGAATTGGCAATCCTGCTCGGTCACGCGGAGAGCCAAGCATTTCAAGTTTCTCTGATAGGGTTTCTTTGTGGACGAAGCACAGCACTGGCTCTGTCATGCATGGTTTCACCCTGATAATGGGTGAATTTAACCTGCACAACTTGACGAGACCGACATGGTGAAACTGGCCATATAAAGGTGGAATTTCACCCATTGCAATGTACCCACATACCTGGTGAAAAGTACCCCCCACCGGTGAAAATCACCCTTTGACCTGGATAAGGTAACTCAATTTCTGGGTTACAAACATGGTGAATTTACCCCCTTCCGGGGTCCACAGTGAGTGATTGGTGGACTTGTGCACTTTTTTTGGTCCAACTTACTTCGGCCTTTGCCTGGGACAACAACCATGTCCAGCCAATCATACAGAGTCTCGGCAGTGAGCTGTCCAAATCGCCAGCAGCCTATTTTCCTTGATCAGTTCAATCAATTTAACGGAATAGGGTCTTGTTGGCAGTGGAAGATACTAGCTTCAGACAACACCCAAGGGCTAGGTCAAACTGTGTCAAGACTGTATTCTGGTATAAGGAATACAAGTGGCAGACTCACCTAGGTCAAACTGTGTCAAGACTGGGGGACACAGAGCGACCTAGGGAGCCCTTATATACTGTAGAATACAAGAGCATCAAAGAACAAGGACAGAACAAGGGGGACATCGAAATACAAAGAAGAACAAGGAATACAAGGAATACAAGGAATACAAAGGGAGTGGCTCACAACAAAGGGAGTGGCTCAGAACAAGGTAACTTGGCCTAGAAGCGCCTAGGCCATTCCATGAGCCACTCAGTCAAAAAAGAGTGACCAAGTCATCAGATCTCAACAGGTCTGGATCCCGGAGTCGAACCGACTTAGCCACTACTCCAAGTGTCCTACATTCCGAGCGTGTTACACGCTCTATGTGCCGTTACTCCGGTCTCCCAAACCGGGTTCTGCCGCACTCCTGGTCCATAAGGATCCGAATCCTTACACCTGGGACATGTTTCAGAGACGGTGCGATGAGGGTATGCCCGCGCTTCAGTTCTCAAACATCTGCAGCTAAGTTCGGTGCCAAGACGGATTAATGTGGGCTTTTGTGCAGCATTTCCAATCAACTGGATATTGAGGAGACATATTTCACCACTCAGAAACAACACCGAAGGTGAAACTAGCAAAGAACAAAAGAAATATCAGTTACTAGTCCATATAGAATGCGAGCCCATGGACCCACATTCCCTGGCGTATCAGGGACTCGAGACCCGGGCCGGACAGTGAGGTCCTGTGTACGCGCGTTGTTTGCTCTTGCTCCATAACCTTACTAGATATTATTTCTGACTGATGTGTTTTGCTGATTGTGGAGATTACAGTATAAGAGCTTGTCCTGCAGGAAGAGAGATTATCACCTGCACGATTGCGGACCTGCGAATCTCGAGAAAATGGGGCCAGACGACCAGCCGCACCACCTCAACCCCAAATTCTACCTGTCCTCAAAAGGTCTCGACCTCAAATGCAACTTTTTTGTCTGGATTGAAAGAAGAATTGAATTAGGTGTTTCTACTAGGATGTCTATTTCTCACAACTCGTACTCATGAGCGGACTCCCAGCACTGTCTGTACATGAAAACTCCCACATCACCTACCGGACATTGTACCGCTGGATGGATATGGTGCACCAACAAAATGACCGTGCTGATTACGGGACAGTGTGCACTTATCTCCTCCGGAGGATCAGTATACAGCCTGTCGCGAAGGAGTGCTTCCTGGAGTTCCTGAACATCCCGGAAGGGTCATACATACCCCGAGACAGTAATGAGCTTATAGTTCCAGGACACTACAGCACCTTCGAGAGCGAAGAGCGTAAGCTTCATGCCAATGATATGGACAGATTGGACATTGATGACCCCTGACCACAGCGAGAGAACTCTTTCACCTGCATATTCCATCGCCTGGATTCCCGATGTCCGAGGAACAGATATTCGAGGAACCTGAGTTTGCAAACCTGGCAAGTGGATTGAGTCCGATTGACTCTTGGCAGGATGTGATTGTATAGCTAATTCTTACGCTCGCCTTGATCTCTAACTGCTCAGCAATTTTATTCCGCAATCTTGGACCGTGATCAGAAGACCTGCGTAATCACAGGCCTGCGGGAGCCTGATCCAGTGGCGACTTGGATCCTGTATAATTTCAGGCATAATTGGGTACGCTCATCCTCTTACCTCCCAGCTTAATAGCATGTATAATTCTCAACTACATCCTTCTCTGCTCTGCAATTTGGTCAGGTCACCGAGCTGTCATATGACGAAATTGATCTTAATCCGTTGAAATTGCCCCAGCAAGACCAGGTCGTTCACACTCCACGTAACGGGCTGACGATGCATCCGCGTCTGGCCGAACTGTGGCGCCGGAATGTATTCAGCATTGATCCAGAGGTATGTATATGTGTATCTATACCACCGGTGTGGTATGCGGAAACGGGCTCTACTACGGGTAGTAATTCCACCTTTGCACGCAGGATGACTACCGCATCGTCTGGTTCAGAGACCCAAGGACCGTGTGTGCGCCGGAGCTGTTATCGCACATTCCGACTCATCTCAGGCTGCCAAGTGTACCGGAGGAGTTGCGCCCGAACTACTGGGCACTACGCGGGCACCTCAAGGAGAGCCTGTTCGATAACGTGACCGACTGCGATATCCATAGCGACTTCGATTTCGCGGATCTGTCGGCCATCTGGGACCAGGCTTTCGGTGATGACCCATGCGAGGTGCCGGCGCCGCTCACTGACCCTGTCTGGCAGACGCGGCTGGGGCAGATTCTCTTCGAGTGGATCATGGCGACGGATAGTCGGCTGTAAGCTCTGTCATAGCCCACGTTATGGTTAGATGCTGATAACATCCTATGGCTCAGGCACGAGCGGGAGGAGACCCGGGAGTCTGCCTCAGCTCAAGAAGCTGTTGATACCTCAGGACAAGAGTGATGTATACCGTATCTGTATGGGTGCTTCCACTTTTCAGGACTCGGGGAAAGCTCAGGAGTCAGACTCGATTAATGTTGTTTTGGAAGAGCTTCTGGCTTCCGAACGTACTAGACATCTTGCCTGTATTGTACTTGGATATAATCTAACGCTATACATATGTCGTGTCGATCGAGTCTACTCAATCCCCGTTCTCATCTCACTATATGAAAGATCCTGTCTAAGCAGAGGCTACGACGTAGCAGGCCGTCGCTGCTAAGTCCTGCCCACTATTGACTGTCTTGTCCAATAACCTGAGACTTAGAGTGTCACAGCAAGTCCAGGATGCCCCATGAAATCTTCCGATGATTTAGGTGCATTTTATCTAGAACTACATCTACAACGTCAAGCGCGTTCGGGCTATTCGTCTGCTACAGTTCTGGACAAACTCTCATTGTGATCCCCGCCTGCTTGCTATGGACGCTCTTTTTGCAGAGCGATCACAGGTCGCAGCTGGTAGTTCGGTTCTCACTCGGTTATCTGACTATGGCGTAGAATCGGGCTGCAAAAGCTCCTCTTACTTTGGGTTCGCTTCTCATAGATATACCTCCAGACTATTGTAATATGTGGCTGTGCGGAACGGAAATCCAGGGAGGAGCCAATCAGAACCTGCGACACTCAAAATACTTGTTGACTCATAAACCTCGTTGAAGCTGTGTGGCCCTCGCCGACGTCCAGCATGCCAGCCCCGCGCGTGCCACACATCATGACTCTCGCGGACCTGACGGTCCCGCAGATCAACAAGGTCATCACGCACGCCCACTACCAGCGCGCCACTTCCCTGCCTTGGCTCGCTCCCGCCACCCGCTTGTCCAAGGATGCCGACGACAAGAAGAAGGAGCAACCGAAGCGCATGCCCTCGCAGTCCCTCTTTAACAAGAGCATCGCGCTGCTTTTCAACAAGCGCAGCACGCGCACACGGGTCAGCGCGGAGACGGCATCTGTCCTGCTCGGCGGGCGCGCCCTGTTCCTCGGGAGAGAGGATATCCAGCTCGGCGTGAACGAGACCGTGCGAGATAGCGCGCGGGTGATCGGAGGATTCTGCCAGGGGATCTTTGCCCGCGTCGGGGAGCAAGCGGAGATCGATGTGCGCTGCATCCCCTCTACTACCCTTTTCACAGTACTAACCTCCCCTCTCCAGGAACTCGCACAATATTCCCCCGTGCCCGTGCTTAACGCCCTCTCTGATCTCTGGCACCCGACCCAGATCCTCGCCGACATCCTCACCCTGCACGACCACGCGCACCTCTTCACCGACTCCCCGCCCCCGCCGCCATCCAAGCGCATCAACCCGCCCGCACCCCTCCCGCCGCTCACGATCGCGTGGGTCGGCGACAGCAACAACATCCTACACGACATGCTCGTGAGCTACCCGCGGCTTGGGCACAAGCTGCGCGTCGCGACGCCCGGCAAGGAGGAGTACCAGTGCCCGCGGCTCGTGCGGGAACGTGTGGAAGGACTGGGAATTGAGATTGGGAAGGAGGAGGGGAAGGGGCCTGGCCAGATTTTCTGGACCGAGGACCCGCGGGAGGCGGTGAAGGGCGCGGACGTGGTTGTTACGGATACTTGGTGCGAGGTTTGTTCGGAGCCCCGGGTGGTTTAGCTAATGGGTGTTCAGGGTTTCGATGGGTCAGGAAGAGCAGAAGGCGCAGCGCCTCCGAGACTTTGCAGGGTACCAGGTGACCGAGGCGCTCTGCCGAGAAGGTGGAGCCAAGGACAACTGGAAGTTCATGCATTGTCTGCCCCGCAAGGGCGAGGAGGTCGACGATGAGGTGTGTATCTACCTCGAAGTCTCATCTCATCTTGTCTGGACTTCACCGAAACTGACGAATATGCGCAGGTTTTCTATGGACCCCGCTCGCTGGTTTTCCCTGAGAGCGACAATCGCAAGTGGACGATCATGGCGTTGTTCGAGTGAGTGTCGTAACCGTCTCCGCATGGACATGTCTACGTCCCAACGTCCCTTACATCACTGTCGCGCCCTCGCATCATCTTCCGGTCTCGAGTGATCACTGACCTCCATCTCTTATTCTTCCAGCCTCCTCTTCGGCAAGTGGGAACTCCACCCTGAACAGCTATACAAGCTGGAGAAGAAGATGGCCAGCAAGTCTGAATCCACTACCGAGGACTCGCAGTAGTCGAGGCACTGGCTTCTTCTGAGGAGGTGTTGGAACTGTTGCAGACCGAAAAGTACATAGTATACTTGCTTGTATAAAGTCGGCTAATCGTCCTTCGACAATGTTAGAGCTTGCTTGGCTTTGCTGTGCAGAAGAGTATGAATCCGCTGGTATCGTAATCCGAATGATGGATAATGTACAGATGAAATGGCTGGTATGTAGCTCCTTCCCTATCTCGTGGTTGGGCATAAAACCGGACCTCACGGATCCCACCCACCCCCACCGCGCAAGCGGCTCACCCGCTCCCTATCCACGCCCTCCTCCCCTCTGCCTGGCCCACCGAAGTCGTCCATCTCGAACACCTCCACGCCGTCCTCGGCGGCCGGCACCCGAGCGTCGTCGCACGCCTCGCCATGCCAGTGCGCGGGCACGGTTGCGAGGAAGCTCGCAGGGCTGAGCGAGGAGAGGAGCGTGCTCGCCGTCGTGGGCTGCGAGGGCGGCGGGGTTCTTTGGTGAGAGGGGGATTTGAGGATGAAGAGGAGGACGCGCGTGCAGAGGATGCTGTGCATTACGCGCTGGGGGCTGTTTCGATAAGGGTTAGTAGCGGCGAGGAGGGAGGGAGGGAAGGGGAGACGGACGTGGCGAGCCAATTTGTTAGTGCGGGCTAAGGGAGGGATTAGTGAGAGAAGGGGAGAGGAGGGAGAAGGCGTACGGGGCCTGCGACGGGGATGATAACGTTTACGATTGTTATCGCTGAGCGGGGTGTTAGGCTTGCAGGAGGGAAGGAGCGGGAGGGGGACTTGCCTAGGAGCATGAAGTAGAATAGGATGCCTATGGGAGAGGTGAGGAGGTGAATAAAGGGGGAGGAGGGAAGGTGGAGGACGGACCGTCTCGGTAGAGGGTGACGACCATGGGCGAGCGGGTGTGGCGAACTATACGCAAGGGCTGAAGTCAGAATAATCGTGGGGGAGGGAGGAGAATGGGTACGTACGGTGCTGGACGGCTTTGATCACGGTGAGTATTGCCATAACTACGAACCTGATCAGTATATGCCAGGTAGGCAAGACAAAGGGCGAGGGCGGGCCTACTTGTCTCTGCCACGAGTACGAGAACGTAGTCGATGAAGACGATAGCGCTTGCATGTCGGAGGAAGCACCCTGCGACGCCGGGTTCAGGCGGGTCCTCGTCTGGTCAGTAGTCGCCTGGCGTCAGCGTTTGGGATATGGAGTTTGGGCAAGGAGAGCCTGAGCGGACGTACAGACGAGAGAGTCGGCTTCCAGGGAGACGACGCCTACGCCAGCAGAGAAGATGAGCTGTTTGAGTTTGAATGTTGAACGAATGCGTGGAGATTTGAGTAAGGGACAGGCACACGTACACCGTAGACTATTGCGAGGGTCATGCCGATGGAGCGGCGGCGTTCCCAAAGCGCGTATGTGCGTAGACATAAGATTGCTACGTGGCTCAGCGTAAGTGCAAGGGAGAATACAGGATGGAAGGACAGACGCTAACATTCGGATATAAGGGTGCCAAGGGTGATCAACCCTGTCCATGGGCGGGTATCAATGCCAAAGAGAGGTACCATTGGCTGAAGCGGAAGTGTGACTTACAGAGAACGACTTTGAAGTTACGTTCGCATTCCTGCAATATTAATGGGATCAGTACGGTGGTGGGTGAATAATTAGAGCTGAAAGCTGACCTCCCGCGAATGTCTAGCAGTTAATACTACGGCAAAGCAAGTGAGCTGGAGCACGTGAGAGAAAAGATGGAGGGAACCTCACGATTGAGCGAGACGAAGGTATCAATGAATGGCGTGTATCGGTTGAGGAAGAAGAGGACCGTGCCGAGGGTTTGTCGTGACTTCCATACGTATTCCACCTATCAGACGCGTCAGTGTTGGGATAGGCTTATCTGAGAACTCAGCCCAGACCTCATCGTCGAGCGTGCATAAGTAGTCGTAAACCTTTCGATCGGTTAGTGCGGGATGACCGGTGAGATGCCAAGCAGCCGGCGTACAAGAATGGTTCCGGTGGCAGCTACGGACAGCGGCACCACGTCCTGATTAGCGAGGGAACAACAATGTTAGGTAGGATAGCGCTTGAGGATTGCGTTCGCACCTCGATTGGGCCGCCGACAGCGCGAGGCGCGAGGAGGACATCCCCGCTCATGAATCGCGGGTGCTGGTGGTATGCTGCGAAGAGGCTCGCTGGTCACGGGCGACCCCTTGCGACTTCGTGTTCGCAATCTGAGCATATTTAGGATCGACGCATTGCCGATCTTTCTGAATCTCCAGTTACGATCTGTCAATAATCACCAAATTAAACTCCTCGACCAATCCCATCCGTTCGCGTCGGATGCCCAGCGACCAATCAAACGTCGTAGTTTCTTTGTCCGAGTCGGGTTACGTCACGCGTTTATTGCTCGGTTAGGCGCGCTAGCGCTCGCGTCGTGGCGGCGCTGATGTGTCTGACAGCAGCGACGCCGACATGCCATCCTTCCCGCTCATCCCGCTGTCCATCGCCGCCCTCTTCAGCGCCCAGGGCCTGCGCAGAGGCTCGCTCTCGCCGTCGGGCGCTGTCACAGCCACGCTCATCGGGACCCTCACGCTCGCCGTCCCCCTGCGTGCTTTCGGCGTGTCCCTTCTCTCCTTCTACCTCATAGGCTCGCGCGCGACCAAGATCGGCAAGCAGCTCAAGGCCCAGCTTGAGGAGGGCCACACGGAGGGCGGACAGCGTACGGGCTTCCAGGTCCTGTGCAACTCGTTCTCTGCGTTCGGCGCTGCGCTGCTGTGGGAGGGCTTGTTCGTGCCTGGCTCGTTGCCTGCCCTTGTGATTAATTGGTTGGGAGGGACGCAGGCACCGACGTATCTATCCAATGAGTGGTGTCCAGTATCTACCTCGGTGTTGGATGGGTGGAGTCGTGCACTGGTCTTTGCTGCACTAGGGTGAGTCCACCGACGATCCCCCTGAACATACAGTTTATCACTCAATCCTATAATCAGGCATTTTGCCTGCTGCCTCGGAGACACCCTGGCCTCAGAACTGGGCATCCTCTCCAAAACTCCGCCCATCCTCATCACCACGCTCAAACCCGTCCCGCCCGGCACGAACGGTGGCATCTCGGGCGTCGGCACCCTCGCCTCGCTGGCGGGCGGGATTGCCATGGGCGCCACCCTCGCTGCCTGCTTGGCCATTGAGAACTCCGTATGCAGAGCGGATGCTTGGGCGGTATCGGCACAAGCCGTTGCTTGGGGCGGGTTTGCGGGTCTGTTCGGATCTTTGGTCAGTTCAATGTGATTGGCTTTCCGAGCCAGTTGGGCGCTGACTGGAGTGGACAGATCGACTCCCTATTAGGCGCGACCGTTCAGATGACTAAGTACTCCGCCACTAGCAAACGTATACTGACGGACGAGTCTGCCCCACCCAAAGACGCCGAGATTAAGGTTGTCAGTGGACTCAACATACTCACGAATAATCAGGTATCTTGTCATGGCTGCTCTAGTACTTGAAGTGCTACTAACGCCGGTACACTAGGTCAATCTCCTGTCCTCGGTCGTCACCGCAGTCGTCGTGGCACGGTTTGCGTGATGACGACATGCCCAACCTTGCCTCTCGCGCATGTATCATTCAATCAATACATGTATCTACTGAGGGTGTATGTTCCACCCGCGATATGTACTGACGATCTTGTATCATCACGCCTCACGCCGCTTGCTGTCGACTCGCTACGTGATGCTATGCATGCAGCCGTTCCTCTGCTTAAATGTCTGCATGAACGTATGGAGTTGTCTCGAGCATATCAAGACGACCAAACCTTACGCTTGTCGTTGAAACTGCCCTCACGCAGGAGCTCGAGTGGAAACGACCATTACCCGTAATTAAACGTGTCGTATTCGCTGCTGGACTGCGATAGCTGTAGCTGTGAATGTCAGTCCTGACAGTGAACACTCACGTGCCATATGTACGTGAAATCTTCTTCAGGCTTCGTTTTGTATACTTTCAGAAGGACACTTACCTAGGATGACCAAGTAGGACAAAAGGCAGGACACAGTAAAGTGTTGGCAACTATATGAACCGAAGCCACCGATCACTAACTCGGAACACACGCAGCCCGGCACGAAAGTTGACAACCAAGCTTATGATGCATTCACGAACACAGAGAACAGCGGTACAGTTACTTTCGTTCCGCAACGCATCTCCATACACTGATCAACTAGGAATGCAGCTGGTATCTACCACACCGACCCGGCGTCAATATCCCGTGAAGACCAAGAGTCTACACCACTTACCCCCCGAATGGATCGTGACGAGCTGGGTTTGATCGCTGTGTCCGGTGGAGTCCGAACCTCCCAGCGAGATGCCTGCAAATCGCGTAACCAGTTCAGCGCGCGCCGAGCGTCCAGGAGGGTGTGCTTGCCTGCGGTGACGTTCACCACCCAGGTGTAAAACGTCTCGTCCGTTCTTATTGTGTAAAGGGGGACGGGATGGCTGCCTCCGCGGATTCTGTGTGCGTTATCAGGGGTCAGTTCGAGCCGGTAGGGTCGGCTTGTGGACGTACTGCTGCAAAGAAGTTAGAAAACAGGTGATCGGACTTAAGGTGCTATGTGGTACTCACTACTGTATAGGGAGCTGGAATGCGCACAAGGGATCGGTAAACAGACTCGTAGAAAACAATCGCGGATGACACTCACGGACACCCCCGTGCCAGGTCAGGTTGGCGGGCACGCATGTCGTCAACTCAGGCCTGCGCGCCATCGTCCGCGATTGAGTACACAAAGTCAAGTCAGACAAGGACACAGACGTACAAAGGGTCGATGGTGAAATTCTCCGCCAAGGCCGCGGCGACAGAGGCGAGGGCAGCGAGAGCGAAAGTCTTCATACCGTGACTGCCTTAGCGATGACTTGCAAAAAAGTGGGGGAGGTTGGAACAAGATGGAATAAGAGGTACAGTAGGTGCGTAGGCTTTATAGGCCATGGTCGTCCCGGCTATCAGTCGGTAAGGCAGGGCACAGCATTGGGGTGTGTTTCATGATTAACACTTCGTGGAGAAGTGGTGCTGTGCTGATGAGGTGGATGCTGCAGCGGATATGTCGGGGTGCACGCACCGAGTACATCGGGGTGCACGCAGCGGAACTATCGGATGTTTCTCGCATAACCCTGCAAGGCGGCGTCAGCACCGAACTGTAGAAGGCTGGAGGAACAACGGACTCGCCTTGGCATGCACTCAGGCGGCGTCGGAGAGCCCGAAGACATATCTCGCTACGGACAAGCGGTGCGAGGTGCTGGCTGCCCTGAGATGTGGACTCGTCAGTTCAGAAGCGCGTCAGCGCCCTCGTATCTAGCAACGTACCATCCGGAGTTCAATTTGTCTTGAATATGAAGGAAGCAACATTACCACGCCCTCTTGGCTCAGCCTGCCGGACTGTCCCCATGTTAGTACTGGCGTATCCCCGCCCCTTTTCTTCCTTTGTCGCCCATCAGTCAAGAAACAGAAATCTTGTCGGGTGAGCTGTTTATTTAGCACTAAGTGTGTGATGAAATGCGCCTGGCACAAACAGTCTCTGCACCATGGGGCTCCCATCACATATCGCGCGTAGACCAAATCCTGCCTGAAGCGAAGAGTATTGGGACATTGGATGGTGCGCGATATGTCCGCCAGGAAAACTCGCCGGAGAACATGCATGTGTCCCGTTCACCTGTCGCCCCTTCCTCATCCGCACAACATCGGATCCCACAATTCGGCGAGCAGGACACAGTCAGCCTTGCGCGTCAGCGCAGTATGACTCTGGTGCGGACCTCGACCCGCCATGATGGCTTCATCCGGGCGTATTTCAGCTTCGGGCATGGGTACATAACCTGCCCCCCCGGGTGTATGTAGCCTTCGGGGTTCGGCATCATGAGGATACTGGTCCTCTGCCATTGGAAGATATATTGTATCAATGTCTGTCATGTCACATTATATTATAACATACTCAGCAAGACATAAGCAATCATAGAGTCCAGTAGACCCGCAATATCAGGAGCACACCCTTGTCATAGTCCAAGTTCGCCTTCTCTCCCAGGTACAGTAAGTGTCCCGGTTGTCAACTGGCTGTATCAGTAGCAACTCTGTCAGAATCTCGGTCTTCACTCCTGGGCCCAAATGGTATGTGGAATCATCAGTATCTGCCACGGGAACAACACTGGAACTTACAGTCTCCGGTCTGTCGCAATTATCCACTCCAACAGGAGCTTCCCCAACCGCGTTTGCCAGACGGGGTCAGTGAGCGGAGCTGGCTCTTGGCACGGATCATCACCGAAAGCCCTATCACATGTGTCCGACAGATCCCCGAGGTCAAGCTCGCTGTGGATATCACAGTCGGTCATGTTCTTGAACAGGCTGCCCTTGAGGTGCCCACGTAGTGTCCAATAGTTCGGGCGCAGGTCCTCCGAGACACTTGGAAGCCTGAGGTGGGACGGTATATGAGACACTAGGTCCGGCTCACACACGGTCCTTGGGTCTCGGAACCAGACGATTCGGTAGTCATCCTGCATGCGAAGGCGGAATTATCATGTGTAGCTGGTTTCTACATATAGCACTGATGGCATGAATGCACATCTACGCACCTCTGGGTCTATGCTGAATACTTTCTGATGCCACAGCTCAGCCAGATGTGGATGCATTGTCAGCCCGTTACATGGAGTAGGTGACACCTGATCTTCCGGAGGTAGACTCAGTGGATTAAGGTCGACTTCGCGATATGACAGCTCAGTGACCTGACAATGTGGATGAGAATTATGCATGCTAATAAATGTGGGAGGTAAGATGATGAGCGCACCCAATCATGCCTGAAATGAGGCAGGATCCAAGTTACTACTGGATCAGGCTCGTGTATCCCAGTGATTGTGCAGGTCTTCTGATCACGGTCCAGGATCTTCAAGTAGAATTGCTGAGGATTAGAATTTGAGGTCAGAGTGAGAAGGCAGGCAGACAACACTGTTCCATCAATCCACTTGCCAAGTTTGCAAATTCAGGCTCCTCTGATGTCTGTTCTCGAGACATCGGAAGTCCAGGCCCTGGGGTACGCAGGTGAAAAGGTTTGCTCGCTATCATCATGGATTATCAGGTTCTACACTGTCCATATCATTAACAGAAGCTTACAGTCTTGACTGTCAAAGGTGCCATAGTGTCCTGGAACTATAAGATCATTACTGTCTCGGGGTATGTATGGCCCTTCCGGGATGACGTGGAACTCCAGGAAGAACACCTTCCCTACAGGCCGTATACTGACCCTCCGGAGGAGATAAGGGAGTGCCGTCCCATAACCAGAGCGGACATATTGGCCATGCAGCATATCCATCCAGCGGTATAATGTTTGGTACGTGATGTGGGAGCTTTCATGTAGAGACAGTGCTAAGAGTTCGTGCATGAGTACGAGTTGTGAGACACGGGGATCATAGTATAAATACCTAATTTGATCCTCCTCGCAACCCAGATGAAAAAGTTGCATTTGAGGTCAAGACCTTTCGAGGACAGGTAGCTGGAGCTGAAGTCGTGATCGTCTGACATTTGTCGAAATTGGTCTCCAGTCAGATGGTGATAAGCCTCAGGATCGTCTGACCCCCGAAAACGCGGACTCAGCACATCGTACAAGCCCTCCGGAGCTTATTCGACACAGCGCTCGCACGCCTCTAGGCTTCTATGGGCTCTAAAAGACTTTTTCTATTTAGCTCCGGACTTCCCAACATCCTCGAGGCGTACTCGGACCCATTCCGTGATTTATCTCCGCGCACCGAAGCTCCGGAGTGACTTAACCAATGCGACTTCTAGCTGAATTAGCTCCGGGGCCCGCGGACACTTCCATCGAGGGGCGTCGTCCTCATTCCCACCCTCCAGCATACTCCCTCTCTCGTTTCCATCAAAATACTGAAGATGCGGACACATATGAGTCACCATGAGGCCAGCATCAGTCAGCAAGCGGCCGGAGGTAATTAGCACGTGACCAGCGCGTCACACGGAGTGATGGGACCTCTTAGGGCAGGTGGCGGAGTGTCGAGGCGACCTCTAGGGGTTGGGACGAGCAAGTGGGAGTGCAAGAGAGTCGTATGGTGCATGGTATAGCGGTGGCAAGTGCTGAGCAATCCTGTGGGTAGCGGCGTTTATTTGTTATTTATCTCCGAACGGTCGCAAAGCCATTCCTGTAGTATAAATTGTACAAAGTAGCATACAGAAAAATAAGTTTCGACTTCACCATCTCAGAGAATTAGAGTTACGATCTCAGCGACCCGAGAAGTTCGAAAGCGTCGAACTTAGCGAATTATAACCGATCTTAGCTTTGCCAATAGGCCTGACTCGTCGAGTGAATTAGCTCCGCCATCGATTCAATTAGCTCCGGTGCGTCTCACATAGCGAAATAAAAATTAAACAAGTCCCTTTAGTGTTTTCTACTCCCGTGGGCCCGAACCTACACTCGGTTCCGTGGTTTGCGACTTTGTTTGCGACTTTTCGGAGATAAATACTCCGGAGCGTCCCTTAGTGTTTGTTTCAGGCATCAAGGTTTTTGCTTTATTCTTCTAGGTCTTCCTACGGACTACCCTACGGCGTCTTACTCCTCCTTTCCCCCTCGAACTATTAAATACCCTTCAGTTGTCTCGGACCGCCTTCACCCATATCACGGGGTTTAGGTTTATTTCCTTTGGTCCTTGGTGATTGTTGTGTGTCAGTGCATATCAACGGGCGGTAGTATCGATATCCTGCCCTGAGATACAAGCTCTTATAGCCGCAAGACAAACCAGTTAGATCATCTCCAGTGAGCAACAAAATAAGAGTACCTTGGCGTTCAATTCCTGGATCTCGCACCTGTTACGCACGGAATTGTGGGTCCATGTTGATAAATTGAAGTTCAATCGTGTTATTGTACCAAGCAGGGACTAGTTCCGGAGGAATGGTTTTTTGTATTATTTGCTGGTTTCGCCTTCAGTGTT